AAAACACATCCCTTTGAAGCCAATACTATACAAATAGTGTCGCCAGCACATGAGGACTATAGCTCAGTGGCAAAGCACAAGTTTTTCAAGAAAAAAGTACTAAATTCAATCCCTGCCTATACTCTGGTTCTTTCTGCATTTACTCTTTATAGTGGTATAGCTGCTGTTTCTTCTTCTTCTTCAATTTTTTGGCATGCTGCCAAACGACATAGAATAATAGAATTGTAGAGTTGGAAGGGACCTGATGGCCATCTAGTCCAACCTCCTGCAATGCAGGAGGAATCCTGCGCACAGCCGTCCCTGGTTGGGCACTGACCTATTATACCCATCATTATTCAACTAGTTTTCCAAAATAATGTACTCAAGGAAACGCTTCTACAACCCCCCAAAAATCTCACTTTTGTGAACTATCCAGAATGTATCCTGAATATTTTCATTAGTTGGGCATGTCTAAAAGTATCAATTCTGATTTCTTTGTGGAGGGTAGGGGTTGATGGGCATGGTTTTGGAGATGCCACTTCCCTCTCTCTGGTGTGAACTGTCAATCTGAGAGCTTAGTTCAGAGGACAGACATGGCAGACAGAGACAATGGTACTGAAGCAAAGTACTGCTTGTGACAGCAATCATTAGCTGCAGACAAAGCCTCATCACATTCATCATGTTCACCATAGCTCAGGCAGACACATAGCTCCTCTTCTAATCTCCTATACTCCCACAAGATTAGAATTATTGAATACATAAAAGTAAAATAAAAACACAAAGGGTTATACCTGTGCACATACTCATAATCCCAATATTTACTGGCTGGAGGAACATGGAGATACCAAGAGGTATCACTACAGCCACTGAATTTTTCTCAGTTTGGGCAGAACCTGCCATTACTGTGGAAAGGAAAACCCAGAACTCATAACAACAGTGACATGTGACCAAAAGGGCAGACAAGCAGCTACAAGTTGTTATTATTTAAAATGTCTGATCAAACAGCAACTATACTGCTATAAATGTTAAGTGCAGAAACGCCCTAGAAACGGCCGAGAAAAATCCCAGTCTGGCATCCTCGAAAGCTGTTGCCAGTCTTTATAAACAGTGATGAATGAGCTAGATGGTCCAGTGGCCTGACTCAGTCAGTACAAGGCAATTTCCTTTGAAGGTACAGTGGTACATCGGGTTACATACGCTTCAGGTTACAGACCTTCAGGTTACAGAATTCTGCTTCAGGATGAGAACAGAAATCGTGCTCTGGCAGCGCGGCAGCAGCGGGAGGCCCCATTAACTAAAGTGGTGCTTCAGGTTAAGAACATTTTCAGGTTAAGAACGGACCTCCGAAACGAAATAAGTACTTAACCTGAGGTACCACTGTATGTCTTGATTGTTTGCAACAGCCTTTACCCCTACTGTAGTATATAATCCAGTGTGGGGGTTGCTACTAAACATCAGACCAGTTCTGAATGTTCCCCGTGAACATTGTATACAGATTTCAACCAGCTGTGTCTTGAAATCCACATTACCTCATCCTTAGAAATCTCAACCAGATGGCTCCAATTTTGAAATCACAGCAAAGAGAATTTGTCTTTCTGCCTGAGGGAAGAGTTATGCCAAGCATTTATTAGTTTGCTTTTACTCCAGTTCTCCACAAACCTCTCATGAGTGGATCCACAAATCCTACCAACATCTATTTTCAGCTGCAAATAACTTTCCCTTTTGTCTCCATCAGGAGAATATATATATATCTCAGTAAACCTCCCTACCTCCCTGGATTGTTCTAACATTTGCTTGATGGTCTATTAATTTTACAAGTTCTTGTGTCCCTCATTGGCATCAGGTCAGCCAGTGTTCCCTCTAATCGGTTTCTTAACACTCCTCCAGGACATATTTTCAGAAACATTCCTTCTTCCCCTTGCAGACATTAAATCATTCTGCCTCCCTTTATGTCTTATTATGGCTTTGCTTGGCTTTTTTGCTGACTGCCTCCAAGTTCTCTTTTTTTCTCCTTCCTCACCCTTTGATCTCTGTTGATTATTCCTGTGTGGTTGTGGTTTTGTAGAGATTCTAATCAGTGATCTTATAGTTGCCTTACCTGCTTTGTGCTGCCTTATAGCTTAACTGCAGCTGGTTGTTATTATAAGTAAAGCACTTAGACATTCTCCTATCCTTTCAACTGTAGAGAAACTTAATTTTTATCCAATTCCCACTCTTTTTCCATAGTTCTTCTTCAGCTCAACTTTTTTCTTTTTTTTGTTCTCCCATCAACCTTGCAAAGTAGATTAAGTTCACAGATTTGCAGAGCCCAAGGTTACACTGTGAGCTTCATGCCTAAGCAAAGATATGAACCGGGATCTACCTTACATTCTAACCACTACATAACACAGGTTCTGAAACCTGCTCCCAGCTTCTGGGATAGGTGAACCAATGTTGTGAAACTGGGCCTAGTTGGGTCTAGAACTTTGGTCTGGCCTACACATGCAGCAGGATGAGGTGGTAGAATAGATGACACTACTTCACATTGCAGGTGAGGGCTCCATTTTATTTAACACCGCTCCATGTCACAATCCCCTGCAAGTTGAAAATTCATGCACTGAGGGCAAAGATTCTACTCTATCCCTCTTCCTGCTGAGCTTGGCTTCATTTTTAACACAGGGAAATAGTCAAAAATGTGACTCCCACCCACCTGTAGTCTGAAGTGCTACAGTCCATTCTACCACCTCAGCACTTGACCATTTGATTCCCATCTCATCTGCTGCTTGAGCAGGCCCAGCCATCTCATTCTGTGGCTCATTCTGCTGCTTGGTATTGCTGGGGTTAACCCTTTTCCTTTACATCACTGCAAATCAGTTGCCATTTCCCCTGGAGGTTTTCAAGTCAATGGCTGAATCTTGTAGCATGTGAGGCAATTGGAAAACATCTCTGAACATGTCTGATGTGCCTCTGAATAACTGCAGCTTACCCTCCAGATCAAAATAAGGATACACTTGTTAATAGTGGCAGAGAAAACCCAGCCAGATGGGCAGGGTATAATATTATTATTATTATTATTATTATTATTATTATTATTATTATTCCTCCTCCTCCTCCTCCTCCTCCTCCTCCTCCAGTTTTCTCATACCAAGTTTGGGGGCATGGGGAGTACCATTATATCAGATGAAACCATTGCTCCATCTCAGTATTGTCTATGGCAGCAGCATTGCCCTTCTTTTTTTACTGGCAGCCTCATACCCAGCATTGCTTGGTGCAGGCCCACAATCTAAAGTTTAGTGAGGGTGGTGGAGAAATGAAACCATTATAAACCATCCATGCTTGGAAGTTCTAAGAAACCCCCAAAAAATCACTGCAGTTTTCAGATCAATGGTTAAAATCAATGCCATTTTGAAAGGTCCTGACCACTCTTTCATTCAAAATGGTGTCCAGTTGTAGCCAAACATGTATGAAAATCTGCTCCTTGATCTCAGGAACCACTATACAAATTTTGCCTACTATATCTTATGACTTATAACGAGCAATCAACTTTCCAAAATATAAAGTAGATTTTAACTTATCCCACCATAATTTCAATTGATTTCATTTCAAACAAGTCCATTTTTGGCCATTTCCTCACCCACTTCCACCTTTGACCCAGTCTGCTGCTGGAATGCTGACCTGAAAGGGTTGGCTATGTTTGAATCATTAAATCTTCCCCGCTTTAGGTCTACACTGCCTGGCAGTAGCTCTCTTAAGTTTTCAGATGGAGTCTTTCCTGGCCCAACTTGGAGATCCACCATGTGAACAAGGCTCTTTTGCATGCAAAGCATGGACTCTAATCTACCAGTGACTTATGGTGCCAAGGATCAATGCCAATGCTTCCTCATCCATTATTACACTGTTGCTTAAGTCTCTCTTCTACCTGTTGTATGCTGCATTCATTTATTCTGCAGCTGCTTGAAATCCACTGACTGAAAACCAAGGCATGTTTGTTCCTTGGCTTAATAATGCATGGTTATGCTCACTCAATTTTTCTGAGAGAAGTTCTAGACCCAGTGCATAAGGCAGCTCCTAGGGCTGGCTTATCTACCTGAATACAGTTGTGAGACTCTCTCTGCCTCTGACTTCAGAGGAACTCAAGACCTGAGGGAAAATTTGTGGCTCAGTTTTTGTTGCTTCTCCTCCTTTTTAAAGCCAGACACTGAAGAGACCTGTCAGGAGTAAGCATGGATCAATGGTATAAAATAGTATGGAAAACAGCTTTATCAGAAAAACTAACTAATAAACTGAAACTGACATGGAGGCAAATAGAAGAAGATGCCTTCACCCTGGTATAGTTCTTCTTTATCACATACACACTCCAACAAAACAACAACAACAATCTGCCAACAGCATACGAATCAATCTGGCTAACTTGATTCAAAAATACACACACACCCTGCTCACACACAAAAACCAAATCTCACTACAGCCAACCAAAGACAACCAACCACACCCTAAGCCACCCCAACCTCTCTCACCACCAAGGAAATACAACAAGTGAATAGTAAGAGAACCCATACAAGTAACGCTGACACAAAACCCCACACATACACTAAGTAGAAGAATAGAAGAATAACCACCTGACCCCACCCCACTTACCGTTCCCCCCCTTTCCTAACCTAACACTGTATGTCACACTAATGTCTCACAACAAATGAAACTGATGTGCAGAAAACACAACTTGAAAAAAGAGACAACACATGTATTTTTGTAAACTAAGAAACCTTTAATAAAACTATGTTTTTTTTAAAAAAATAATACTAACAAGCAGAGAGATACCATCTTAACGATCCTGCACCAGACATGTGTCTGCAAGGAAGAGCCATTAATTAAGATGAAAGAGACATCATAATAGTTTCTTTAGTTGATTTTGATGATGTTATAATTGGGTTTCAGGGTGTTGCCAGGTAGGTGGGGGAAAGTAAATTACGGCTTTGCTAAATTAGTGTTCGAGAGAGAGGTTACTTTGGGAGCACAGGTTCTTGACTGGAACGGAAATTGTGATGCCACAGTACAGAAGGAGAGGCTGGTATGATCAAGATGGACAAGGTAGCATAGATGTCCCAGACAGTGAGGAATTATGAAGCATACCAGTCTATTGTTTCCCGATTGCAACTGGAGACATGGATGTATGTGGGCTGTTGGGATGAAGACATGGGCTAGACTTGCAGTCGGCTTAGCTGCCCCACCTCAAGCCCAGCTAGAGCCAACAATCCACATACAACCACCCTGTTGACCTGCCCCATAATCCTGTATAATTGCTGCCCACCTCCCAGTTAAAGGCCAAACAGAATACATGTCTGTGTGCTGTAATTTCTGAGAAAGAAAAGAGAAGGGATTTTCCAGTCCCACCCAGGAGACAGGAATATGTATACAACAGGAGAAACTTTTCATTCGGGATTTCAGCTGAATGAGCTCCTTGTTTTGGTTTGCTTCTGGTAGAACCAGTTTTTGTTGATGTCTACCATTTTACTAAGATCATTAAAAAAGAATTAATCCCATCCTCTAAAATGTTTGCACTCCCTCCCAATTCTGATTCATCTGCAAATTTGATACATTAATGCAACCTGCTCATTTGTCAGGACTGATGTCAGGACATCGAGAGGTCAAAAACATACCTAGAGAGCTTTTATTTGGCACATTCACTGGGAAAGGGAATGATGATGACTACTGATAGTCCATAAAGTTGTACACATTATTGTGTTGGCGTTGGGACGTCCTGGAGGGAATGTATGTTGCCTTTTTCAAGGATGCTTCCTGTCTCAAGAGCATTGGCTTGGAATAAAGTAGAGCTGCTGTTTGGAGATACAGTGCCGCTACGCCAATGAGTCTTAGATCCAGTGAATCTCATCGGATTTCTTGGCACCCTCTCACTGCTGTCTTGTCATGTTGCAGGTCTGCAAGAAGTTCAGGCTACCAGTGGTGAGTGTACATTTTCTGCATTTCTCTTCCTTCTGTTTCAAATGTATTGATGCATGTCACCCCAATCTCTGAACGGTTTGAGATTCCAGGGGTTGAAGGCTTTTATGCGGGGTTTGTGTTTTCCCTCCAAATTCAGCTTTTTCATTTGAAAATATTTGGCTCAGCAATTCCTTTGTCCAGTAATTGCCCAGCTGTGTAATTGGAGCATATATGTGAGGCATGGAATAAGTAATTTAAATATTTTTGCATGTCGTGAGCCCAGATTGTTCATCAACAGATTGTTCATCCACAGAGAAGTCTTCTAAGGAGCTGTTTTGCTAGCACTGAGTAATTTTTTTCTCGTTTCTTCCTTGGGGCAAGTGAAGCACTGAATACCTTTTGATGCAGAGACATTGCAGGGGTGCCAACTAGAATAAATATGGGAGGCAGATAAGCCCTGCCCTACACAATTAATCACATGGTGTGGTGCATGCACATCATTTGAATGGCAATTGAAATCAACTGTGGGGGCCCCAGCCCCTCAAATACTTTATTGGGGTACTGAAGGGAACTTGGCCCCTAGGAGTTGGCTCCTATGAGAGACAGAATTCCCCTGCCTTCATGAGATTCTGCCCATTGCACATATATAAGAGTCACTGCTGTTGGCTTGCTTTTTTCTCACCAGGGGATAATGATGAAGATGGCCATATGATTACGTGAATGTGCTGTTAAGGTTGAGTCAAACCTGTCTCCACTATATTATCAGTTAGAATCCATATGATCTCAGTGTCTCCTCTAACCTCATGGCAGTTTGAATGAATCTTTGTCCTTTCTTGCAGCCTGTGGGCGGCCTCATGTCAGCCTCAACCGGATTGTGAAGGGACAGGACACAGTGCCAGGGGAGTTCCCCTGGCAGATCAGCTTACAGCTGAACAAAAGGCATGTGTGTGGAGGGTCCCTCATCTCTGAGGAGTGGGTGATAACCGCAGCACACTGTTTCTATCAGTGAGTATACAGGGTGGGATGGCAAAATTACTGATGCCTTTGGATCCCCCAACCCAGAATACTAGATCTGGTAGAGTTGCCATATTTCAAAAAGTGAAAATCTGGACACAAAGGTTGTTGAGCATTGGGGGGGGGGGGGTGCAAACCAGAAACCAACATTGCTGACACGGGTTGCAATATATCTGGGTTGCAATATGTCCGGATTTTTCTGGACATTTAGCCAATTTCTGACAGGACACTGCTTCTGATTACAGTATTCCGGGTACATCTGGGAAATTCCGGATGTATGGTAATACTAACTCTGGCCTTTTGAGAAGGAAAGGACAGGCAAAGAAGTTACCACAGCTTGCTCTGGCTTGCTTTTCTCCCACCCATCCCCCACTACACCCACAGGGTCAACTATCAAACTCACACTTTCTGAAACAAGATGCAAACTGACACAGAGCAATCATTCAAAATGTGCACTGATCCAAATTTTGTAGTGCAGTTCTCCAACAAAATTTGCTCCAAAATCCAGCCCTGAATACCATTCATTCACCTAGCCCCACTCTTTCTGTTATGTTTCCAGGTTCAGGGATCTCTCCCAGTACCAGGTCCTCCTAGGGGCCAACCAGCTATCCAATCCTGGCCCCCAGTCATGCTGCTTGGGAGTGAAGAAGGTCATCGTAAACCCAACTTACGCAGGACAGACCAGCAGCGGGGACATCGCTCTTGTGCAGTTGACCAGGAAGGTCCACTATTCGGAATTTATCCTACCCATTTGCCTGCCTGATGCTTCTGTGAAGTTTCCTCCTGGCAAAGTTTGCTGGGTCACCGGCTGGGGCAACCTGCGTCATTCAGGTTTGTGTGTGTGTGTGTGTGTGTGCGTGAGAGAGAGAGAGAGAGAGAGAGAGGAGGAGGAGACAGGGGCAGGATAAGGGGCAGGAACTTGTGTGGAGAAAAAAGATATAGTAATAACTTCACAATAGAAAGCAGGGTACCCAGTAAAATTGCTTTATATTAAATTAAAATCTAAAATTGAATATGAATACCCTATACCAAGGAAAGCAATCATGGGAGGGGTGGCATGGCGATGTCACTCCCCCTCAGGGATGACATCCAGAGCAGACTGCACCCCCCGCACCCCCTTCCTCCGCCAGTGACAGTAGGAGAGAGAAAGAAAAGGAGGAGTGGCTAAGAGACCCTGTTTGGTGTCGTGATTTGAGTGTTGTACTAGGGCCTGAGATATTTGAGTTCAAATCCCCACTCAGCCACAAAACATACTGGGTGACAGTGGGACAATCACTCTCTCCCAGTCCACTACTGGGGGCGGACAGCAGGCGGGGGCATGGCTGGCACCCCCAGGGGCATGGCGTGCATTCTGGGGGCATGGCACCCGGCACACAGGGGGTGCGCTGCGCGTGTCCGGGGGGGCCACCGCAATAGCATCCTACCGGAATAGTGGTCCTGGGGACGGTCTGCTCCCTCCGCACTCCCATTCCTCCGCCAACCAACTACATAAGGTTGTTAGTGAGGATAAAATGAGTAAGGGGAGAACCATGTACACAACGCTAGGCTATTTGGAGGGAGGGAGGATATTAATGTGATAAATAAATAAAGTGAATAGATTGTTAAATATGAGAAATGATGGGATGGAGAGGCTCAATGCATGTCATTGTATGTGTGTGAGGACACACACTCCCTCCCCCAAAGTGCATTTAAGGGGTGAAAGTGCTTCAGTGGTGTATGTTGTTGTCATTGCAGTCGACCTTCCATCCCCACAAACCCTGCAGAAGTTGCAGGTGCCCATTATTGACTCCAAAACATGCAGTGCCCTCTACCGCACCAACATAGCTGATGGCCCGATCCCACGGGTGATCAAGGATGATATGATCTGTGCTGGCTTTGCGGAGGGCAGGAAAGATGCATGCAAGGTGAGAGTGCTTATCTGTTCATTCACTTTTAAAAACGTGTAAATACTCCTCCTGATCCTCTATTATTGCTTGGCAACTTCTGCTGCTAGCACAGATGGATATTTGTGTGTATGTCTTAAGAGAGTTGAAAGTAGTTTGAAGGCCAAACTAGATATGACAGGAAGGCATGATTGCATTTAATGTTTCTTGTTGTTGTTTTTTTAAAAAAATCAAATAAAAACTACAGAGGGAAGGGTTCACAGAATGCAGGAGTGATTAGCTCTCCCTTCCCACTGTGGTTTCAATTAAAATTCAATGGCCTCCATAGTTGCTGTTAGCTACAAGAATAGCTGCAAGAATAGAGATGGTGTTTCAGTTTTGGTTCTGTTAATTTTTCATTTCCCCAACTCAATTCTCTACTCCTTCAGCTTCCAGCATCAGACAAAATGCACCCTGGCCTATTGTTCTCCTTCCTAGGATGAAGTGGTATCAAACCAGGTCAGGGGTGGGGTGTAGAAATGCTTATCCCCCCCCCCAAAGCATTTTTTATTTCTCATTATGACATCTCTTCTTATCTTACTCTTTGAGATGCCGATGAAGTCAGCCAAGGCAAAGCAACTGGTTCGAGCAGTTCACCAGGTTTTTTATTTCAGATTCTAACCTCACAGACACAGGTTCAGAGGCCTGGAAGGGACCCCATGGATATAATTCAGATTGACCAGTCCCCCTCCCTCTCAAAAAAATATAACAACTGTCATGGCATGCTAAATTTCATTCACACAAGTGGACATGGAGTGACACAACAGCAGATGTCAATAGAAATGTTGCAACTTTTTATTTGCATGTGTGCTTCTGTTCCCCTCAGATTGCCTCATGAAAATGGGGGGTGGGGTCGGGTGGGGTAAATAACTGTATGCTGGAACACTGCCTCAAGTTTCATCACATGCTGTGAACCACGCAAACACCACAAAACTCCTGCACTTTTCAGGGTTTACACAGTTGCAAGCATCTTTGCTCTGGAACCAATTAATATAGGAATAAGTACGGAACTCCTGCTAGCTTTCCATGTGCCTTTTATGTCATGTGAAAAAGCACATAAAATGCAGCAATCATTGGGTAAGAAAACATTGGGGACACAAAATAAATTGCTGTCTAAATGCAGTCTTAGTTCATTCTGCGGTGCTCTGGGGCAGCAAAAAAATAGAATGGAAATAAACCAGAACATTTGTGGTATAAAAAGTTATGGGATTTGAGCTGAAAGTCAAGGGATATGCACTCACTGGAAATGGTAGGTGACTGTTCCAAATCTTCTGCATGCAGAAACAGTACTGAGAGTAGGATTGTGTGTGACAGCCCCAACAGCATCATGGGTGCAAATCATCACGAATGTGCATTAAAAAGAACATCTAGGGGGCACACAGTGTTCAAAACTGAACTCACCACTTTATATCTCCTAAAATACACCTGCTGTTAAAATTAATAGAGGACCTTGCTGGTGATAGCAACTGTGCCATTCATTGCCCCTATTATTCATTTCTGTTTCTTTGTTTCACAGGGTGATTCTGGGGGCCCCATGGTATGTCCAGTTGGCCAGTCATGGGTCTTGGCTGGCATTGTGAGCTGGGGTGAAGGATGTGCCATTGAGAACCGCCCTGGTGTGTATAGTCGGCTCACGTACTACCAAAAGTGGATCCACAGCCATATCCCAGGCATCCAATTTGTCAAAGACCCAAATAGCCATGGACTACGTGAATGGCGTGACATACATTACTTGAGATCAGACACCAGTGGGCAAAAGCATCCTGGAGTCCACTTACCTTCCCACGCCTCTTCTCTCAGTGCCAGCCTTCTGATGTTCTTGCTGTGTCTACTGATTCTCATATAACCAAAAGACAGTGGGGAATGCGTTTCCTAACAAGCAAGTTAATGAAACAGAAGGATGCCATCAGGCTTCTCACTGACCTTTCTGAGGCGTGGTCTTTATTCCCCAGTGAAGCATCGCCATTAGCTGTACCAAACAAGCTAGCTTTCATTATCTTCTTTTTCAAAGGGGGGTGGGGGGAAAATCATTATTTTTATTTATTGTTGGAATTTTTTTATTAGAATTACTGCTTTCTCTGATGTGAGAGACATTTCAAGAACTTCTAGGCAAGACAAGCAAACCAGTTAAAACAAACATTGTTCTTCAAATGCAAAGGATGATTATTAAGTTGGGTAGAAATTAGGGCTTTATTTTTATATTTGTGCATGGTCAATGAGGATTTTTGCTGGCAGTTTCTTACTTACCAGTACAAAATGTGGTGAATATTTCCTTAACCTGTCAACTTCCTGTATGTAAAATATGTTTTCATATTCTGGAGTTATCAAAAGTTTCTATCTGCTTTACACACACACACACACACACACACACACAGACAGACAGACAGACACACACACACACTGCATTTTATCCTGGTTTAAAGTTTTCAAATGTGACTCTGAACACTGAATTTAAATTCTGGAAATACTAAAGGTTTTTTCTCCATTTTGAACCTATATTTCAACTGGCCATATTTGACAAGTCTTAAGCCAGAGGTTGAAAGAATCATATTTAATTAGTGGAACTTGAATTTTTTTTTTGCAATCTTCTTTTTCACGCCATGTTGTGATTTAAATTATTTCTCCAGTAGTATTGAGATATGTATTTGTATGGGTGTGTGTTGTTTGTCTAGTTCAGTGTGCACAGTGATTTCAGGGGGTGGGGGCCTAAAACAATCAGGCGCTGTCAGGCCCCAGAATTAATCTTTACAAATGTCTCATTTTCTCCCCAATCACTCCCCTCCACAAGTATGTTATGCTATGTTGCATGGGCCATATTAGTTGGTTCTTTAATTGCACTGAAGGGAATCTCACTGTGCATGCTGGAGTCACTGAATGTGTGACAAAGAACCTTTTGATTGGGCTGCGTGACTCTCTATGATACATAGTCATGGGAGAAAGAAAGTGCACCCTCTTTGAATTCTGTGGTTTTACATATGAAGACATAATAACAATAATCTGTTCCTTAGCAGGTCTTAAAATTAGGTAAACACAACCTCAGATGAAGAACAACACATGACAAATTACATTGTGTCATGATTTATTTAAGAGGGATAAAGCCAAAATGGAAAAGTCATGTGTGAAAAATGATATTATCTTAGACTGTTAGATATTGTGTTATTTTTAAGACAATAAACAAATGACCAACTCCAGCAATGTACTTCACTTCAGAAAGTATTAGATTAGTGTGTCCAAAACTTCTGACAACTACCAGTGCAACAGTCCAAGCCCTTAACCTTCAAGGCAGCAGATTTTACTTCGCGTCTCTATTATGTGTACAGATAGTGCTAAGCAGAAATCCTCCATTTCACAGTTGTTCCCCTAAGCACAAATTCCATAGTGGAAAAAGGACATGGATTCCATTGCCAGAGATTTTGGGTTATGTCCTTGGGTAACACAACAGCTCTATTTAGCTGTAAAAAATATTGTGCCTTTGACTTGTTACAGGAAGCCGTTAGCGTGCATACATGTTCCAGAAATAGATGAATTATAAAGTTGAGAACTGGATTTAAATCAACCCTGTTTCTTGGTGAATTAAATTATAATTCAGATGCATGACATAAGTTGCCTTGATTTAAATGGATCCATCCAGAAAAAGGACACAAAGCCAAGGATTTGTGTAGAAATTGGTCAGGCTGACTAGGGCTAATGGGAAATGGGCTTTGAGCCCACCAAGATCAAGGAGGAATCTACATACATATAAATGAAAATGAAAATGCCTTTTAAAAAACAACATGCTTTTTAAAAAACAACAACATGTTTTGAAAAATATATTAAATTTCTCATAGCTTACCATCACCATCTAGTGTCACGTTTGTATATTGCACTTTACAACACACTTAAAATGTTTCATTTGCAGCTGTATAGCTGAGTCCCTAGAAGACCACAAGCTCCCTACCCTGCTGTGTGAGTAATGATTGAATGCTTCAGTCACAACTGCTGCAGAGGTAAGGTACACTTAGGGCAGGCATAGGCAAACTTGGCCCTCCAGATGTTTTGGGACTACAACTCCCATCATCCCTGACCACTGGTCCTGTTAGCTAGGGATGATGGGAGTTGTAGTCCCAAAACATCTGAAGGGATGAGTTTGCCTATGCCTGACTTAAGGGTTGTGTAAGTAAACTGCTAAGAGTTTCCTTTTTTTATGGTAACTTGTACAGTGGAAGGAAAGCTAGCCCATCCTATTTTTAAGGCATTTGCAATATCCCCTCCCCTCTAAAGGCAAATCTGGGTAAAAAGGACCCACTGATTTGCTAGGAACAGATACCAGAAATCAGGTACTTTTCCTCAGTAACAATGATGAGGACTTTGTTACATATGTAGTCATAAAACACTGGGTGTGCCTGAGACTATCAACATCACAACATCTATGGGCTTGTTAATATCTGCTGATTGAATCTTGTTAACTTCAGTGGATTGATCCATGCATGATATCTCTATGTTTCAACATATGTCACTTCACTTTATCTTTTCAATCTCCCCCTTGCAGAAGAGTTTCTCCCCACCACCGCCCCAATCCATGTGTACATCTTGCACCCAACCTATTCACTTTATCTATTAGGCAAAGTTGTTTCTTGCCTATAAAACCTCATGTCAGAATTACTGTGTTCAGCAGTGCCAAGGGTTTAAACTAGCACTATTACACTCCCACCATTTGCAAAGGATTGACACTTATTACTTCCACCAAATGTGATACCACCATCAGATACTACCAAATGTGATGTATTACTGTGCGTGATGCACACAAACATTGCTCCCCTGCTCCACTGTCCCTCAGACCTTGTGGGGGGCCAGACTATATTTTTTTGGGGGGGGGAATGAACGAATTCCTATGCCCCACAAATAACCCAGAGGTGCATTTTAAATAAAATCACACATTCTACTCATGTAAAAACATGCTGATTTCTGGACTGGACTGTGGACCAGATTTAGAAGGTGGTTGGGCCGGATCCGGCCCCCAGGCCTTAGTTTGCCTACCCATGTTCTACAATATGACAATACCCTGCCTCATTTCCTATCCCAAAGATCACATTGTGTTCTTTTTCTCTCTCAGCTTCTGAACCCACCCAAGGATCACAACATCCCCCCTGCCACCAGCCAAGCTTTCTCCCATTCACAACTTGTCCCCCAGAAAGGACAACACTATTATCTCTTCTCCCTCTTCCAAGTTTCTCTTTCTCTCACACACACACGTATGACAGAAAGCCTCCCACAGTGTCAAAGAGGGAGGAGAGCCCATCTGGCAGTGCTTCCCTTCCTATGCTCCTCCTCCATCAAAGGTGACCCATTTGAACTCTGTGGCGGATTCCTGTAAATGCCAGCTGTCAAGTCTTAGCTCAATCCACATGATTCTTGTGCCTTCTAGTGGCTCAGATTGTCATCACAGCATGATGACAGGCCAGTATGTGTATATATTTACACACACACACACACACACACACACACACACCTGTTACTGCACCCCTTCCATTCTTACACGATTTACTTATTTGTTCAATCTTCCCCATCCCTTGCCATCATGTATTTAAATTGCCAGTCAACAATAAACCTCAGTTCACCCATTAGAAGCAGTGGTACAAAACAGCACAGCCACTATTTTAAAGTGTGTGAGGGGGAGTAAGTTGTATTTTACTATTGAATAAGAATTAATAAGAACAGATGGTCTTGCTGGCTTGAATGGTTATTATGTAATTGAACTTGGCTACTGTTGCTTCAAATCAGAATGTTTACTAGGTTGTTACTTTACAAAGGCAGCCCTGAGAATTTCAGCTTGTCCCCCTATTTAAACCTAAAGGAATGCAGCCTCAACTGTAAAAAGAATATTATTTACTGGTGTAACAATTGCATTTGCATGGACAGGCAGAGTCCCCCCAACCCCAGGCGACCCAGGTGGAATAATGACTCAAGACACTGTGTTATGGGATTAAAATTGGCCACAACTTTATTAAAACTTCAGATGTAGGGAGACCTTGGCTTAGGCATTAGGTGTTTATCCCTCCCAGTCCCTGGCCTGGGATCTGGGGAACATCAGAGTTATCCAGAATGTGTGGGGATTGGGCTGGCTCTGGAGAACATATGTTCAAGCAGAAAGCCTGCCCCCCGTTTCACCGCCATTGGAGGGGAGAGCAATGACAACCTCTCAGCGTATGGCCAATGCCTCCCCTCAAGACCCCTTTAACGGGAAACCCTGGGATCAGCGCTGCAAGGGGGGCGTGGGTCACTGTTTCACGCCCCCCCCATTTAGGAAGACAGGCTAAAGGATTCTGCCCAAGGCCTGAAACCGCCAAAGTTGTGATGTTTTGCTACAGGGAAGGCAAAACCTGCCAATGCAGGAAAATTGATTTCCGGCCCTTCAACAGCGACCATGACATAGCAGCGCCCGCATAACTGGAGAAGAGGTTAAACTGCAAAAGAAAGCTTAACTGAGGGAGGGCAGGGTGGGAGAAGCTCTGGAGCCAACTGAGGATTCCCAGGTAAGTACCTCCCTCTATTGTGTGGGCAGGCCGGTCCCTCCCCTTACCTGGCCAAATCACCTGGCAACGCCTCCTCAGTTGGGATTGGATAACTGGCAGAGGTACACAGCGACATCCAGGTGTCCAGTTGGAGGGGGGAGCCAGGCTGTACTGCCAGGAGCCACATAGGTCCAGGGGGGCTGCGCTCAAGCATGCAAAAGGTGCCTCTCATTTGATGTGGGGAGCGGTCATTGCAGTGAGAGCAGCCAATTTGTGATAGTCCCATGGTTTTATATATTTACTCTAAGGTGGGATCACGATGTTTTAAAGAAACAAATTCCATAAATGAATGGAAAACGTGGATATCCAAAGGTGGAGACCCATTCATTGGGCCACCTTCCAATCTTTGGCCTCACTTTGAAAGGGGTGCCTTATGAATCCTAACTGAAAACAATGCTTTTGGGCAACAACAGATAGATTACAGCGAATCTCCTACCAAGAGAAGGCATCTGATTTTCCTGGAACATGCAGAGGCTGAGTGTTCTTTCTTCTTGCTTCTCTCTCACATACTTTGTTTTTCCAACTCTCCAGTTCTGTCTGAGAGCTAATTGGAAACAGAGAAGGGGTTTCAGCTTCCTATGGCCCTCAGCCAACACCCCAATGTGGCCTCAGGTGAATTGTTGGTGGGAACAGAAAGGATGTGGAGGGCAACTCAGGCCCATCTGGCTTTGACATACATATGAATAAGGATGCTGGGGGACATGCTGGCTTGTTGGGATCCAGCTCTGGGTGAACCTGAAAGACCCAGCCAGCTGCTGCTGAAGCAAAAGTCGTATAATTAAAAGCAGAGGAGAAAGTTGCATTCTCTTTGGACAGTGCCAAAAAAACCTCTGGCTCCAACTCCCAGCTTCCCACCCCATCCCTGCCTGGTAGCTGGTATAGATAGGATAGTGTCCTTTTCAAGCTCAGCTTATTTCCCTTCATTCATCCCACTGATGTGTCCAGTCACCAGATTAGTGCCCACACAGCATCTCCTGATTGTCATGTTCTGGAGAAGGAGATCTCAGTGTCATCGGTGTCCTGATGGCAATTTGCCCCAAACTCCTAATGACCACTCACAGCAGCTTTATGCAGATATTAAATAGCATTGGGGATAAAGTAGTGCCCTGCTTGGTGTTTGGTTGGCTTTGGAGTGAGACCTCTTACACTTGCCTTCTGGACTTCATCTTGCTTGCTTCACAGCCTGAAGATCCCCCCCCCCCCAAATACCAAGAAGCCATTCAGACTTCCACAACACTGAATTGAGTGCTCAGGGAGCCATTGTGTTGAACCCCCATTCTTGCATCAAGAAGCCTATATACATCTGAAATCCATAGGACTATAAAATCTATAGCAACATCAGAAGAAGAAGAAATACAACATGGCTGTGGCCAAGCCGATGATGTTGAGGAGGGCATCAGCAATAGTCTGCAGAAGGCTCCTTCCCTTAGTCGGGCATCAGTTCTGCTTGGCTCCCTGGCTTCTCTCTTTTACCACTGAACATCAAGTTCCTTCAGAGGTCTTTGTTCCCAGGCTCTTTACTTTCTAACCACTAAAGCTCCCTCACCAAACCCAGGAAAGTTGGCTCCTATAATTCCAACACTCCACTGGATCCCACAGGCTGTTGGAGAAGAGTCTTGATCGCCAATAATTCTACTCTCTCCATCCAAAGTTTGAAGTTAGCCCTCCCTTATTGCGCGCACACACACACACACACACAACTTCTTGCACGTGCGTGTGAAGGGTGAATAATGAAAACTTGTCTGTGCCAAGAGCCCTGGACAGCGTCTAAGCTCTTGGCTTGTTTAGTCTCTCTCTCCCGCTCTCCCCCAACTTTCATTTCCTGTCTTGCAGTTATTTTATAACCCCCCCTCCACACACACACACTCCCAACCCTCCTGGCTTCTTATTCTTGCAGGACTATAAATCCAGGATTTACATATTGTCTCCGATCCCTGGCCTTGGGGGGTGTTAGTGGGCAGGCATTGGGGGTGGGAAAGGGTAAATAGACAACCTGTTTGCAGCTGCATGCCAGACCCGGCAAGAGGAGAAGAGGAAGGTGGGTGGGAGAAACAGCTTCTAAAGGAGCAGGGAAAAGATCTGCACACCAGACTTATAAATACAGGAACAAGAACAGTAAAAAAGAGGAACTGTAGGACAACATGAAGGTAATGTAGTATCTGAGGGGAGGGTATTTGCTTGTGTGTGGTGGTGGCTGGTGTGGAAAGCTGGGTCTAATTTTCTTCACAGGGCTTTTCAATATTCCCCCTATTATTAGTGGCTTTTGGCCGTGATCTACATAAGTGTAAGATTTCTTTAATTCATGGGATTCACTGATCAAAGACTTGCAATGGCCTGAGAGTAATTGTTTTTAAAAGAGGAGAGGTCTAACAATGGTTGTTACCCATCGTAGTACCTAGTGGAGCTTCCAGCTTCAGTGATAGTATATCTCTGAAAACCAGACACTGATGAGGGCTACTGAACTCATGTCTTTCCTGCGTGCACCATGGATTATCCAGGCTAGCTGCAGTGACAAGCAGAATGCAGGGCTAGAGAGACTTTGTGTTTTGTTTTGTTTTAAATGATATTTATTAAAGTTTCAAAGAAAAGATTACATAGATAAAAAGAAAGGAAAAATAAAAAAAGAAAAAAGAAAAAAATACAAATTACAGAAAAAAGATAAAAAAACACTTAAAAAACACATCGATCTTTCCATACCTTACATTTCATTTCCTTACTTCCCTGACTTCCTCACACCTCCCCTTTTTGTATTCCCGTTTACAAAATCCTTTCAGCAAATCCTTACCCTCTTTCATTTATCTTTACTCTGTATCTTAACCTATTATAACTATATATTTTCATCCATATAAATATCAATATTTACATATTCTTATTAACCTTATTACCAAAACCACTTATTTTCAGTCCAACATCATTTTAACATTCATTAATTTTACAGTATTTCTGCAAATAGTCTTTAAACTTCTTCCAATCTTCTTCCACCAACTCTTCTCCCTGGTCTCAGATTCTGCCAGTCATTTCCGCCATAGAGAGACTTTGTGTTTGATCCAGGAGGGCTTTTCTTGCATTCCTAAATCTAGTCATTTGTTCTACAATTGACATTCCCCCCCCAAGCCACAGGCATGCTTATTCTGCTACCCATATGTCTAACAATATCTAGTGCCTGCTTTCTAAATGGAGAAATTCCACCGGAATACTAGAGCTTTGATCCAAAACAAGCAAGCGATCTGTATCCAGGATGTATGGAGTTATGGAGGACTCATCAATCAATGATGGTGCTGGTGATATGTGACGCTATTCACATACTGTAACCATAGTAGAGATTGGCAAATTAGCAGAAGCACAACTCTTTAATTTTGACTGGAAAGGTGGGGAGACAAGGAGAGCAGGAACAGGTAAGGTTAAATTGAATAAGGGGGAGAAAAAGAATGAGAGATGCACAAGTTGTAAAAGCAGTGGCACCATTAGCTAATTTTAAAATACAGATTTAATGAGGTCATATCCAGTTAAGTCATACCAAGAGCAGACCCACTGAAATAAATAGACACAAGTTGCTTAAGTCCCTTGGGTCTGCTCTGAGTATGAATAACACTGGATATCACCCAAAGTACATCTGGTTGTTTGTACAAACTTTGCAACTTTTGCAGATTGCACAGAGAAAGCCTCCCCAGTCCCAGTGCGTGTGCAGAAGTTGTTATATAGGTAGCAATTGGGAGCAAGAATAGAAGGCAATCATCCCTATTCCTCCCTCCACAAATTCAATGAACGTCTGAAAAAGGAGGGTAGTTTAACGCCTCTGTGGGTATTGCATTACCTATAATATTTGCCCTACCTTCCAAAAAAGGGGGAGCTCAAGGGGGGTCGTGAAAGCTTCAGAACAAGCTATAAAACAAAGATTAAGCCAAGCATTTGAAGATTAAAAATGTATGTCCATTTTAGGTTTCAGTCTGAGGGAAGAGGGAGCTGTTTCAAGCAAGATTGGCATGAATGCTAACTCAGATTTCTTTGTGGTGCGTTCTTGCTGGATGTCAGGCTGTTGGCCAAAAACTTCAGTACAATTCCAAGTAAAACAAAGCGGTGGCTCTCTCACTCAGATTTTTTTGAGAGAAATCTCAGCACAGGATCCTCAGCATAGGACCAAACTAGCCGACAATCTTTCCCTGAAATTTTGTTAGTAGTAGTTACAAGCGAAATCTTCAACAAAATGTCAGGATTCCAGTGACTGTCCCATTCACCTTAAATAACTTTTCTGTCCTCACCCCTCACCAGAAGACAACCAGCCTCTTGTAGCCACTGAGCAAGCTCTGTCCTTGCTGGTTTGTTTCTGGATCTTCCTCCCCTGCTTAGTTCTCCCCACTAATTTGTTGTGAAATTGTGTTGTGCTGTGTTCTGCAATTTTCAGTGTTCCTCCAAGCCTGCTGATGCTTCCCTTTTGTGAACGGGTGGTAGCCTTTTGGATACATAAGCAATAACACTCACAGCTTGGAAATAGAGAATGATTGATCACATTTTTATCTTGCCTTTCCTTCAATGAATACAAGGCAGTCTACACACACACACACCACAACCACTGTATTCTTACAACATAGGACGTTGCCTTATGCCAAGTCAGATTATTGCTCCAGCTACCCTGGAGAGCACCTCTCCACGTTTTCTGTTTTGTCCCCAGTATGCACCATGTTCTAAAATACCATGCTCTTTCTTTCTGGCTCTCCCAGGTCTCTCTGTTCCAGCCAGGCTTGCTGTTCCTCCTCCTCCTTGTTCAGTTGCCCACCTCACAAGGACAGGCCATCAACCCTGAAGGTAAGACCTGCTGACTCTGCTATATGGAGCCTGCCCAAGCCCCTCATGTTAAGTCTGCCATTCCTATCCCTTCCCATTGGGGCCATATAGCTCAGGGCCCCTACATGAAAAAGATCTCATCTTCAATCCCTGGCATCTTCTTGTAGACCTGGAGAAAATGCTTTTTTCGAGGTGAGATCTTGGCCCGAAATCACGAGAGAGCAAGGAGCCAATTATGGATACCATGCTCTCATAGGAAAAAACCCAGGATGTCCCAGTTTTTCCAGGGCATGTGACTAGAAGTTGGTCTTCAGGGTTTCAGGCAGGACTTCCTGAAGATGTGGGTTATTGAAATTGGGACCTTCTGCATGCAAAGCTGATGCTGTTCCACTGAGCTAGAGTCTCCCCCCCCCCAAAAAAAGTTGGATGTTTGCCTACTTCCTGGAGCTAATGTAATACATTTGTAAATAAACAGACTTTGCAAATCATGGCCTTACAATCCAGTGTAATCAATAGACTTAGGTGTGTCTTACTCTGAGTAGCTTGCAAGTCTCCAGGATTCTTTTCTTTACAAGGGAATTGATCCTGTAAAAGGTACTCCCTGAAACATCCCCCTGCTTGGAAAAGCTGAGGGACTGAAACAACACTGTCGCACAATCCCCACTTCCAGGATTGGTGTGAGGTTCCGGGGAGCACAGAAAGTTTTGATTTCCTTCCAAGAGTGTGCTTTAAACTTACAAACCCTATTCAGCAATTCCACTCCACATGCGAGGAGTTAGATGAATGCAGTGGAGGAGCGATGACTCTCCCACAACATCCCTACATTGAGCACATACATTTAACTTCTGTTAAAAAAATATATATATTGCCTCCACTGCGGCAGCCCGGCAGCCACAACACTGTGAAGATGGCCTCCCACTAGACTGTGAAGACATATATGACCAAGGCTCCGAGACAGATGGCGTGTACCTTATTTATCCCGCGGGCCCCAATATCCCGGTGCCTGTGTACTGCGATATGACCACCGACGATGGAAAATGGACGGTAACAAGAGCAAAGTGTGGGATGGGAGGTCCACCTCAACCTGGCAGTAGGGATCACAGGGTTGGGGTAGATTGATGTAGGTAGCTCAGCTGTTTCTGTGCTTACCCAGGTGTTTCACTAAAGGCACCGCAATGAAACAAAGTTTGTGTGTGAGTTTTTGGTAAATTATTTCATATCTTTCCTCTTTTTGGCCATTGTCTCCTCTCTCTCTCTCTCTCTCTCTCTCTCTCTCTCTCATTCTTTGTCTGTCTTTCTCATTTGTGAGCATATATGGATGCATAATTGCACTCACACACTGAAGTGCATAGGTACAACGTTCCCTGTTTTTAGCCTTTGGATTTTTTAAATACCCTAGTTGAAATTTCCTTATGTTTCATTTTTTATATTTTTTTGTGTTTCACTGTTTACATTTTTCCACCTTCATGAGTGTTTGGCAGCAGGAAAGGCAGGCTTTAAGTAAAGTTTTCTTTTTAAAAGACAGGAGGGAGTGAATGTTTATGGGAAGAAGGAATCTTTGTTTTTGTACCTTGAAGGCACACCATCTCCTTCATGTCACCACCACTTTGGGATTCCTGTTTTCCATGGTGATGGGAGGAACGCCGTTGGTGGCGGCGGCGGGGGGAATGAGTGGGTACCAGTTCATTAGAGATTAATGCTATCATTTTCCTTCCACCACATTTTCCAGGTTTTCCAGAAACGATTCAATGGTTCAATCAGTTTCTTTCGGGGATGGAATGACTATCGGTTTGGCTTTGGCAGAGCAGACAGTGAATACTGGCTGGGTAAATAGAAATGAGTAACGGGAAATACCTTCTTTCTCCCCCCCTCCTTTTAAACAACAACAACAGCAACAAAACAGACAATATGAATCATTGACAACCAAAAAGTAACATGAATTCAGTACAAGGAGGTTTTGATGATAAAATACAAAAGCCAATTGGTCAAAAATCATGAGTAAATGGAATGGATATTGGGCTCATCCACACTTACCATTTGTCCTGCACTTTTTAGGCACTGATCCATGCTTTAAGGCTGAGTACTTTTCTTTCCCCATGAAAACCTGCTCTTTTAATACAATTCAAGTTTTCTGTGGGTTGCAGTTTGTTCTGATTTAGTGGTAAAGAGAAGGTTTTCATGGGAAAAGCATTGGGGCAAACAAGAAAACCCAACAAAACACTCTTGGACCCTTTGAAATGTGGACCTGTGCCTAGAAACATGGCACAAAAGAGAGTCTGAATGAGCCCATAATTACGAAGTTGTCAGCGGGGTGGAAAAACTCAGCTTACATTGCACAACAAAGCAAATAAGAGGAAAGGGGTTCCAGCCCATTTACAGACAAGGATTTGCCACCTGAGTGACTGTGTTGTCACGTAGTTAATAAATAACCGCTAAGAACAGGTAGAGTCAGAAAGATCAGCATCACCTTTAGTTGCATGAAGATTACAATTTCTTTGAGATAGTGATGAACATAACTTTCTTGAACCAGTTATCTAGGGTATAACGTTTTTCCAGCCCTCTTTTTCTCTTCTCAGCAGGCCATGGGTTTTGTCCCCCCCCCCCGCCCGCCCCCCAGCTCTTGACAAAGACATTTTCCTTTGCCAGGACATTCTGGAACACCAAATGTTTGGGTTTCTTCCCTATGCAGCTGAAACATGTTCCTGGGCCCAGACAATTCCAGTGTAAAATGTGAGCATGTTTTCAGTGTCTCTGAGCCAAGAGATGCAGCCAAGTTCCCCTTTTCTGCCTGCCCACCACTTTTCTGTCCAAAGGCACTGGCTCAGACAATACATAGCTCCCAACGAAAAGAGTGGGTGGGTGTGTTGCTGTCTTTTGTTCTGTGTGTATACAGTTTGGGTTCCTACATAATACTTCTTATCTGCTCTATGGCCCAGGGCTGCAAAATATCCACCTCCTGACCTTGAAGCAGAAGTATGAACTACGTGTGGAGCTGGAGGACTTTGAGAACAGTACGGTCTTTGCCAGATATACGGACTTCTCACTGTCGCCACACGCTATCAGTGCAGAAGAGGATGGCTACACACTGCATGTGTCTGGCTTTATTGATGGGGGAGCAGGTGAGGGGCTGTGAGTGCCAAGTTACTAGTCATCCCTTTCTACTGTTACTTCAGCCCCCCACCCCATACCCAGGATTGGGTAGGGTGCTAGCTCCTAACACATTGGCTCTATCCCCTGAAATAGATCCTTCAACTACAATAGCAAGGGTGGAGAGCTTCAGGCCCTCAAAATGTTGTTGGATTTCAAATTCCATCAGTCTTAGCCAGCATGGACAATAGTCAGGGATATGTGGAGTTGGAGTGCAGCACTGAGGAACATGTGGAGGAACCTCTATATGTTGGACTCCTAACTTCCATCTGCCCCAGCCAGTATAGCGGATGGGGGTCCAGGAACAGACTCCCTGCTACTGTTATAGAGAGTCCTGAAGTGACCTCCAGTCCCATCCAACACCACATAATCCAGAAGTCCTGGTTCTGAGTCACATAAGGACAATGCATTGGATCAAACTCCCCTCCCAGGGTTTGGTTCTTAACTTTGGGAAAATTTTCTGTACATCAGTGTGGTTAAGTATAATTGCCCCGAAACTCAGATCACAAGAAAGTCCACTCTTTGGAAAGCATGCCAACAGCCAGTTGTATCAAGCTAGGCACCTAGCTGCAAGTGAATCTACTCTAAAGTAAGCACACTACTCCAGCTTTTTATTGCAGCAGGCTTCGTGGCAGGTACCTAACCTCAGATGTTGCAGAGCTACAGCTCCCATCATCCTTGACCGCTGGCCTTCACAATGAGCTTGTGGGAGTCTAATAATATCTGAGGTGCCACAGATTACCCACCCTTTCTTTATGGAATCCACATTTTTGTCACACCATTGTCTTTGTGCTCCCACCAGGTGACTCATTGACCTACCACAACGGCCAGAAGTTCTCCACGTTCGACCGGGACCAAGACCTTTTTGTGCAGAACTGTGCGGCGCTGTCTTCGGGTGCCTGGTGGTTCAAGAGCTGTCATGTTTCCAACCTGAATGGCTTCTACCTTGGCGGGGCCCACCTCTCCTATGCAAGTGGCATTAACTGGGCCCAGTGGAAGGGCTTCTACTATTCCCTCAAGAGAAGTGAGATGAAAATACGCCGTGTCTGAGAGACGGGGTGGCCTCTCCCATTCCTCCTTTCCAGTGGCCTTCCGAAGATGAATTTCCATTGAAACAAACAAAACCTATATTGTGGATAAGGTTGTGGAACTGGGATTGAGCAGGTGGGGACTAGGGCTGTGATGGAACTAAAGCCATTGCCAACACAAACAAATTTTGCCTTGTCTTAAACTTGTGCTGTGCTGAAATCTGTCTTCTAATTCCTTGAAAATTTTCTTTCCCAAAGAAAGATGCTTGATTTTTCTGCCTCTTTCTCAGTGTACTTCAGAAAGTATTTGCAGTTACAGGGAGTTGGGGTTGAGCTTACTTACTTTATCATTCATTGCAAAGGTGGCCAGTAGTGGTGGGGGCTTTTTGGTGTCAATCAATTTCTCCAGCACTCTGTGGCCCTCTTGCCTGTCTGTGCTTCCTGATCTGAAAAAGCCACATGGGAGGAGTTATCTCATGATTTCTTTCCTTGGGCTTCAGTCGAACTGGAGGAAGCTGAGGAGGTTGCCTACCAACTGCATGAAACTGGTCTTTCCTTTTACCTTAAAATCAAAACACAACGCCACAACATCCACACAAGGATCACTTTAAAAATAAAAGAAGATGTTACTTTAAAAACATCAACCGTCAGGCAGCTATCGTGGGCATGGTAGGCAACCTCCGCAATTTCTAGTGCTTTCAGGAAACCTCACCCAAGGAAGTCATGAGATGCTCAGGAAGTACAGACTACAGATTGCAGACACCAGAGGGATGTTTTGTAGAAAAGGAAGAAATAGGCCATGTCAAAAGTCATGTGAGTGCAACAAAACTCCCACACCACACTAATAAAGATTTCACCCAAAGTCTGATCATTTTCAAATGCAATTTCTTTTTACAAAAAACAGACAATCATTTTAAAAAGAGCTCTCTCTTTTTTGCACATCATTGTTTCAAACCTGTTTAGCTGCCATGACTACAAAGCAATGCTCTGGATAATTCCTTAAGGAAGGTTTTCTAATACTCTCAGAAAATGATTCTCAGAGCTCTTTGGGAAACAGTGAAGCTACTCTGAAACTCACAAGTGCACAAGAGAGACATATCTAAATCTGCTAAGGGGAAGAGATGATCTTCATGTTGTTTGAGGCCAGGATTGAGAGTCTGCAGCACAGATGACTGGATTAGCATTCAAACCAAGAGTGATAAAATGATGGGAAGAGGGGAAGAACACAGGCAAAAGCACCCCAACCAGTTTTCCAAGTTTAAGAATAATTATAATCCTTTGTACCCCTTTGGTTTATACTTTGAAATAAAGCCACATTCTCTGAAACTGAGACAGTGATACAACTGTAATGCGGGGGGAGCTTTTTTGAGGCCAGGAGTGAAAAATCTGTAGCCTTCCAGATGTCACCCCTGATTGTTGGCCATACTGATGGGAGTTAGTACAGCAACATCTGGAGAGTGACAGGTTCCCCTCCCCAAGTTTAGGTAATTTGTTATTTCTTTACTGGTCAACTTCCCTGCACCGAGAAAAAGAGTATTAGTTCTTCAAAATGTGTGCTTCTTTTGACATCTGGCTGGCCTGAGTAACCATCCAAACTGCAAAGCAAACTTAGAAGATGGAAATGAAGACTAAACACTGCTTTCCCCAGCCTTCTCGTGTCCTGCCAATAAGCTTGTTTTGACTCCAGGCTGTTCACATCTGGATTTCGTCCCCTGCAATTAAGGCAAAAGTCACCTGAGGCTACAGCATTGTGATGGCTGAGAACCAGGATATATGGTGTTCTTTTTGTGTTCTCATAAAACTGGTTGTGTTTTGGGTGTGTGTAGCGGGGTGGGCGGGGGAGGAAACGGTGGTGGAAAGACCTACCACAAAGGTTTGGATCCTGAGCTGCAGTCTGAGCAAGAAGGGGGCAGAAAAACCACACACACAGCCAAGCCAGGTAAAATAAATAAATGTATTTCCTGAAACAAGAGCCAAGAGAGGCTGGGTGGGCAGGGACAAGTAATAAGCAGCCCCCAAAGCCAAGGCACTTGGATATAATGCCGGGAATATAGAGTATATCTGACAATGAATTTGCTTTCCTAAAAAGTGTTGCGTCAGAACATCAAGTTTCTAGGCACTTCAGAATACACTATGGAGAATCAGTGGGAAGGTTTCCCTGAGGATAATGAGAGACGCTTTATTCCCATGAACAAGTGCAAATTTCCCAGCAGCCTTTGCTGTTCAATAGAATCGGGAACTGCATCCCTCACTCACCTGACATTGCATACCTGAGAGACTGAATCAGCAGGGTGCTGAAACTGATTAACCCCCCATGAACATGGTAACAGCTGAAAGGTTTTGACCTCCTGAAATAAATTGCAGGGAGAGGGTGCAGCTTAACTACATCAAGAAGAAAATAACTCCTTTCCATTCCCCGACTTCACACTAGAGGCTAAAGTGAGGGCTCACTTTTCAATATGTGAGCTTTAAAGAGGGGGCAGTAATGTTTCTCCCAGGATGCCCTTCTAGGATGCCACCAGGCTGCTCCCTAGCTTGTGTTGCTGGTGCTACAGATAGGCTAAGGAAAAAATAGGAGGGTCCGATTTCCTCGTCCCCTCCACTCTGCTTATTATCTCAGCATAGGTGTTGGGGGCAAAAGTAACCTGCAAAAGGGTCCATGATACTCCAGAGGCCCCCTGTTCTGCATTACCTGTCCTGGACACTGAAGGAAGCTGGAAATGGACACAGAAGGAAGCACTGCTCCCTTACCTACCACTAGAGAGAATGCAATCACCCTAGCATCAGAAGGCCGCATTACTAGGCCTCAAGTCATCACTAGTGTGTCACCTCTCCATGTTGATGAACACTAAGGGCATGCTATTTTGCTATCCCTTAACCAGCCACGAGAGGGAGAGGGAAAACAGTTCTTAATGTGTTTTACAGGACAGTATGTAAGATCCATTCCCCTGCTGCCATCCACACCCTTGGAGATATGCCTGAATGAGAAAAGGAGAGGTGTGCAGGCTACAATGATCTGCCACTTGTTTGCAGCGGAAGCTGTAGGTCACAGGACTGCCTCTTTGTCAACCCTAAGGTGAGTTCCGTGACCCAATGAGGCACATTTCGTCTGAGAGGCTGGTCTCCTCTTCACCCTCAGGGTCGTCTTCACTCACATTCTTGGCCTCCTGGGTCTTCCTCTCCCCGATGCTGCTCCCCACGCCAGCCCCAACCCCACCCCCAATGACCGCAAAGGTGCTTGCGCCAGCCATGGTCCCAATGGCAAACGTAGCGGCAGTGCCAGTGCTCAGCGCAATGGCTTCTGCGGCCAACACGGCAGCTGCCACGCCAGCCCCGATGGCTCCACCAGCTAACCCCACAGCACCCACGCCAATTGCCACCCCAGCTTTGAGGGCATGGGACTTGTAGCGACGGTGGTAGCGCTCCTTAAAAATTTGAGCTTCGTGCTTCAGGTGGTCTTCCAGTGACAAGATGGACTCTGTCCGGCCCGGTTCATCACCCTGCAGAGACTCCTCACACCGCCGCATTAATTCGCACTGCTTGCTCAGAAGGCGCCGCGTCATGGATTTGGGAGTCACTTGCAGGCCAGCAATCATGGGACGACAGAGCTCGTCCTGAGTGGAAGAAGGAAAGATGCGTCAGGGTTACAGAACTGGGTAGGAGGGAAGGAAAACAGAAAGGAGATGCCAGTTCATTACCCAAGACAATCCCACTTCATAGTAATACAATTGTATTTCTCCTGCCCTTTCTCCTAGAGGATCATATGGCACCCGTGGGGAACCTTAGGCCTGGAGGCTAAATGTAACTCTCCAGGCCTTTCTATCTGGCCCTTGGGGACTCTCCCCAAGCATAGCTAGATCCCCTCTTTGCTAGTCACAGGCCTCACCACTCCTACTTCAAGACTTTCTTGCGAGTTTGTTGTATTGACTCGCTGTAATGTGTCCATGAATTCTGGCAATGCCTGGTGCTTGCCTGGATATCATATAGATAGAGATGTGTGAGTGTGTGCAGAAACTAGCCTACTGTACAAAAGTAAAGTCACTCCTGGAGTATCACATCCTATCCAAAACATCTAAAAATTTAAATGTTTCTGGACAGTTCTCTCAAATGGATCCTACAGACGACACCACCTGTTATCCCTAAAGTGCAACCAACAGTGGTCCAATATTATAAATATGTCCTGCCACCAGCAACCTGCACGGCACATTTATTTCCTTCTCCCAAATCCAACCCTCCAAAATTCCTCAAAATCTTCTTTGCCAACATTTTTCTTAACCCACAGCCACATCTGTTGATTTGGTTCTGCTCATACCTGCTCTCTGATGAAATCTGCAAACTCCTGCCGCAGTTTTTCCTGGGTGTCCAGATTGTGTAAGGTGATAGCCATCTGGGGAGGGTGGAAGGAAATGGAAGATTCTCATTTTTCAGTTGAGTCCCCTCAAACCCCATTGCCAGAAGAGGCAAAGGAAGGTAAGTATTCATTCATACACCAATCCTGCTTGTGCCAGCCATCTTCTTCAGTTTGCATATGACATCTTCCTTGTGGTGATGGACAGGAATAGAGGAAACTGCCTTACACCAAGCAAACCATTGGTCCATGTGGCTCAATGTTGTACTCACTGACTGGGAGTGGCTCTCCAGGGTTTCAGGCCATAGTCTCTCCCAGCCTTACCTGGAGCTGCCAGGGATTGAACCCTGAACTTTCTGCATGCATAATGAATAGTCTACTACTGAGTTATAGCCCTTCCCTATTGATAACACAGCAACAGAAGCTGTCGCCCCCCCACTCACTGACCTCTCAGTCCCATCTCGAGAAGGTTTTTATTTCATTTATCACGTAATGGACACCTGTGGTCTGCTATCCAAGCACTAACCAAACCCAGAGCTGCTTAGCTTCAGCAAGGTTATTGTATTATTTGCCATTGAAATATACCTTGGCTGATGGATGCAGCGTCCAAAAATGCAGCTTCTGCTTAAATAGATCAAACAGGTAAGCCAAACGACAAGCAATATGGGGGCCTGGTCAAGGAAACAGAAGCAGGGCTGATCATGAACATCAGATGATGAGAGTGAAGTTTGATACCTGAGTGACTGAAGAGAAGCCAAACTTATACTTCTTCATCAGAGAGGAGAAATTCTGAAAAGGAAAGAGAAGAAAAGGAGTGGCATCTGAGAATGGGGTTTACAACTGCCTCCCCACACCAAAAGACAGTCACATACTGTCAGAAGCCACAGTGCTGCAGTTAAATACATTCACAGTCCACACGTACATCACATTTGTTTTCCCACACTGGGAGCATGTACATTCATTTGCTTTTTTACAAATGATGTTTTGACTTTCGGCCCTAATAAGACAACTGCACAGTTAAAGAGACCTTAACAGTTAATTAATACAACTAGGATAATAAAAATATCAAGATTGCAATGGGGTTTAGAACAAACAAACGTAAGAAGCAGAACCAATGACAAACACAAGAGAAATGGAGTTCAAGCCAGGGCAACTGGCAAATTCCAAAAAGGGAAAGAAAAGAGAAAAACAAAAAACAAATCTTGATTTTGGCAGCATGGCCTAAGTTCCACTGCAGTGGAGTTGCAGCTCAGCCTGTGTGCTAGGACAAGCCACACCCACACTAACACTTGGACATGCTGAAGGGAGTCAACGGCACTACTGAGTTGCAGCGGTGTGCCTGACGGAGAGGTCTCATATCTCGAACTTTCTCCTAGTTAGCAATAGCAGCACTGGCTACACTAGACCTGAAGTACAGCTTAGCAAGTGAGGTGAGTGGAAGGGATGGCAATGAGTTGGTCCCTGTCCCAAAATACATAGGAAGCTGCTTTATACTGAGTCAGGCCATTGGGTCCATCTAGCTCAGTACAGTGGTACCTTGGGTTAAGAACTTGATTCGTTCTGGAGGTCCGTTTTTAACCTGAAACTGTTGTTAACCTGAAGCACCACTTTAGCTAATGGGGCCTCCAGCTGCCGCCGTGCCGCCGCTGTGCGATTTCTGTTCTCATCCTGAAGCAAAGTTCTTAACCCAAGGCACTATTTCCGGGTTAGCGGAGCCTGTAACCTGAAGCATCTGTAACCTGAAACATCTGTAACCCGAAGTACCACTGTACTGTCTGTACTGTATGCTGGCCAGCAGTGGTTCTCCAGGATTTTAGGCAGGAATCTTTCCTACCTAGAGATCAAACCCTTCTGTATGCAAAGGTGTTGCTCTAACACTGAGCTATGGATGCTCCTAATTAATACAGGATGTAGCAAAGTCAGAGCAAAGTCAGAGTCCATCGGGCTCAGTACTGTCTACACTGACTGGCAGCACCTCTCCAAGGCTTCAGGCAGGAGTCTCTCCCAGACTTACCTGGAGATGCTAAGAACTGAATCCGGGACCTCCTGCATTCAAGGCAGATGTTCTGCCACTGAGTTACATCCACCCATTGGATATCAGCCAGGTCTACATTATTTTTAGATTAGAACCAGTCCAAGAGTACACCCATCTATACACATACATACTAGCAGCTTTTCTTCACATAGCCAAAACAGCATCACACAGACACCAAATCTTACTTCCTTAACAACCCTGTGTTGCAACAGTTACATTTCAGAGGAAAACTAGACTTTGACTGGCCAGCTTTTAAGTCAGCCCCTACAGCTGTGCATTTAACAATCACACGGTGTCCAGCTATTAGCATGCAATAATGTTTAGCTCTGGGCTGTGAAAAACTTCACCTGCTGAAAAGCAACACAGGGATGAAGAACACCTGCCCTGCCACCAATGCTTATGGACTACAGCTCCCACCATCTCTGGCCACATTGGCTGGGGCTGATGGATCTTGGAGTCCGACAACAAGAGGGCCAACGGATCAAACTTCTGTCATATGTACATGTACATGTTAGGGCAATGTTTTTATTGGTCAATCTCTTTTAGCACATGCCTATACTTTAGTGCAATTAAACTCTAATTAACAGGAGAGCCTCTACTTCTTAATGGCAGTGTAGGGAGGTTTTCGGCAGGCAAAGTGCTTTTGCACTCAGCGTCTCCTTGCCCCCCACATTCCATGCCGGAGTAAGAGCCAGGTACCAAGATGAACTACCCCCATCCCCCCAATCCCTGGGGGGGAGGATTTGCAAGGATAATTACCCTCAATCGTCCTTGTTTTCCCTTTGCCAACAATCTCCTGCTGTCATGGGGTCTTCTTCCATTAAGGCAGAGCAGAACCAAAAGCCTCTACTCTTTTATATAAGCCTACCCTAAGCCATCTCTTTGCACATAGCACATCTTCTTTGCCTATCAGAGCAGTGTGACAGGCAGAAATTCAACAGGTGGAATTCTCCATGTTCTGTCCAGATTAGAGACTTGATTCTGCATCTCTTACCTTCACCTTGGCTGCAAGTTGTGCCCCTGTAAGGGCTCTTCCCTCCTGGTCACTCTTTACATGCATTACAGCTGTTCTGGCTATGTCGTTCCCATAAGCCTCCAGGCAATCCCTAAAATCCTTATCCATGTCTGGAAGGGGAAACAAAAACAAAGCAGGCAATTCAGGCAAAGGAACTGTAACAAATGACGCTCTCAGAACAGCTGCTCCCCCTGGTGGCCACAAAGAATGATGCTGAAGGTTCAGTAGCCCTCCCCAATTTTACATTTGACCATGCCGCTGAATATAAGGAGAGAGAAACCTAAAAGCACGTGAACAGAGCATTTGGAGCAGTAACTTAGAACAACAGAATTGCAGAGTTGGAAGGGACCCTGAGGGTCATCTAGTCCAACGTCCTGCACTGCCATCCATGGGTGGGCTCGAACCACCAACCTTCCGGTTAAAGGTTTGCATTCAATACCAGGAATGGGGAACATGGGGTCTGCCAGATGTTTTTGAACTCCAGCTCCCATCAACCCCAGTCAGGATGGTCAGTGGTCAGCGTTGATGACATGTCACATGTTCAGCCGCCTTGGTCTGGGGCTAGGCAATGAGAAGCTGTAGCTTCCACCCTCCTGCAGCCTGATCCAGGCTGCTGCTGCCCAGTTAGATATGGGTGGGAGAAAGTGAGAAGAAATGGTAGATCAAAGTGACAGATAACATTTGTTTGCATCACATTTAGGTTTGACATAAGTGATGCCAAAGCCTGAGAAACTGGAAGGACTAAAGGACCCAAGTTATTGCAAGTTGTTTTAAACTGTTTTTAACATTTTGTGTTAGTTCTTGCGACCCACCCTGGGGCCTTGAAGTGAAGGCTTGGTAAATAATGAAAGAAACATCATTTCTTCTTTTTTTACATGATAGAAGTGGGGAAATGCTTTTCTATTGTTTTGGGGTTAAGTAGTACATGCTGTACTGCTTTCTATGGGCAGACTAAAGAAACAATGAGGACATCAAAGGGAACCAGTAATTCCAGCCGCCAGATAGCAGAATTAAGCAGTTTTCTCCTCTTTAAAGTCTTTGGCTAGCAAGGAGAAAACGCCACTATGGATTAACAAAGGAGTTTATTATGGAACCAAAGCTCCACTTAGTGGATGAATGAGTGAACAGCTCACATGCTGCACAGAGCTAATGCAGATTAGAGGAGCAAGAGTTGGATTTGGAGCAACTTGTGGGAATGATGGAAAGAGAAGAGGTTCTTACCTGCAAGTGTGCCCTCAGTTCCCACCACCAGCCTCTTGCCAGGGAAGGGCATCAGGTAGCAGCGGGTGCTGGTGCTCCTGAGGGCCTCCAGGGCCCGTGGGTGCCTTTTGGGATCCAGTTTCTGAGGAGAAAGAATGAGAGAGAATTAGATGTAGCCATCCAAAAACAACCACCCGGAGCCAGGCTTGTTGTGAATGGGACTTCTCAAGCACTCTTCCAAAGCAGCTAGTTGGGTTGGATTGATATATTCATATTCGTATTCATATTCATATTATTATTTATACCCCACACATCTGGCTGGGTTTCCCCAGCTACTCTGGGCAGCTCCCAAAAGATTAAAAACAGAATGAAACATCAAACATTAAAAACTTCCCCAAGCAAGGCTGCCTTCAGATGTCTTCTAAAAGTCAGATAGTTGTTTATTTCCTTGACATCTGATGGGAGGGCATTCCACAGGGTGGGCGCCACCACCGAGAAGGCCCTCTGCCTGGTTCCCTGTAACCTCTCTTTTATCTCTGCATGGTTTTCTAACCCATTCAACAAGCCATAACTTCAACAGTAAAAATAATAGAGCCAACAAAGCAAATGATAACTAATACAAACAGCAGTTGGAATAAAAATCCAGAATCCTACGTAAGTCCAGAAGCTAAAAGCAATTAGAACAGAAAATCAGGAAGGGGGAAAGTACTTGGCACAAGAATTTAAATATGCCTATTGCAATCAAAGCAGTGGCCCAGTTACACCCACCAGGCCATTTCAGCCAAGCCATGCCCACTTACCCTACACCTGTCATCATATTTGATGCCAGGTGTGGGGTAGGTAAAGATGTGACTGGGCCCAAAGGGCATCTCCTATCAACAGCACCTGAAAAGTACAAAGCTGTGCCCTTCAAAGTATGTGGACAAAAATGAGTTATCTGCATCACTGTGATGACAGATGAGTGACCCTACCCACCAGTTCAAGCTGCCCATGAAGGTAGATGAGATAAGGACCCACCCCACCAATTGGATCTCATTCCCCATCCCTGAATCAATGGGTCTGGATAAACAAAATGGCCTTCTATTCAACCTTAAAAAGCCATAGATTGGGTACCAGGCAAGTCTTTCTTCGGAAGGCATTCTATAAAATGGGGTGCCGCCAACAAAAAGGCCCTCTCCCTGGTAACCACCTTACTCACATAGTTGGAATGGAGAAACTGGAGAAAGACTCTCCATCCAATGCTTCCACTGTCACATTTACCTGTATGGTACTTTGGAGGTAATTCTGTCCCTCCTGGAATCCAAATTGAGGTGGGAAGAACCAGTCACGCACCAGGACATCAAGATGCTGCAACAGAGAGACGAAGCATGTGAACTGCTTTTCCTACAATATGCTCCTATTCCTCTTACACAAATCCTTTCAATGACCACACTTTGACTACTGTGTCCAGCTCCGGCACTGAGTCTGAAAAACAATAATGTAAGGCTGAAAACTGCAGAAAAGTGCAACCCAAATGATGCAAACAATATATCATTTAAATCGGAACCAGTGAAAGCAGTGAATGCCCTGTGTGAGTGTCTGGAAGCAGTTGGAAGGTAGATGGTGGTTAACAAACTGAGGTTGAATCCCAACAAGACAGACGTTTCTGGCGGGACAGGGCAGGTGTGGGATCTCCCTGGACCTGCATTGAGTAACTGCCACTAAAGGACCAGTTTGCATTTCTTAGTGAAGAAAGTATTGATCTGATGTATTGATCTTTCCTATTCTGGTTAATACAAGAGGATTCTAGAAGCTACTGGAAGTTTCTCTGTGTGAGAGAAGCAAGCAGAAGGGTCATGATTGTTTTGGTTATACCTTCTGGAAGCTGAGTACAGCTGGTTTGAACTGGCTCTCTTATCTCTTCCAATTAAGGTCATGCTGACTATAAATATAGGCCAGAAAGAGCCTGGGTTCTGCTTTCTCTTTCTATCCCTCTGGTGTGTACATAGTATGATTAGTGTTAAAGTTTAGTCTTGTTTTAAGTTTATAAGTTTTTTTAAGTGCTGCAACTGGATTTTTATGGACTGTGCCAATCCTTAATGTACAGTGGTACCTGGGGTTAAGTACTTAATTCGTTCAGGAGGTCCGTTCTTAACCTGAAATTGTTCTTAACCTGAAGCACCACTTTAGCTAATGGGGCCTCCTGCTGCTGCTGCCGCGCCGCCGCCGCGCAATTTCTGTTCTCATCCTGAAGCAAAGTTCTTAACCCAAGGTAATATTTCTGGGTTGGCAGAGCTGGTAACCTGAAGCGTATATAACCCAAGGTACCACTGTACTGGATTTGTAACCATTTATGCTCATTTGCCTTCAGCACTAGTAAAGCTCTGCTGGATGAAGTACAATTGCCTCTGGTCTATTTTTGGAAACTGCATTGTGTTTACCATATTTTTCATCCTATAGGGCGCACCGGCCCATAGGACACACCTCGTTTTTTTGGGGGGGAAATGCATAAAAAAAATATATCCCCCCCCCAGCTGCGGCTGCTGCCCCAAGCCTTGCGGACACCCGCAAGCAAGGCTTGCGGACACCCGCCCAAAGCACGGGGAGCCCTCCAGAGGGCTCCCCGTGCTTCGGGCTGCAGGCTGCTGCCCGCAAGCCTTGTGAGCCCGCGGGAACTCCCGCGGGGCTTGCAAGGCTTGCAGATAGCTTCCTGAAGCCTGGAGAGCGAGAGGGGTCAGTGCGCACCGATGCCTCTCACTCTCCAGGCTTCAGCGAAAGCCTGCATTCGCCCCATAGGATGCACACACATTTCCCCTTCATTTTTGGAGGGGGAAAAGTGCGTCCTATGGGGCAAAAAAATACAGTAAGTTTTTCCTCCACACGTATGACAATGCATAGCCACTGGTTCTTTTGGACTCACCGCTGTCCATGGAAGCGCAGGTTAACTCAGTCAGGTGAGCGGCTAATAATAATATCAGTATAATTATTAACAGTTGCATTTGTATGTTTTTACCTTATGAAAAATGTGAATAACCGGGAACATGACAGAGGCATAGAAAACAATGCTTGGTGTTGAGTAATACAGAGAGGGACATGCTCTTTTTCCTGTCTCATAATACACAGGGTCATCCATGAACGGTGTGAAATTCAGAACAAACAATGGAGAATCTTTCCTCACATGGAGCATTGTTTTAACTATGGAAGATGCAGTGATGACCATCAACCTGGTCAGGATAAAGCTACCAATCGCTACCATTGCTACTGCTCAGGTATCAGAGGCAATACCAATTGCTGGAGAAAAACAAGTGGGAGAATGCCATTGTGCTCAGGTTCTGTTTGCAAGCTGAATAAAGCTGAACTTGGGAAGATTCAGGGCAAAGAAAAGGAGGCACACCTTCACACAGCACATACTTAAGTGAAGGGATTCTCCCCAAGCCATACTCCCTCCTTTGAGCCCTCCTTGCATTCTGATAACGTCTGTTGCTTGCCTAGATGAAGGACGGAGAGGGGAATGCAAGTGTCTGCAGAAACATGCCTACAGTACAAAGGTAAAAGGCACGTCCCTTGGTTTTCTCATGTGTGCTTCTGGCCCTACTCACCATTGGCATGTGACACCTGGAAAGTGACCCAGAAAGAAGCATGGCCCTTTGGACGAATGAAATTCCCAACCTTGGGATAGGCAGAATTACCCAGAGCTGATTTACATATGAATTGGGTGGACAAATCAATGTCTGCCCAATTATATATCGGTTTTGCCTTTTTCATTCCATATAGAGGTGTTATTTTGGGTTTGTGACACTCTCCTTATGATTGAAAAGAAATGCAAAGGGGTGTTTTAAAAAGCAACAACAAAAACAGTGGGAAGAGCAAATTATTGGGCGCTTGCAAATGAGAGAAAAAGAGATGTGGGTGCCAGGCAGAGGAACACGAGGCTGGGAGAGGTGGCTGAGGAGATGGGAACCCAGGAACAAAGGAGCTCTTTGACAGATCGGCGAGGCGGAGAACACGAACATCATGGCAATCGTAGGAGAAGGAAAAGAGAATGGAACAAAGAGAAGGAAGTGGAACAGCCGGTGCGCATTACCTGAAAAGGCTTTAATCTGCAGGAGCCTCCTACCGTCTCAGCTACATACATGAACATCTGTGGGCAGAGGAAATGGGAGACCCACCCAGGAAATGAAGAAATCTGGTTTACTTAGCCCTTTAGCCCAGCCCACAAGATCTATTCCCCTCTCAAGAGGCCATGGGCTTCAGAAGCAAGGAGCCAAAACCACACAGGATAAATTTATGACTATGGTATTTATTATATTGTGGTATTAGTTATGTACATCACCATTTGTATCCCCACCCCCACAACAATAGTTGGAGTCATCTCATTTTATGGTCATAATATCCCTTGGAGGTAGGCAAAGCTGAAGAAGTCTTGACTGGTCCATGATTAGTTGCATGGTTGAACAACATTCAAACTCAGTCCACAGCAATCTTGGTCCAAAAACTCAATCTACAACATCTGGAGGGCTACAGGTCAGGGAAAGGTGCCCTAGGGATTTGTTGCCTTTCACTGCAATGTGCAGCATGGCTTACTCAAACCATCTCTTGGCATCTGCTTTTCTAGCATTTTCTGGCAGTGCATGGATTCTCTGCTTGCAGTGTGAGGCAGTTTTGGCTGCATGGATTGTTCTGCTGGGCAGAAACCTGCCTTTTGTCTATCAGGGACTGTTAGACAAAAAGAAACTTTGTCCCTTCCAGTTCTATATATCCAGCCTTCTGCTTCCCTGAAACTTGGGGGAACTCAGGAATTCTGGATCTTGCCCACCCACCTTTCTAGCCCACATGGAGAGAACCAGCTATTTTTATTCCAGCCAACTATTTTCCTCATCCTTCCCCTGGATAATGCCCAATCCCCCTTTCCCCTTTTACAATCCTACTCACCTCCAGGTATTCCAAATCTGGGTCCTTCATCATGGTGGCCAAATTGAGTATCTAGGAAGAAACAACAGGGGTGTCAGAAGATGCGCTGAACTTACTTTTGCAACAGGAAGGAAGAAGAGAAAGCACACCTGGAAAGGAGGGATCTGGCAGGAACCCACCTGATAGGAGCTGAGCAGCATGGAGAAAGCTGAGAGCTTGACACCATCTTCAACGTTTCTTTCCACATCCATTGACCCCTCTGTGTCCACCAAGAACATGGCAATCTAAAGGGACAGTAAGAGATTAACGGACTCTCATAGGAGAAGTTTCCTGAGAGAAAAGGAATTAGTTTGGCCGGCGGGCTCCAAAGTACCTACTTATAGCTTATAGGTGGCATGTGTCTGTTGTGATGGTAAGCCATATTGGCTTCCTGTCCATTGCTGAGCCTAAGTGGGTGGTATGTGCCTTGAACATCCTAAATGTCTTTGGATCCAAATTCCCCATGAAGTTCTTCTTCTCGTACTGGCCAGCCAATGTCATGAGATCTTCCAGAGAGGCCCTGATCTAAATGCCCACCATAGAACTTAGAGGATGTGCAGTGTTGTATAATGGTTAGAATATCAAACTAGGATCTGGAAGGCCAGAGTTCACTCAGCCACAAAGCTCACCAGATAACCACAAAAAGTCACTGTCTCTTAGCCTAACAGACTTCACAGGGTGGTTGTAATTCTGCAAGGAGAGAGCCTTTTCTGTGGTGACACTCCAACTTCAATCCCCAAGGCTGCAGTTCCAGTACTAACATTATAAGCTTTACAATGCAAGGAGAAGACCTTCCCATTTGCCTGGGCATTTTAGTACTTTGGACCACAACTCCAGTACTGGCTGAGGCTTATGGGAACTGTAGTCCACAACATCTAAAGAACAGCAGGATGGGGAAGGCTGAGTTAGGATGCGAGGAGTGTGGGGCAGAGATTATGTGGAATTGAAGTATTTCATGAGGACATCTCCAGGGGGCTGGGATAACCAGAAGGTCCCATTTCCACTGGGACTTTCTTCCTCTTGTTCTTTCCCTAGTTACCTTCACAGCCTGTGCTGTTCTTACCTTTTCATGTTCACTCTGGACCCAAAATGGCCGACTCCATATCCACACACCCTTGGTGGTGGTGTTAGGTCCTGGTCGCCATTCAAAACCCGTCAGTGCTTCATCTTCCTGACCCATCCATGATCCGTCCTCAGCCTCCTGTCAACAAGGAAGAAAGAAAGAGGATGGTGATCTTGTTAAACCCACAGAATGTTCATGAAGACAGGACATAGAAAGGCAAGCGATGTGGTATTGAGCTAGATAGGACAATACCACTCTCCGATTCAGAACCCATAAGGGTGGAAGAGAGTAAGAGTGTCTCTGGTTGCCCTTCCCATCCACCTGGAGCATCTGCCCTGCATACAATGTATGTCTCTGAATACCAATTGTAGAGAACTGCATGCGGGGAGAGGACTGTTGTACTTAGGTTCTATTTGAAGGCTTCCCATAAGTATCTAGGTGGCCACTGTGAAAACAGGATAGACTACATGAAACTTTGCCCTGATCCAGCAGGGCTCATCTTCATATACCTCTGCTACCCTTAGATGTCCACACAGCTGCTTAACTTCTGCTCGGATCACAAATGTGTGCCAGGGTATAATTTGAAGGTGCATGTGGTCTCCACTTTGCTAAAGCTAAGCAGGTCTGGGTCTGGATGGCTGATCACATGCACACTGCCCTCATTTAAAATGTCAGGATATAAACAAAATAAAATAAATAATATTTCAGCTCTGACTTGCACTTGCACAAAATCCATTGCACAAAAGCCCATTTTGTTCAGCTGATTACCTAGATGAGATGGGGCAACATGATCCGTGAAGGACATTCATCCAAGCCAGACCCTTTTCAAATGGAAATTCTGCAAGCATCACCTATTGACCCACCCTAAAAACACACACAGAGAGAAGTTCCCATGCATTTGTTCTCACCAGGTTCTGAAGCCGCCGTAGGAGAAAGTTCAGCAGGAAGGATTTTCCTCGCCGTTGCTCCCCAAGAATGGAGACCAGGCAGACAGGGGCGTCCTTCACCTGCCCCTGCTCCAAGCAGCGGCTCAATGCTTCCTCATCCAGGCAGAGATCTCCATCATCATCCAAGCCCACCAGCTGCACTGGCTTTCCTGGCTCCAATACCAGTATCTCCTGAAAGAGAAGGGAGATGGATAGGTCACCCAGATCTGAAGATGCTCCACAGTCTGGCAACCCCATGGATCTTAGAGACATCAACACAGAAGAAAGCACAGCAGATCAATTTATAATCGTGATCAGTTTTACATCAGGCTGGCAACTGAGCGTCTGTGCACCAAAATCTTGCTAGCAGATGACGACTGTTGGCCACCCACTGTATATACAGCTCTTCCTTTCTTGACCAATAAATCTCACCACAGCAGGCTAGAATTTTAAGGTGTTTTAGGGCGTATTGCTATTTGGAGGTGAGCATTCATAGCATTCATTTTCTATTAGGAAAACTCATTGTCAGAGGAGGAGCTAGGAAAATGCAAAATATGATTCCCCAGCCAGCACTTGCATTGATGCTGTGATTCCTTCATGTTGCATCAAGTGTCCTAGTGGAAACGGCATAAGATGGTTACTTATATAAGCCACTTTAAGCCTCCCCAGATTGGGTCTTACCAGTTCCTCCTCAACCACCTCCTTTACAGGCAACTGTCCAATTTTTTCCACCAGGCTCCGCAGCCGAGTGTCTGGGATCATCCTCTCCCGGCTGCAGGGATGGCGGCATTCGGGGCAGCGGTACCCATAGCGCGAGGTTCCACTCCAGTGGGCAGAGAGGCAGACCCTGCAGAAATTGTGCCCACAGTCAATGGATACAGGGTCTTCAAAGGGTTCGAGGCAGATGGAGCAAGTTATGTCCTCTTTCAGGTCCTGGATCATGCCTCCTGCAGACGTCTTTGTGGGGCTTGCCAGTGAGCTCAGCCTGCAAAAAGCAAACAGATAAAATACAAAGATGAACAGTGAAACTCTGGTTTCTGACAGTACCTCATTCTGCTGTGTCCACAAATAAGGCCTAGGTTAAAACCCAACTGTAATCATGTTTACGCATTTCACTCAGTTAATTGTCTGGGATGTGACCTCCCCTTGCTGAATGCTCTTTCTTAAAAGAACAAAGTTGAAGAAGCCGTTTGCAATGTGCTCCCAATGAATATCAGGCTTCTGCTTAGACTCTGAAGGACCCTGAATTCTGTTTTTGCCAGCTGCTGTGGAAAAGGGAGATGGGGTACATGAGCAAATCCACCTGCTCATTTCCACCTGGCAACCCTGCTGATCTTTAGGCCCATAAGTTTCCTCAGGATTGGGAAGGGGGAAGAAACACCAGCTGTGGCTTACTACCTGATTTTCAGCCTAGAGATGCCTTCTCTCAAGACATTGGAGGATCCTGAATTCTGTTTATGCAGGCTGATATGGGGAAGAGTGATGGGGTAGGTGAGTAAACTTGTCAACATTTCTCTACCTGGTAGCCCTACAGATTTTGAAGCCTATGAGTTTTGTTGTGACAGAGAGTGAAAGAGAAACACCAGTTAAGGCTTATTGCTTAGACAAGGAGCTATAAACCCCAGACCTGTTCTTAGATTGCCTCTGGGCAGGGCAGGCAGTCTGAGGAGGATGACTCATAGAAAAAGCTTCCTGGAATTAACTCCTTATGCACACACCAAGGTGGACACACCAAGGGTACAAAAATGAACTTCAGGAGACTTGAGTCCTACAGTGATACATGGGAATGCTCCCCTCTGCAAAAGAAGAAGAAGAAGAAGAAGAAGAAGAAGAAGAAGAAGAAGAAGACTCCAGAGTGTTTATCTCCTTAGGAAAGTATTGTCCCTTGAACTAAAGACATCTTAGCAGCAATGTGCCCATCATAGTATTATTACACTTAGAACTCACCAATGATTCCAATGAAGTCAAGGTGTCCCAACTCAACCCACTTTTATCCTCTCAACAACTCTGTACCATACCCTAGGCCAGTGGTGGCAAACCTTTTGAAGATTGAGTGCCCAAAATGCAACCCAAAACCTACTAATTTATTGCAAAGTGCCAACACAGCAATTTAATATGGGATAATAGTTAACATACCATAATAAAATGAGCTGGGGGGCTGCCCTGAGTTGTTGAGCTTTGGGGGGGGGGGGCTTGGAACACAGTTGGTTTTTTGGGGGGAGAAAAACATTCTCACACATTATAAACGCTTCCTATGGCACGCGGAGCAGAAACAACACATAGTCTCATGGATCGCAGGCAGCAACCAATCAACAAAAACCCTTGACAAAGTCACCAATCGCAGGAACTACAGCCTGCTGGCTGCCAAAAATCCCACCAACTGCTGGGGGTGGGGAAGGAATACAGCTGCTTTGTGGAGGCAAACTGCCTCTAAGCTGCTGCCGGGGGGGGGGAGTGGTTTACTCATGAGGAAGCGTGGGGGGAAGTGGCTGCCCAATTTGAAAACCCCAAACAACGGCACTGCTGGCATGATGGCACGTGCCAACAGAGCGGGCTCTGCATGCCCACTCTGGCACCTGTGCCATAGGTTCGCAACCACTGCCCTAGGCAGATAGTGATTGGTCTGCTGTCCACCCATCAAAGGACAAGGATGATTAGGGATTTGACTCTGGGTTTCCCCAGTCACAGTCTGACACTCTCATTCCTATGCTACAGTGGCAGTAATAATCATGATGGGGGGGAAAAGGTTGAATCAAATCTAGATATTGTGCTGATTCTTTCAGACATCATTTCCTAAGACATGCATTTCTTTTTCTTTCCTGGTAGAGCCAGTGTGGTGTAGTGGTTAAGAGCAGTGAACTTGTAATATGATGAACCGGGTTCGCTTCCCCGCTCCTCCATATGCAGCTTCTAGGTGACCTTGGGCTAGTCACACTTCTCTGAAGTCTCTCAGCCTCACTCACCTCACAGAGTGTTTGTTGTGGGGGAGGAAGGGAAAGGAGAATGTTAGCCGTTTTGAGACTCCCTAAGGAGAGTAAAAGGTGGGACATCAAGTCCAAACTCTTCTTCTTTTCTAGTAGGGTTGGTGGGTGGGTGAGGAGAATAGCTGAACAAGAGCCAACTCACGGTTTAGTATTTGTGTTTCCCATCCTGGGGATAGGATGATGCTGGCAGCCTCCCACAGTATAACCTTCCCTGCTCCTAGAACAAAAAGATAATGTTACTGTTAGCCAGTGCCTTCTTTCCTCAGTATCCTCTGGTGTAATGTAAGGAATAGAGAAACAAAGGAGCAGCAGCAGGAGGTGGTAAGGGTGCATAGGAGATCACTAAAACACATGGAGATCCCCCTCTTTCACCTTATTTGGGATGGAATAAATATTTATTTCATTATTCATTTCTTACATTTCTATCCCACTTTTCCTCCAAGGAACTCAAAGTGGTGTACATACTTCTCCTCCCGGTGCTTTTGTTTTTTAAGAAAAAAAGGTGCAGATACTCACCACGAAGCTGTTACAGTAAATGTCACACTTTTAGCATGGGGAGGGGATGCCACCCACATGTAAAAGAAAGGGAGTAAGAGACTTGGGGAAACCCAAAGGTTTGCCAATGTAGAAGAAATAGGGGGGAAACTTAAAGGGGAGGATGAACCCCCACAAACAGCCCAATGCTAAGTAGTCATGGCATGTAGACTAACTATTTCGAGGAAGAGAAAATGGACCGGAGTCACTAGAATTACGAACAAAAGCACTCCATGTTGCAATATTTTGCTGCAGGTCCCACTTATATTTTTTTCCATTTACTTGCCATGTCTGACCTGCCATCATTATAATCATCTAACACCTGTAAGTCATCATGTGGTGAGTATGAAAGTGTGAACCATCAGCTAAAAACGATGGACTTACTTAGGATCCAATGGAGTCACTTCTGTGTTTGGGGATACAGGAGGCATTTATACGGGTGCAACTTAAAGGATGGGGCCAGGGAGAGCAAAGTTCAAATCGCCACTCATCTATGAAGTGCCAATCACATCCAACCTACCTTACAAAGATGCTGTGAGAGTAAAATGGGCAGGTGGGAGAACTATGTCTGTTGCCTTGAACTCCTCGAAGGAAGAATTTTCTTTTTTCTTTTTAAATGTCATGAAAGAAAGAAACTGAATAAAATGAAATGGAGGATGGCGGAGGCTGAAGCTGATGATAATGTTTGTGTGTGTGCTGCTCTCCCAGACTGAATAATCTACCAGTGGGCCAAAACCGTTTCAGGAAGTTCCTCTGCTGTACAGGAAAATGTAAGGGTGTTGCTCACAACAGGCTGGCGGTTAGAGATATCAACTCCATAAACTACCAACTTTAATCTTTTCAGTAGTAATGCAGCTCCAACTGAGGCACCTTTCCTGTAGTAGTTTTTTTTCTTTTTTCATTTTTTAAATTTTATTTGCTTAATTCAAATAAACAAAAGAAAGATTCTTCATCATCCATTAATACAAAATTATAAAGCAAATCAACTAAAAGTGGGAAAAACTAATATAATAAAATAAAGAATATCTTCTTACTTTACATATAACTTCCCATCCACTCCATTTTTCACATATTCATTATTAACTTATTGCCAAAACTTGTCAGATTGTAATGAAGCTCCAACTGAGGCACCTTTCCTGTAGTTATCCGGCTAATCTAGAAGCAGAAGTGAGAAAAATCTGCTCCAAAGCTATTCTATGATTGTTTTTTATATTGTCATTTTATGTTGTAAACCAACCTGGGATCTACAGAAAAAAATACATAGAGTGGTACCTTGGTTCTTGAACTTAATCCATTCTGGGAGTCCCAAAACCATTCGAAAACCAAGCCGCAGCTTCCAGTGGTCTGCAGGAGCTTCCTGCACTCAAGTGGAAGCCGTGTTGGACTTTTGGCTTCCGAAAAACATTCGCAAACCGGAACAAGCAGCAGAGAAAGCCAATCAGGCACCTGGGGCGGCGCATGTGCCCTGAGCCCAGGGGTGGGGGCAGCCACCCACAGGGCAAGGCGAGCCGGGGCAGGAAGTTCCATGGGGCCTCCAAGGAGTCTGCCTGCCTCCTCCCACTCAGCTGCCCTACAGCTGGACTGTTTGGGGCAGAGCGGAGCCTGCAGGTGCCCAAGCCACCACGTCACTCCCAGGAGAGACGCAGGCTCGGGCGTACTGCAGGCCCCGCGCTGAGTGCCGCCCGGCATTTTGTCACCCCCCTCAGTGGTGACACCCGGGGCAGACCTCCACCCCTGACTGGAACACTTCTGGGTTTGAGGCGTTCGGGAGCCGAAATGTATGAGTACCAAGGTGTACGAGAACCAAGGTATGACTGTACTACTGTAACAACAACAACAACAACAACAACACAGTTTTAAAGGCCATAGATTGTTTAATTATCCAAAGGCCTGGGAGAAGAGGAAAGCTTTTGCCTGGAACCTAAAGATATATAACAAAGGCACCAGGTAAGCCGCCCTGGGGAGAGCATTCCACAAGCAGGGAGCCACCACAGAGAAGGCACATTCTCATGTTGCAACCCTCCGGCCCACTTTTGAAGGAGGCACACTTACCCAGCTTTGGGAAGGCAGTGCAAGGGCTGGGAAGGGGCACTCAAATGTTGTGGGTCTTAAGGGCTGCATGTGGCCCCTGTGCCTTTTATTTGACCAACCCTGCCTGTTTGGCCAAATGGTGGAACGGAGATAAGCATTGAACAATAGCAAATATTTTGTTTTGCAGTACAACTCCCATTAGCACCAGCATTGGGGTAGATTGCCTGGAGGGCACCAGGTTGCAGAGACCCACCTAGATATAGGGAAAGACCTGAAAATGCCCTTGAACTAATGGAGCAGTCATGCAAGCCTCTGCATTAAAAAGAGATGAGGAGAAACTGTGTCAGAGGCGAGGAAACAGATGGCAAAGATAAGCTAGGCACTTCTTTGTTTTGTTCTCTTGGTTTAAATGCTGCCTGGTGCAAAACTGGGCTTGCATGAATGTCTGAGAGAACCAGGTATGAGTGGGCAAGAGATGAGAGCAGAGGAAATCCTCCTTGGTGGTGGTTTAAATTCACAATATTTCTTCTGCTCAGTTTGCCAGCTTCTGAAATAAGATACCGGTCATCTTCTCCAAAGGATGCAGAAAACTCTTTGCCCCTGGATGTAAAGATCTGCATGTGCTCAGAGGCACTTATGCATCAGGTTATGTGACCTTTTCTTCCAGTGAAGAGAGCAGCTTCCCTGTACAAAAACCTGCACATGGAGGACTGTCCTAGAATTGTAAAATTGGAAGGGACCCTGAGGATCATCTAGTCCAACCCCCTGCAATGCAGGAATATGCAGCTGTCAAACCAGCAACCTTGGCATTATCAGCACCACGCTCTAACCAACTGAGCCAGGAAGCCATTTCAAATATGAAAGCTCCACACATGCATGGGAGCCCCTGCAATCAGTTTGCACCATCAAAAGTGGCACTTTATAATTAAATTCCAACCCTGTGCAAAAATGACCAAAGGCACATTTATTGAACGTTAGAGAATTCACTGCACACACATTAACTCAGTGATCTTGCCCTTTAATTTCCTTAAAATTATTGTGGTTTCCTTCATTAGGTGGCAGAATGTTGGCAGATTACCTAATTGCTCTCTCTCTCTTGCGGATATTTACTAACAGTACATCATGCAGGCCTTCAAGACTTGTGCAACCTTCTCCTTGAAGGTTCCTTGAGGTGCCCGTTTCTTCAGATGTCTGATTTGGCCACAGCAGCATACGCCTTAGTTACATCCTGTTTGTATTACTGTAACCCACTCTGTGTGGGGCTGCCTTTCAAAAATGCTCAGAAACTTCAACTGGCTCAAAGAGCTGCAGCCAGTTTGTTGACTGGGGCTCATTATAGGGAGCATATGACTCCCCTGCTAAGGCGGTCTGCTTCTAAGCACAATTCAAAGTGCTGGTTATGACCTATAAAGCTGTACAAGGCTTAGATCCAAGCTATCTGAAAGACCATATTCTCTTATATGAACCTGCCCGGCTTCAGAGATTTTCAAGGGAAGTCTTTTTCTTAGTCCTGCCACCCTCTCTGGCACGCTTGGTGGGGACATGGGAAGAGACCTTCTTGGTGACTTCTCCCAGATTTTGGATCTCCCTCCCTGGACAAGCTAGGCTGGCTCCCTCCTTGTTGACCTGCTGCTGACATTGGAATACCATTTTGTTCCCACAGGCTTTTGGGAATTGACAGCTTTTATGGAAAGGGCTGGTGCTGTGCTGTTTTTTATTGTAATTATTTGAATGTTTTAAATAGATTTTATATTTGTATATATAATTAATTCTATTATTATTATTATTATTATTATTATTATTGTAATGATCGTTTTCCCTGAGTTTAAATTGATTATAGTTTTTATCTGTAAGCCACATAGGTGCCAGCTCCCTGGGGCCCTGGGTACCTAAGGACCCACAAAATCCCCCATGAAGGGGCCGGGCACCCACAAATTTCAGTGCCAGGGCCATGCACACTGCATGGCACCCATGGCCACAGGGCCAAGCTGGCACTCCTGGTAAGCCGCCTTGAGTCCTGTAAGGTGAAATGGCAGGGTATAAATAAATACATTATTATTATAATAATTTGTCCTTTCAGGCCAGTCATCGTATGATTTTACCCATTCACTGCACATATGCAGAGTTTCTCTCCCTCTTTCTGCTTAGAGGTGCAAAATCTACACAGAAGGTCCTCAGCACTCTCCATACTCCCAAAAGTATGCTCCAAATAATTGCACTGTTATATTGTAGGAGAACCAGGGGTCAAGGATGAAAGAGAGTGACATGCCTAAAGCCAACTAGCAAGTTTCTGACTGAGGGATTTTGGCTCCCTGCAATACAGCTCGGTATCTTACAATCTGATCCAACCCGTGAATTGTACCATCAAGTTATCCCCAGGTGACTGGGTTTGAAATTACAGTCTTAGTCAGACACCACTACACTACAGTGGCTCTGGTCATTAAACCTCAGTAGCAACAATAAAGGGTGTTGGCAGCCTTTAAGTTATTGGGCATTGTTGCTGAGTTAATCTCTCTGTTAGTATGGGAGGTATAAATAGCAGACTTTATCTGGGAAAGGAGGAAGGGAGGGATGGACCTCTACTCAGGGAGTAGGATGTTGTCTTCATGGAGGAAGGGAGGGAGGAACCAACCTCTACTTGGGGATGGAGATATTCTCTTTAGTGATGAAAAGGGAATAACTGAGCACGAACAGGATTTTCACTACTTAAGGATATAAACACACAAGGAAGCTTTGTTATACCAAGTTAGGCAATGGATACATCTAGCTCATATTGATATCAACCAGCATCAGCTCTTCCCCTGGCAGGGAATTTTTTCCAGCCCTGCTGGAGACTAAACTAGCCAAGTATCTTTTGCATATGGAACAACGCATTATATGTGTCTGAGGAGCTCTGATTTTGGAGTGAGGATCTACACCTACTTCCTCCCAGTCTTCAGCTTAATTTGAACCAGGGACACTTAAAGTGTTAAGCCCAGAACGGTTACCTTCACTGCCAGCACCTAACCTCACAGCATCCAAAGCAAGAACATCAGGCTGGATCCAGAGGTTAAGTTAGCTACACTTTTGTCCCAATGGAATATAAAGTCAAGCCATGGCCATTGATTTCAACAGGACTACAGAGTAGCTTGAACTTTCTTTGTATCCAACCCACAGTGTCTGTGAGCATTTACAAAGTGCCTCAATGAGTCAGTGTGTCTGGCTCTTAACCAGAAGGTTGGTGGTTCAAGCCCACCCAGGGATAGATGTGAACAGGATTCCTGCATTGCGGGGGGTTGGACTAAATAATCCTTGAGGTACCTTCCAACTCTACAGATACTACTATGACCACTGACACACATAAGACATGCATAGGACACCATATACTGGCCTTCCTATGCAAAAAGGCTGATAGAATACATTTTGTACAGGAGTAGAGCTAGAAATGTGTGCTTGAAGGTGGGCCCTGCCTTTCCTTGAGATAATACCCTTCATTTGTTCACTGGATTTCCATACCAACGTTGATACAAATATTACCGAGGCAGTTTACAGTAAAAATATAAAACAACTAGAATTTTAAGGGAGGAGGGAATGTTGCCATTTATCATTTCTGCTAGCCCTTCATTGACTATAATGGGTACAAAGTATAGGAGCCAACCCCTAGGGGCTGTGGGGACTTCAGCCCCCACAATAAAATATTTGAGGGGGCCGGACCCTCACAAAGTTGGTGGGCATTTCCATGCAAATAGTGTGTGTGTGTGTGTGTGCACACTGTGTGTGCACTGTGTCATGTGATCAGTTATGTGGAACGGGGCTTACTTGGGCCCCCACAATATTTTATTCAAGTTGGCACCCCTGGTGTAAAGGTATTTCTGATTAGAATGCCATAAAGGTATGTTTGGTGAGAAATTGGCTCTCTTCCTCTTTTTACCCCTTAACTTAGCAACTTTTAGAAGTGACACATTTCAGGCAAATTGAAAAAAGGAATTGGAGACTCAGGCACCAATGCTATAAGCACACTTAACAGGGCATGGATAGCCAATGTCTGATATGCCCTCCAGATATTTTAAACTACAACCCCCATCTGCCGCAGCCAGTATAAATTACTGGTCAGGAATTATTGGAATTGTAGGCACCAAGTTGTCTAACCCTGGACTAGGCGGTAAGGCAAAGAGAACAGGGCAACACGAAGCTTTCTTAACAGTGCAATAACACCGAAATGATCCCTAAACATTCACTTCGATGTTTTTATGCCCAATCCTGTCCCCAAGCCGTCCTCACTCCTGCTTCGTATCAAAATGCACTCGTAAAGCATCCAGGGGGGAAGAAAACAAAACAAAACCTGCAGCTGTCAAAGGTGGAGCTGAAATCCCACCCGATCTTCAAGACGCGAAGTTTCCAAGCAACGAAGGCAGAAAGACGAGGAGGCTAAATCTATCTTTAAAACACAAGCAAAAGAAAAAAGAAGCCCACGAGGAACGAGGGAGAAGGGACGGGAGGCTCTCTCTCCGTCAGCTGAGCATGACAATGCATGGCACAAGGATCAGCCTCCTGCATGACAGAGGAGGCAGGAAAAGGGGGCGGGGGCGGAAAGAAAAGCCCCTCACACAGGAGATTCATCTGCGGGTGCACGCTCCTACCTGCTCCCGATCACGCTCCGCAGACCCCTCAACAATGCCTGCGGGCGAAGGCGTAAGAAGTGAAAGTAAAAACATCGTTGTTGCGCGAAGAACGCACAGCTACTTCCCCATTCTGGCGATGCTTCTGAGAAGGCAGGAGCGATTGGCCAATAGAAGGTGACTCCGGACTGTGCCTTTTTCGGTGGTGGTGGTGGAGAGACTTGGAGGAGAGAGACAGAGGGGCGGGGCAGCGAGAAGAAAGGATAAAGGGAAGATAAAGGAAATGGACAAGAAAAAGTGAGTCAAGTTGTTTTAACATTCTAAGGCAGGGCTTTGGCGGGGTGGGGACGGATGAATCAATCCTGTCTGATTCTAGCCCCCTCTCCCCTCATGCACGCGCACACAACTCCTGCTGACACAAGTCAACTTTCCCAGTTTCGCTCTCACTCCACCGTCCTTCCTGGTTTGTTTTAAAACTGCTTTGCATATCATCTCTTCCCTCTCCGCAAAGGTGGAGATCGTTGTTAAACTGAGCCACCCTATGATAAAAATCGAGTGTGGCAGGTGCACGGCCTGAGGCGCCATCGTCCCTCTCTGACTGCCCCTTTCCCTCCCATGAAATGGATTTTGGAATTCTGATACAAGTTCTTATCCTCATAGGAGCCAGTTCCTAGGGCCCGAGGTCCCTTCGCCCCCCTCCTATAAAATTTTGGAGCCTTCTTCACCCACCCCAGTTGATGGGCATTGCCATTAAAATGGTGTGCTTGTGGGGTGGGGTTTACCTGCGCCCCCCCCAATATTTTTCTCAAGTTGGAATCCCTGCTTACCCGCCACCAGAAATTTAGTGAACCATTTTTTCCTGTCTTGTACATGCATGACAGATGAATATCTCTGGAACTTAGCTTTCTTTGAATAGTGAGATTTGGTTTTTTAAAGAATAATTACCTCTGTCTCTCAGTAAGAATACTGGGCTGTATCCAAGCAAATGTTTACTTAACACTCTTATTATTAACCTGGAGTTTGTTGAAATAGTTACAGTTTCGTTTCCTGAGTGCTTCTGAACCTATGGCAGCCACACACAACATATGCAGTCTGGGTACATACATAGATAGATACAGATATATAATTGGGTGGGGAATGGTTGGTCTGAGCTTCAGTTTGGGAAATAGTGGTTGTGGTTGGGGTGTTTGAGAGAGTTACTGGAATTCCTTTATTGCCGATAATTTGATTTTTACTAGCTTCTCACATTTTTACCAGGTAGTGAAAAAGTAGGTTCAGAATAGAATAGAATTGTATTGTGTTGGAAGGGACCACGAGCATCTAGTCCAACCTCCCCTTGCCTCCGAAAATATACTCTGTCACCAGTATATGCTCCCTGCTCATGTTTTCCTACCATTCAAGGAACAGTGTGAAACTCCTGTAATTTTACTTTAAAGTGTAGTGATCCACAAAGGAACTGTGGAGGCTTAGGGAATATGGCATGGGCAGAAAGAGTAAATCTACAGTTAGATTATCAAAAAATTTCACATATTGATTTAACTTAACCAGGGGAAATGAAACTCGTTGTGCAAGTGAGTTAACCCCGACATCTAGTGGCTGATGTAATGATTGCATATGTTGCAACATGAAAAAAGGCTTTAAACAAAAATAAAACAAAGAAGAAAAATAAGCAACAAAAGAGATAAAAAGTACAATGAAAGAAGTAATGAAATTATTACCAAATCAGGCATCATTTTGGCAATTTACAGCTATTTCCAAAAGCACTTTTGCTCAGAGCCTTGCACCAGCTAATGCAGAGAGCCAACCTATAAGTAAAAGATATAAAAAGAAATCTAGTGTCTGACAATTGATAACACATATTTTTTTCTTTCATTGTACAGTTTTTGATGCCTGCTAACCAGACATATAATTTAACAAGCAATATTATTATGTACATTTGTTTTTAAATATATTAGTTTCCAGTGCTTTTTCTTTGGGGAAAATGCTGCTGGTACTGTACTCACAATGAAGTTGTTACAGTGCCACACTTTTCACATTTCGGGGGAAGCACGATCGTTTTATATTTTTATAATTTTATTATGTTTACTTCAGTCTGTTTCAATGCACATTTTATACCACTATATGTACATTGTTTTTAGATATATTTTTAATTAAGCAGTATATAAATTTTGTTATATAAGAATAAACATATTTTCTGGGATAGAGCACTTTGTGTGCCATCCCAGTAAAGTTGTGTCTAGAATGGGGTCCCAAGTACAAAAGTGTGCAGCGTGGAATCTCTCTTATCTCACTGGTTCCACAAATTCATCTATGATGAGCCAGAGGCATCTAATGATGTTAGCTATTAGTCATGGATAATAACATAATCTGAAAACAGAGAGCCATAAAACAGAGGTGGGGGACCTCAGGCCTAAGTGCCAAATGCAGCCCTCCTTACGACATCACTTCTCCCCCAGGCAATGCCTCACACCAGCCTTGCTTTGTACCTTCTTTGAGTGTTTTTGCCTGGTTGAAATGAGTCCTTGAACTTTCATAATGCCTCTTGCCTGCCTCAGTGGAGGACAGAGAAGGGTGTGTGTGTGTAGAAACTAGTCTACTGAGCCAAGGTAAAAATTACTTCCACTCTTGCCCTGCCTTTCACTCGTATGTGGCCCCTGGCAGGGCGCCCAGAAGGAAATGCCATCCTCAGGCTGAGAAATGTGCTCCACCCCTGCCTTAAAGGTTTGCTTGAGCTTGGGGGAAAGTAAGATTAACAAAATAGGAACCTCCACATGCTTACCCTCGAACATTTCTCCAATGAAAATAGGGAAGTCATAATAATAATAATAATAATAATAATAATAATTGCTGTTATTTTAGCCCCAGCCACTCTGGGTGGCTTCCAACATACAGTGGTACTTCTGGTTGTGAATGGAATCTGTTCCAGAGCCCTGTTCACAGCATGAGCAGAAAGCAACCCGCGTCTGCGTGTGTGCGGGTCACGATTTGCCGCTTCTGCGCATGCATGTGGCATCATTTTGAGCATCTGCACATGCGCAAGCGGTGAAACCTGAAAAGACGCCACCTGAAAAGACGTAACCTGAACCGAACGTAACAAGAGGTATGACTGCATATAAAAACACAATAAAACATTAAACATTTAAAAACTTCCCTATACAGGGCTCCCTTCAGATGTGTTCTAAAGGTTGTATAGTTACTTATATCCTTGGCTCGGGGTGGTTGCATAACTCTATACCCTCCAACATTTCTCTGGTGAAAATAGGGACATCCTAAGGAAAAGCGGGACATTCCGGGATCAAATCAGAAACTGGGGTTGCTTCTGCAAATCCAGGACTGTCCATGGAAATTAGGGACACTTGGAGGGTTTGCCCTCTAGCTTAGCCCTCCAAGGACTGAGGCAAGTGTACCCAGCTTTGTTCCTCTGTCCCTGTCCCCACTCTGCACGGACCTGCTGCAGGCTAGCAGGCCATGCGGAAGAAATAATAGTATTCACATTCACAGTTAGTTTCAAAGTCTGAGAGAGAGGTTAGGTCTGCTAAGCTGCCAGAGGGAAAGAAAGCTTGGCCAATTCAGGCTGAGATAATAAGAATCAGCATACGATTCAGTTAATTTGTTTATTGCTCCTCTTAACAGTAAAAGATTGTTGTCCTCTGTCTGTAGGCAGTAATAAATAACTGCTGAATTTGGATAAATCTGCTGTGTCATGTTGTTTCCCACAGAGAACATTGTGAAATTGTCTGATGCTGGGAAACCATCTGAGGCAAAACTAGACTTTCATATCCCCGTCACACTCTTCTCCATTTTGCTGCTGTGGAAAAACAACAATAACAACATTGGGCCATGTTGCAGAATTTTATGTGTGTATCTTCTGCTTCTAGGTTCAGAACAGAAGCATGTGATCCTACTGACTGTCTATGGGTGAAGAAAGGAGAGGCTATTGTCCACTCCTTCATAGCACCTACTTTGCCAAGCCTACACTGAACTTCACTGAAGGCACATTTCTGTCCATGGTCCTCCATGCTTTACAGTGGCTTCTCTTCTATAAGCTTGATCAGCAAGCTGATGGCTGTTTTGCTGTCCCTCCTAAATGCCGTCCCTCTGCCGTCCCTGGCAGAGACCTCCCTCCTAAATAAGGACACATTTGACTCAAATTTTAGTTCTGGTTTTTGGCAGAATTTAGGCCACAACTTTATTGATTACAGAAAAGTTAGTGGTTGCATAGGCTCTGGTTCGACTAGCTCCCTACACCCTTACAGGTAGCGCTGACCCAGAGCTCTATCATAGGTCAGCCAAGGGTGAACACCTGAGGCAGGTGAAAAGCCTGGGAACGGACTCTGTTCACTCCCCAGGTGTTCCCCTGGACTCAGGCACGGGCACAACCCCCTCTCGGGGTTGACCAAACCAAGTTGAGTCCCTGGATTCCTTTAATAGAATACCCTTCATATAGGGATGGTGAAACCATTCTCCCATCCCTATCACATAAACCAGTGCCTATCCGCAACCTTACAAGTTGTGACGAATTGCTACGCGGCAGGCGAAACCCAAATGGCAACAGCCAATCAGCCAAGTGGGGAAAATTCCTGCCGTGGCCCTGTCCCAACAACAGATGACACATGACGGCATAACAAGGTCAATTGCAAAATGCCCTAAAATTAGGGAGAGGTGGGTGAGTGTTCCAATGCGTGAGCCGAAAGAGGAAGCTATGGGACATGTGCATAGGTCTATCTAGGTCCCTCGATCCGTTTAGACAGCACCCATTGGCCAGATTAAACCCAGCAATGAGGGACCTACTAATTGGGTGTTGTGGCTATCCAATAGACCCTCAGGCAGCAAAATGGCTTGGGTCACTTACATACTTATGCCCAAACATCCATACTTTCTTCCCCAGCCCTAAATCAGACAGCTAATTCCTACTCTCTCTCCTGCCCTGTGCTGAGGGCCCTGTGCTGCCCTGTGCTGCGGGATTCAGAAGTCCTACCTGTTGGCGAAGTTTATGTCAAAGAAATAATCCCCAGTCAATAGCAACAGACAACTTCCTAGGGCTGTTGTGATGAGTCAGCATTACATTACAAAGTCCACTGAGGAGGCTAGGTTACAGTTCTAGCTATATTCTTCTATATTTCCTCTATGTGCTGAGCATTGCCTCTGTTGAGAGTCACTCAGTCAAGTCAGGAGGTCCTTAAGCGGAAGATGTGTTGTCTTAGGATACAGGAGCTCATCATCTTCTCCATTCTGATTGGTAAGAGAATATTTCTGTCTCAGCACACCTGTTTTCAGAATGTGAAGCTGGAGGATGTGCAGGGATCCACAGAGCCATCTCTTCTTCTCTGCTTTCACTTTCCAGGCTCTCCCAAGGCAGATCTGAATTATTATTATATATTTTTTTGGGGGGGGAGAGTATGTTGAAGGCTTAGGTTGAGAAATTCCACTACATTTGGTGATCCTACTGAATTATGTGGAAAGACCAGTGGGGTTAATAATAATAAATTCTGGGCAGCTTTCAACAGAACATTAAAAACAGAATAAAACTTCAAACATTAAAAACTTCCCTAAACAGGGCTGCCTTCAGATGTCTTCTAAAAGTTGGATAGTTGTTTATTACCTTGACATCTGACAGGAGGGTGTTCCACAGGGTGGGCGCCACTACCGAGAAGGCCCTCTGCCTGGTTCCCTGTAACCTCACTTTTCACAGTGAGGGAACAGTCAGAAGGCCCTCAGAGTTGGACCTCAGTGTGCAGGCTGAACGATGGGGGTGGAGATACTCATTCAGGTATACTGGGCTGAGGCCAAATCATAAAGAACTAGCATCTTATATGCTGGCAGCAGCAAATACTCTTTGCAAGGACAGGGAGGCTGTCAGTTATATATCATCAATTAAAGAATTGCTTGATTTGCCTTAGTGGCCATATTCAACACATTTTCTTTAGCATAACTTTAGGATAAAATGGGATAACTTTACCAAATTCAGCAATAAAAATGGGTTACTATCAAACACATGCTATGTGTGTATGATATTTTAATAGTAATAAGGAAAAAAGCTGGGCTAACTGCCCTAATTTTTATTACACAGAGAGATAAGTTATCATAATTGTGTTATCAAACAGGTTAGATAATGTAGAATTACCTTCATATTTTCATCCACATGCTTTGACTGAACATTTTGTTAAATCATATATAAATTGTATTTCTTTCTTTTTTAAAAAAATGATATTTATTACTTTTTCAACATTTTCAACACAACACTATAAACAAAAAAAGAAAAGATAAAAAACAATACAAATACAATACAAAAACGCTACATGGACTAACAAAACAAAGCAAAAACAAACAAAAACAATTTAAAAACACCTCAAACATTTTCAATATCTTATATTTCATTCACTTATTTCCAGCGACCTCCTCACACCTCCCTTTTTGTATTCCACTTCTATTAATTGTTTCAGCAATTCCTTTCCATCTTACTCTGTTTTCTATCCTATAATTATCTTAACACATTCTTGCCTTATTTTTCCTTTAATTTTCTATTAATCTATTTATACTTAATTCCTTATAACATTTCTACTAAAGCCATATAACTTCATTCCAACATTTTTCTAACATTCCTTAATTTTACAATATTTCTATAAATAGTCTATAAACTTTTTCCAATCTTCTTCCACCGACTCTTCTCCCTGGTCTCGGATCTTGCCAGTCATTTCCGCCAATTCCATATAGTCCATCAACTTCGTCTGCCATTGTCCAACACTTCAGTGCTTTCAAGAAGCAGCCATTCTCTCAACCAGCAAAAAGCAGATGGTTCACAATGAAATTTAAAGGTCTGGCAGGGCAGATCCACCTCCTTCTTTGGCATCCGTCAATATCTTAAGTTTTACTCTAGGCTTCCTGCCCTGCCAAACAACTCTAGAAACATCCCTCTGCCTCCTCCTAAAACAATCCATCCCATCCAAAGCCTTCAATGTTTGAAACAAAAGCAACATCCCCAGCAACACAGCAGCCCTCATCCCCACCACAGTAACTCAGCCCAACAGTAACAACTTCTGATTTGTCCATATTTCCAAATCCCCCTTCTCTTCAATCCAACATCCTTCACAGTTATCCTTAAACAGATTCACATTTTTGGCGGTCATACTAACCCCCAAATACCTCTCTTTCTCAACCAATGTTAGTCCTGTCGCCTCCTGAAACTCTGTCAAGCTTTCCTTTTCCAGTTCAGATAGGGCTCTGGTCCTCAAATTCATCTGTTCTTCTTTAAGTTCAATCATAACGAATGTCAGCTTATGTTCATCAGGTTGTCTTTGTATGGATGGGACTCTCCTCTCCAGTTGTATTGCTTTAGATTCAGCAGCAAGGGTTTTTTTCCCTGACTTCATCTGCAGTTTGCCGTATCAGAGTAGATTCCTGTGTCAATTTCTGGGTGGTTTCTGACTTGGTATTCACCTTTTGTCCCAAGTTATTTAAACTTTCTACGATTAAGTCAATTTCAATATTTGCAGCATCCATTTTCACATTTATCACGTCTGTTTTCTTGTGAAGTTGTTCCAGCGAATCGTTTATTTTCAATAATGCAGCCACTAAGGCCTCTTCTGTCGACATCCTGTCTGTTTTTTCCTTTCCATTTGCCATAACACTTAAGAGGTTCAAGGTCAAGAATCATAGAATCAAAGAATCATAGAATCATAGAGTTGGAAGAGACCACAAGGGCCATCGAGTCCAACCCCCTGCCAAGCAGGAAACACCATCAGAGCACTCCTGACATATGGTTGTCAAGCCTCTGCTTAAAGACCTCCAAAGAAGGAGACTCCACCACACTCCTTGGCAGCAAATTCCACTGTCGAACAGCTCTTACTGTCAGGAAGTTCTTCCTAATGTTTAGGTGGAATCTTCTTTCTTGTAGTTTGGATCCATTGCTCCGTGTCCGCTTCTCTGGAGCAGCAGAAAACAACCTTTCTCCCTCCTCTATGTGACATCCTTTTATATATTTGAACATGGCTATCATATCACCCCTTAACCTCCTCTTCTCCAGGCTAAACATGCCCAGCTCCCTTAGCCGTTCCTCATAAGGCATCGTTTCCAGGCCTTTGACTATTTTGGTTGCCCTCCTCTGGACACGTTCCAGTTTGTCAGTGTCCTTCTTGAACTGTGGTGCCCAGAACTGGACACAGTACTCCAGGTGAGGTCTGACCAGAGCAGAATACAATGGCACTATTACTTCCCTTGATCTAGATGCTATACTCCTATTGATGCAGCCCAGAATTGCATTGGCTTTTTTAGCTGCCGCGTCACACTGTTGGCTCATGTCCAGTTTGTGGTCAACCAAGACTCCTAGATCCTTTTCCAAAGGATCAATTTTCCAAAGGATCAATTCCAAAGTCAATTCCAAAGTCTTACAATTTTTTATCTTGCAGCTGGAAATTCCCCTAGCCCAGCTCCTGTAAAGTAACCAATTTCAAAAGCTTCCACTAGGGGAAAACAGTTTCTATTTGTATCGGTCAGTATGTCCTCTTTTAAACACAGTTTCAATAATCCAAAGTTAGTTTCAATTTTCAGTTACTTTCCTCCTTTTTTTTGAAAACAACCGGAGACAGTAGAAACAATGTATTCTCTTGTTTAGCTACCTGTCAATGAACGTTCTAAACGCTGTCAATGGACGTTCCAAAAAACATCAATCCTGCTAGCAGCCCGTTTCCAGGGTCAGAGCGGCGGTATTTTAACTCTCTTAACTCTCTCCTACAGACATATTCAGTCCACCACTTCCCCCCCCTCTTCTCCTGTCTCAAAAAAGGGGGGGGTTAGTTCTTTACCGATGGAAATTTAGTCTTTTACAAAGGGCTTTCCAAGACTTTAGCTTGCAGCCTCCTTGCTTCAGTTTATCTACAAAAGGGGGAGGCGGACTTCCTGTATTGAACCTCCCCGTTTTGATGCCAGATTAAACGTTTAAAAATCCAATTCTTCCCAATTCAGCTCTACTCATGGGTAATTACTTTAGAGTCAAATTGTCCACAGGAAAAAATCAGTGCTCTCCGACAACAGCTATGCGGCTTCGCTCCGTGGAAGAAGCAGACGATTCGAAGCACCACGCCGCTCACCCCACATCACTCCAGATCCCCGAAACCGGGTTTCCCCGCGAGTAGGGGAGGCGCAAAAGGTGCCCGCTGAATCCCACGTTCACAGGCTTCTCCCGCCTGTGATTTTTACGGGTCTCCGCCTTCGCCGTGGCAGTACAGACCCAAATTCCCACGGGGCAAATTCCTCCCGATCAGAGGAATTCCGCCATTGCCGGAGGCACCAACCCGGAAGTCCCATATATAAATTGTATTTCATACGTACAATTCTGTTATCTTAATAAAGAAAGTAAATGAGAAGTTTCCTGGATTGGCAGAGACATGGAAGGTGTGTGTAATGTGATCTGAAGGGTTGCCTATTTCATTTGCTGCTGTGCTAGGGACTTTCCCATTTCACTTGATGTACTGTTAATTTCCTTGTTTAAAACAAAAAATGCTATTCCTCCAAAGAGGTCAGAATGACATGTATGATTTTCCCCATCCTGTGAGATAGGTTAGACTGAAAGATGGCACCAACCCGGGGTGCCAACTTGGAAAAAATATTGAGGGGCACAGACTCTAACAAAGAGGAGCCAGACGCTGCAGCAGTTTCACAGCAACTGCCCGGTCCTTCTATAGCAAGCATTCCTCCTTCCCAGACAGCGAGGCCACAAAGAGCCTTGCACATTGCTGAGCAATGGGCCAGAAAAGCCGGGGGGGAGGGGTCCCTCCTTCTCACCTTAGTTTACATCTGCTTGTGAGGAGTCTGGAGGAAGAGGGCTAGAGAGCAAAGGCGGGGCATTGTGTCTCAAGTCTTCATTCTTTTTTTCTTTTTTTGGTTAGATCATTTATTCATTTTCAATAACAATCTTCCAATTAATGACAAATCAAATCAGTCCAAATTACAATAATAACAATACACCAATTATATATTCCAATTATAAAAATTTTCTTGGGACTTCCCATGTTCCAGATGTCGGAAGATAATCATCTTCATTCATGTCTCTGCATTTTCGGTATTTTTCAAATTCAAAACTAATATTATCCATCCTTCTTCTCAGTCTTATCAGCCGTTGTTTCTGTGGCTCACATCTTGTAGCAAAGTTTTCGTGTAGTTAACCCACAAGAGGCATTTTTAAAATCATCTTATTCTCTGTCCAATTATTTGGTATTCAGTCCTCTTATCTCTCCTTTGTTCGTCGAGTTCTCATTCAAGGCACCGGGCTTCATTACAAAGGAAAGTTTATAAATAGCAAGTCAACAAATTCTCTCTGATGTCTCTTAATGAGCTGATGTACGTATATGTCTGTATATATTGCTGTATTGTGGGGCGTGCTTCCCAGCTGTATCCCCCAAGTACAAAAGGACCACCCCCCAGCTCCTCCGGGCCCTAGAAGAACTGGCAGGGATCTAGCGCTCTCCGTCCTTCTGTCCACAATCATGTATAAAAATAATCCATACAAGCAGATACAGTGGTACCTCTGGTTTCATATGCTTCAGGTTACATACGCTTCAGGTTACAGACTCCGTTAACCCAGAAATATCTCCTCAGGTTAAGAACTTTGCTTCAGGATGAGAACAGAAATCGTGCAGTGGCGGCGCAGTGGCAGCAAGAGGCCCCATTAGCTAAAGTGGTGCTTCAGGTTAAGAACAGTTTCAGGTTAAGAACAGACCTCCAGAACGAATTAAGTTCTTAACCCGAGGTACCACTGTATATTTTAGAACGAAATACACCCCAAGTTCAAAGGAGCTCTTTTCCGTAAGAATTCCTTTCTTTTGTAGCTGCGCAATAATAATCACCATTTTGTTTCCATCTTCAGCCCGAGTTGCCATATCTGATCTTGTTTTGCCAACTTCTCAGAGTTTTCCATTGAGGGCTGTGTATCATGCATTCAATTATAATTTTCGTCTCTTATGTTTGGTTTAAGTAATTAAATTCTTTCCGGCTGAGCTTCGCTAAATCATGATGTAATATAGCAAATACGAAAAGATAGTGGTTGCTCACCTCCTTAATCCATGTTTCAAGATGAGAGTCCATTTAAAGTCCGAAATTCAACATCTAACAACTGTATAATTTAGCAGTTTTTTTCCTTTTTCTCCTGGATCTAGAACATGACTGTTTCCAACCCCCCCCCCATCTTATAATTATGAAAAATTGGTGTCTGTTGCGTGTAAGAGTGGCTCTGGAGAGTGCCAGCCGTGCCGTTCTCTTAGACCCAGTGTCCCTGCAGCTCACACCTTGATGCAAGCAGACAGATCACAGACGATTTGCGGGTCTATGAAACAGTCCTCCCCCACCCTGGGGAGTCTGCCAGGGCTAATTACACCCATATCAACCCTTAATTACTAGCATGGCTGAGGTCCGTTCATGTGGGAGACAGCCATTTCGCACAGCAAGAGACCGGAAGTTCTAGTCTTCATTCTGACCTGGAGATGGACCCGCATGCCTGACAGCCCCAACACTTACACATCATCAGAAAGAGGAAATGTGTTGTCAAAAAGAGTATAAGGGAGGATATATCTTTGCCCAAATTTTGCATACACTAATTTATGTGAATTAATGCAAATATATAAATAATTACTGCAAGCAGAAATACAATACATCAAATCATAGTGGGGGTGGCTGCGACTAAGCGGCCTGTGTCTGCTGTCCAGGTGCTGAGCCTTCCTGGCCTATTCCAAGGCTCCTGCTCTCCCTTCTCATTATTCTTTATCTTTAAACTTGACTATGATCAGATAATGTCCTTTATATAGAGGATACTTTCTGACAGCCAAGAGGATAGCTCAGTCGGTAGAGCGTGAGACTCTTAATCTCAGATCAGGGTCATGGGTTTGAGCCCCATGTTGGGCAAAATATTCCTAGATTGAGGAGTTGGACCAAATTATCCTTGTGGTCCCTCCCAACTCTACAACTCTATAATTCAAACAGAGAGCCATTCTTTGTAAAGTGGGACACATAGACTTCTCTATGTAAAGGAGGACCTGAGACCATAGAGGGATGCGGTAACTCAGACTAGACAATACTGAGCTAAATATTCCAGTGATCCTATTCAATATAAAACAGCTCCTTTGCATACAGCCACTCTCTCATTATAACCATTTGTGGCTAAAAATGATGGAAAGTTGTGGCTTCTAATAATTTTTTCCTCCCTTGTCTTTGCAGGTATTAGAGAAGCTGAGCCATCACCAGGTGAGTAACAACTTCTTTGATGGGGTTTGTCTTGCGGGGGGGGGGGGAATCTCCTTTCCAATATGCTCACCAGCCCATCTTGCTCTCTCCACAGCCTGTGGCCAACTGGTCCCCTCTGCCCGCATTGTAGGTGGTGAGGAGGCTGAGGTGGGTGCATGGCCATGGCAGGCCAGCTTGCAGATGTTCGACTCACACCAATGTGGGGGAACCCTCATTGCCTCACGCTGGGTACTCACAGCTGCACATTGCTTTAGCAGGTGAGAAGAGAGCCCCCAAACTTCTCTATCTTCTTAGGGAAACCTGGAGACCTTGTTCCCATCTTTTTTAATTTTTTACCTGTAAAATGATACTCCCCTTTCAGACAATGCAGGCATTCTGGTAGCCATCTTCTCTCATTTCCTCACCAAGGTGGTTGTCATTTGCTGTATATTAGGGTTGGGAAACCTCAGGTCTGAGGGGCCAAATGCAACCCTCCTTTCCTCTTTATCAGACCCCTCAGGAGTCTCCCAGGCCATGCCCTCTCCCCTTCATTATGCCCCACTTGCTAATCCTACTTTGACTCATCCTCATTCTGGTTAGAATGTGCCATTGAAGGTGTCTTCCCCTTTTTCCTTTCTCACAGGACTCTGAAAGTATTTTTACTCATCTGCTCTCATTTCTTCTCCCCTTCTTCTTTCACACTTTTGTACCCTATTGCCACCCCAAATTGACAGTTTCCTTGAAACCAGAGGTCTGAATACTCTACTGCACTCTCTCCTCTTGTGTTTTATTAGCCAGCATCTTTGTCTATAGTATTACAGATCCTTCCTTGTTTGTCGTCATATTGGGAGCCCACAATCTCTCATACCCTGGACCTGAAGCTGTGTCAGTTCTTGTGAAGCAAATCATCATCCACTCTGACTTCTTGGGATACAGGGATGGCAATGATATTGCGCTTATGGAACTGGAAGGCCCTGTCAACTTCACCCACCGCATCCAGCCTGCCTGCATCCCAGGACCTTCCATCTCCTTCCTTCCCAGGTTGGGGTGTTGGGTCGCAGGCTGGGGAAACATCCAATCGGGAGGTGAGAAAGTCAGGGCTGGCTACACATTTGACGGGGCCCTGGGAGGGCCCCTCTGCTGTGCCTCTCTCTCCCGTGTTGCTGGAAAATCTTTGCCTGGAAATGACTGGTGAGCAGCAAAAGTACTACTACCACTTTTATTTTCCATAATGCTCTGAAATTTTGGGATATTAAAAAGGCAGCTAGACCCAGTCACCTGACGCTGCTCAAGGCACTGGACCAGGAAAAACCTTTCCAAAGGAAACCCAGGACACAAATCAGTAATGGGCTTTTCGAGGGTGCCAGAATCCAAGCTACTCAAGGCTGCCACCTGCCAGCATCAGATTTGTTAGCAGTAAATCAGAGTTCCTATTTACCTAGGATAGTTCCTGCTTACCTAGGATAGTCCCTGGCAAATCACTATGTTTGATGTTTGCCTCTGGGGGCGGGCCATTTGTGTGTGGGGGTGTGCTTTTAATAAAGAATGAAATCTTAGGGAGAACGTGTATTCCATCCTCTATGTTAGTAAAATGGTGGTTAAAATGGAAACACTCAAGGTCACTTTGTCAACTCATTAGAGTTTAGAAGCCAGAAAGGCCCGTTTCAAAAAGTGCAAAGCAGGTTTCAGGAATGAGGCTTTGCTCAAAGTACGCCTTGGTCAAATTTGCATTATCTCCCACCTCTCTCTCTTTCTCTCTCTCTCCCAGTCCCACTACCTGAGCCAGAGCTCCTACAGGAAGTGCTGCTTCCGCTGATGGATACAGCTACCTGTGAGGCACTTTACAGTGACTATAAAGATGAAAAAACTCCAAGTACTAGTGTAATCAAGGATGACATGATGTGTGCAGGATACATGGAAGGGAAAAGGGATGCCTGCCAGGTACAATGTATTCATTTATGACATTTTTATCCCACCTTTCCTCCAATTAGCTCAACCTTCTGCCCTCCTGAAACACATTTTATCCTTACAACAGCTTAGACTGAGAGAGACACTTGCCCACCTTTCATGGCTGAAGAGAAATTTAATTGGATGCTTACTTCTTCCTGGGTGGGGGCCTGTTGCAGCCTCTCACACTCAGTCACCGTTGGGGGCATTTCCCATTGAGTTCCCACTGGCTGCTGCATCTCAAATTGGCCAATCAACGGCCTCTTTTGGGGGTGTACCTCGCAGGCTGAGAGAGCATTGGCTGCACACATGCCCTCACAACCAGTGAGACATAAAAGCCGGGAGTGCTGCCCTGTCTAAGCACTTCCTGAAGCTAGTGTGACACTAGTGTAATGACTATCAGTGGCACAGTTAGGTAATTTTGAAACTGGACTTAATTGTCTTGTGTCTCTCTTCCTTAGATGGCAATGATATTGCTTCACTTCCTCTGATATTACTTTCTCTGAATACCAGTTACTGGGAAACATAGATGGGGCATACAGTTGGCCTCTGTGAGAACAGAGTGCTGGATCAGATTGGTGTTCGGCCTGATCCAGCCATGTTCTTAGGAAGATCCTGTCGGATCACACCAAAGATGCACCTAGTCTAGCAATCTTGTTCTCACCATGGCTAACCAAATGCCTGTAAGAAACCCACAGGCAGGACCTGAGTACAACAGCACTCTCACCACTTTTGATGAGCAGCAAGTGATATTCAGGGGCATATCACCTCCTCTGGAGGTAGGATATAGTCATCATGTCTAGCAACTATTGATAGTTATTCTCTGAAAACTTGTCTAAAATCAATGTCTGTGCCCATCAGAATGGGTGCTATATATTTCAACAGATAATTGCAAATGGGTGATTGGTAACAGGTTTTAATTTAAATGGTAATCGTCAATTCAGATTAAATGGGAATGAAAATAGAGGCTGGAATTTTCATAACAACATCGTGTGGATGCTGAGAAAAACTTGCATACATGAGGCACACCAATACAGCACCCTCGCTGAAGCACCCTACATCTTGCAGAGAACTCCATAATGTGTGCATTGTTTAAAAAAACAAAACAAAGAACAACAACACCCTTCTGGCCCTCCAGTTGTTGATGGACTACAATTTATGTCATCCTTGACCCATGGCAATGATGGCTGGGGCTGATGGGAGCTGGCATCCATCATCATGTGGAAGGCCACTAGTTCCTAATTACTGTATTAGTCCTTCCTGGGCTGGCATTCCTTGCCAGACTTCTGCTAGAGATATCCACATAGCTTTTGGTTCCTGGAGGCAAATATCTAAGACACTATTGGAGCAAGGATCTTCATATTCTCTTGTCCCTTCTTTGTTATCCTAATGCACCAGAACAGTTTAGCACGGAAGAGTAAAAAGTATGCCCATAATGGTTGACCTCACCAATGGTTGACCTCACCACTGATGAGTTGACACATCTACAGTTTGCATCTTTCAGTCCTATTTTGTACAGTAATCAAGCTACTGAAAGAAGAGCAGGACTAGTAGTGCTCTTAAAGTAAAAGGGAAATAAATTACATCAGAAGAAGCCAGCATGGTGCCCTCTATATATTATTGTACCACCACCATTGTCCATCAACATCTGGAGGGCATCACAGTGTTTATCACCCATGTTTTACACTATAAACTTTGTAGCTGGGCACAGCTGGCCATGTCTAACAGCACCTTCTCAAAATCTTTTTTTTTTTTTAATGACCAGCAACATAGATACAAAATAGGAAACACATAAAAAATCCAAATGCATATAATAGAGTAGAATAGGGATGGGGTGGGGGAATAAGGTAGAAAAAAATATCATAGAGTAAAATAGGTAAAGGTAAAGAGACCCCTGACCGTTACGTCCAGTCGAGACCGACTCTGGGGTTGTGATGCTCATCTCGCTTTATTGGCCGAGGGAGCCGGCGTACAGCTTCTGGGTCATGTGGCCAGCATGACTAAGCCACTTCTGGCGAACCAGAACAGCACACGGAAAGCCGTTTACCTTCCTGCCAGAGCGGTACCTATTTATCTGCTAGGTTGGCAAGAGAGAGTAAAATAAGCAACTTAAAAAATTAGAATCCTGTCACAAACTCCAAAGAGGAAAATTACAAAATGTCTAGAATCATTTCCTGGTAGGTTTTGCTTGCTGCAGCACAGTGCTTGGCCACACAGAGAGCGAGACATGCATGTTGATCCGGAAGGCGCCAAAGGATGTAAAATGCATCTGATCATCCTGGCAGATTTGATAAGAAAGGTTCAATAGACATTGTGCACCATTCACAATAAAAGGAGCTATACAGGAGGACATGAGTCACTAATCTGATCTCTCTGGAGTCATGGGAGCACTTCTGCTTGTGGGAGGGGGTGCTTGTGTTTTTTTTATCTCCAAGGCTTCTGCAAAGAGGACATTTAGCACTTCCTGCATAAGATGCAGGTGGTGGCTGTGGTGGGATTGGGGATATGTATTCCTGGTGGATAATCATTTTTTCCTTTATTTTTCTTTACAGGGGGACTCAGGAGGACCACTGATTTGCCCGTGGGGTGGGGCTTGGCTTGTGGCTGGTGTGGTGAGCTGGGGGGATATTTGTGCTGCCCCTAAGCGTCCTGGTGTCTATACCCGGGTCAGCGCCCACAGCAGTTGGATCTTGAGACATGCCCCAGAAGTGACTGCCAATTTCATCAATGGTGCCTCAAGCAGGGTTTGTGCCCAGTTTCTGGTACTAGTAGCGCTACACTGCCTTTATTAACTACCAACAGTATGCAGGGTGCATGTCAGGATTGCTGCGGCTTCTTTGCTGTGACCAATATCTGGCAAAGGTGACTGGGAAAGCATTTTTGGATATATGAAATACCTGGAGTTGTGGCTGTGTCACAATTGTTGGTGTGAGCCAGTTAGGAGTGTGGAAGTCTACCCATAATAAAAGACACTGCTATATCATTTAGATGTCCCCATAGGCTTATTGATGCTGCATCATCTGTAGGCTTCTCATGTTTGATCCAAGAAATGACCCCTCTTATTCTCAGACTTCCAATTTTCTCATCCATTGGGTAAAGTCACTTGCTGTGAGTCTAAGCCATGGGTAGGCAAACTAAGGCCTGGGGGCCAGATCCGGCCCAATCGCCTTCTAAATCCGGCCCGTGGAGGGTCGGGGAATCAGTGTGTTTTTACATGAATAGAATGTGCCATTTTATTTAAAATGCATCTCTGGTTTATTTGTGGGGCATAGGAATTCGTTCATTTATTTATTTTTCAAAATATAGTCATCCCCCCCAAGGTCTGAGGGACAGTGAACTGGCCGCCTGCTGAAAAAGTTTGCTGACTGCTGGTCTAAGCAGTCTGGGACTATGAGCAACAGTGGGATTTTGGAAATATATTGTAAACACACACACATACCAAAAAGAATTGAAATAATGGCAGACAAAAATGCCAAATATTGAAAGATTATTCTCAAACCTGGAAAGAAATAAAGGTCTAAAAAATAAAAAGTGGCTCAACTGAAAGTTTACTTTGCGTTGTTTGACTGCACAAATGTTGCCAGAACCAACATGGTACAAGACATAGATTCAAGACACATATTTTCATGGAATTTTTACCCAGGACACCTTCAGATGAGAGAGCACTTCTATGCACAAATAGATGATTAGTGATTTCAGCTGCAATTCTAGCCCCATTTAGCAGGGTGTGAATCAGATTAAATTAAATGAGACTCAATGGTCATTTGGGACAGATGTTCAGGCATATTTAGCACCTGTGATTATTGTCTCTAAGGCAAATTCTCATCTCATTCAAGTGGAAGGGGAAATGTCTGCTCAGATGTAACAAGGGATTTTATTCAGCATTTCCACAGGTAATCCCTGACTTTCAACTGGCTTTTACCTTCCCCTTTAATTATCACAAGGATTGCAATTAATGCTGCTTTAAAAAAACACCATGTGAAATTGCAGTTGCCAAAAGTAGCAGGGAAAGGAGTGATATAAATATATCACTTAGCATTTGGTGCTGGGGCTAGGAAAAGAATTGTGCACCGGTTTGATCTCTGATGCTTTGCCTTTTATTTTAAATTCAAACCTTCAAAGATGGTAATAGTTGTATCAAAATGGTACTGAAAATGGTGAATATTGTTTTCTTGATTCTGTTACTGCTTCCTCATATGGCATGCAAGGCACATATTGTCAGATGCATGGTTCAAGATCCACACCCTCCGCTTCATGAATATCATCAGTCAGGTGACCTCTTTATTGGTGGAATTGCTTCTCACAGCTTCATTGTCTCCAATTTCATCCCCTTCAAAAAAGTACCCCCACAGGCATCCTATGAAGAGCTTATGTAAGGCGATTTGTTTCTCTCTCTTGTATTGTGTCCTGGAAACTGTCATTGGTGCATTTGATTGGGTCTTCTTTTTTCAAAAGGCAAAGCAGTTAAAAGAGTGTCAAAATTAAATGACTTCATAACTGGAATTTAAGCTCCTCCCACATCACCTTCTGCTTCTCCCCAGTTTTCTTCATGATTACATTGTCCCATCTCATGTCTTTGTCTATGTCTCATATTCTGCTATCCTTGCTGTCTTCTTCTTCTTCTTCTTCTTCTTCTCCTTCTTCTTCAATGTTGTTTTGAAGGTGCAGGGAAGGTATGTTTGCTATTGTATTATAAGTGAACATGTGAAATAACTCCTGATATTTTCAGTAATACAGAAAGTGGTTCTCATTCTAGTGTGTTGTCTAAGAATTATCAGCATATCTTGGCTTTGGCATTTGCAGTCAAGGAGATCAATGAAAACCCTCAGATGTTACTCAATGTCACCTTGGGCTTCTACATATATGACAGTTATTTCACTATAAAATGGACCTACCATGCAACTTTGCTACTTATACAAACATTGGAGAAGTTTGTTCCCAATTATAAATGTAATATTGCATATAACCTGATTGCAGTCATAGGGGGATTGGACCCCCTAACCTCCCTTCATGTGGCAACTGTTGTGGATACTTATAAGATCCCACAGGTAGGATGTATGTGTGTTGGTCTCTGTGTGTGCTGAATATAGGATTTTAACTGTTTTGAAAGAGATGGGGTAGGAAGAAGAAAGAGGCAGAGATGCATACTGAGATGGGCATTCTTTTTGAGTGAGCATCAAATCTTCCCTAAGAAATACAGCCACGTGGGTTATTCATAAATCAGAAACAAGACAATGTGAACCCTTCCTCAGAAGTACTTGTTCTCTCACTGTTCTTGTAATAATAATAAAAATACCTACACATTGTTTGAACAAACTAATACCTGGTGACAATGCATATGAAAATGTGACAAGAATAAACCATGTTCTAATGATTACTGATATGATATTTGTGAATTACTTTCAACACTTGGAAGCACGAAATGAATGCTATTATCTTCTCTTCCCCTCCACATCTATCTTTAGCTTATTTATGGCCCTCCTCCAGTGATGAATGATAAAACACCAGGGCTTTCCTTCTACCAGATGGCCCCCAAGGAAGACGGGCAGTATGCAGGGATTCTCTCTTTGCTCCTGCATTTCAGGTGGACATGGATTGGGATCCTTACCTCTAATGATGAATATGGAGATAGATTTCTACAAACTGTGGTTCCAGAGTTTACTCAAAGTGGTATCTGTTTTGCTTTCATAGAAAAGAGTCACACACATATGATTTTCACTGAAATTAATGACATGTTCAATCAGGGAGCAAAGCTACATGATAACATTATTGACAGCAAAGCCAATGTAGTAGTGGTTTATGGAGAATCTCATACTATTATGTTTTTGAGATGGTTTCCATATCTATCAGGGCAAGAGCACATGACAAATAAACAGAAAGGCATAGTGTGGATAGTAACAGCCCAGATGGAGCTGACTTCCATTGCTTATCAAAGGACCTGGGATACAGACATCCTTCATGGTGTTCTGTCTTTCACAATTCATTCCAATAACCCACCAGGATTTCACAAATTTATTGACAGTAGAAAACCTCTCGAAACCAAAGGAGATGGTTTTATCAGACACTTCTGGCAACATGCATTCAGCTGTGTATTTCCAAATTCAGCGATGAGCAATGTGGATGGGGATATTTGTACAGGGGAAGAGAAGCTGAGCGATCTTCCTGGGCCATTTTTTGAAATGAGCATGATTGGCCATAGCTACAGCATCTACAATAGCGTGTATGCCGTGGCCCATGCGTTAAATGCAATGTTCTCATCTAGACACAAATATCGAACAATGGCTGTTGATGGAGGACTGAAGTTTCCAAATCTAAAGTTGTGGCAGGTAATGGATTTGTGGGGGGATGGGGACCAAAAGGTTACATTGCTTGCTCCATTTTTAATATTTCTTCCTTTCCACGTGAGCTAGAAATACACATGAGTCTTTGACAAAGACCAAAGCTCAGAACATTTACTTTTAATAATAAATTGATAAATAATAATTATTTTAAGAGTTCCAGTTCCACATGTCCATAAACTAATTCCAGTTCACCTTAGACCCTTTACAAAATGAACTAGTTCTGTTTACATTCAGTTCACCATTCAATTCAGATTCATTCAAATGATCCTTGAATTCAGAATGATACAAGCTGCTGTGATTAAGTATATAATATTCTTTAACACACTAAGAAAACTTCAAAACACGCACAGTGGAATGTGAGCAGTTTAATTTATTTCCCCATGTGATTATTATCTTTAAACTTAAAGACTCAAATTGTCTGAAGAGTGAAAAACATATGCAAGAAGATGAGCTTGAAGACGAAATAGAAATACTTCAGAATTCTACCCAGAATGAACTTAATTCAAATGTAATTTTATGAACTGGTTCATTCCAAGCCCTGAAAAAGAAAAACATACCATTCCTTTTATTTCCATTTCTCTTTCATTTTTTTCTGGATTCCTACACTGAATAGGCAATGAAATACTGAGAGGATCCATTCTCTATAAGGTATTATTTAACTGAAACTTCTAAACTTTCAAATATGAAAAAAGTATTGCCTTATTATCCGTGGCAGGGGGAAGGAACTGGATCTGGCTATTGTCAACTCGGTAGTTCAGCCAATACAGCAGACTTGACCTCACCATCTGTCAAGTGATAGGTGGTTACTTTAAGTCCTGCTTATGGCTAGAGTTAGCTCTGCTAGTGAATTCAGTGTGAGGAGCTCAGTAGCACAGCAGATCCTTCCAAAGTTGCAATCACCAACCATCAACTGCTTGGTGATGTCAACAAACCTCCCTTGCCAATGACCAGTCAGGAGTGCCACATTAGGGCCCCACACCTGACATCACATATGACCTCAGGTGTGGGGCGGGTGGATGTGATTTCTGGAAACGGCCTTATGGGTCTAACTCGGATCCATGCAGGATCCAATAGGTATTGGGCTGGAAGTTCCCCAACTATGGTCTATGAAATTGTTGGTCTGGAAAAAAAAATGAAAACAGTTTTGACAAAGAGACAATGGTCTTATATTCTGAAAGATCCAGAACACTGTTGTCTAATCACAGCCTTACCTAAACTTTTGTGTTTGCTTTTTCAATCTAGCTCCATCACTATCTCAGAGGTGTTTCCTTTAACAACAGCTCCGGTGATAAGGTTTCTTTAGACCAGAATGGGGAGTTAATCGCTGGATATGATATTATAAACTGGATTTTTTCTTCAAACCGATCCTTTCATAGGGTGAAAGTTGGGAAGATTGATCCACAAGTTTCACCAGACCAAGCATTCACCATCAATGAAACTGTAATAGAATGGCACCATTGGTTTAAACAGGTAGGGTCTTCAGATTACGTGACATTGTGCTGTTCTGGGCAACATCAGACCCCTCCCCCCCATCTCTTTCCCAAGTCAGCATGTCTGATACCTATTCATTTGTGCCCAAATTTACTAGGCTTCAGACAAGCATTCTGTTTTTCATGCTAGGTTGAAGTCTTAAAATGTGGGGAAATACTGTTGAGCATCTACAGCTGGGATGGGCAACCTTTTTGAAGATATGTTTGCATGTTTTAACATCACAGCACTGTGGTAATATTTGAAAGACCGAAACTAGGTAGAGGGTGACTACCACACATGCCTCATTATAATGGATAATTGGGTGGAAATCCCCTAGACAATACTAACACACGTCTACAATTTCCAGCATTAGCATAGTGGCATAAATTAAATACATGCAACATAATTTCTTCCATTTCTTAATCCTATAGCACCATGGTAGCATTTGAAAATCCACGGTAGCATACAAAATACTGCAAATGGGTGGATGATCTGTCAGACCTAGTTATAGGCCTCCTTTCCCAGTCTAGTGGCAATTGGATGGATGCACATAGGTCATTGAATGCACCATCATGCTCCTATGATATTCAACCTTAACATGGTGGTGTTTGATTAAGGTATTCAACAATGGTTCAAGATTCATTTTCAGTTACAATATATATGTACATATAGATGTATATAGGTGGATATATATATATATACATATAGATAGATATATAGATTTACATTTATATCTGTGTGGATCTAAATTGATTTTTCTCAAGATTAACATTCTGCTCTTTCATTTCTTGATTAGGTTAAGCCTCTTTCTGTATGTAGTGAGAGTTGCCATCCTGGTTCTAGCAAGAAAATGAAAGAGGGGGAGCCATTTTGCTGCTATGATTGCACCCCATGTCCAGAAGGGAAGTTTTCAGAGCAGGAGGGTAAGAAATATGCTGTGTAAAGTTATCATGTAATTTGGCCATAATGAAGAGGACACATCAAAGTGCAGCATCACAAAGCAAAAACAAAGGAGAATGAGGAGGATGCAGCAGACTAATTTATTTATCCAAATTGCATAAACATAAATCCCAACATATTTCAAACACCAGACCTTCATTAGGGTAGCGTAAAAAAATGTATATTTAAATATTGCAATGAATGTTGTGAAAATTGTTTTCTAGCAAACCTTGTTTGACGTGTATTGGACTTGCTTTGCGGTGCTATCAGTTATTCTCTCACACCTGTTATATGCTCACGTGTTTCTTTAAGTCAAAATAAATTTCATATAAAATAACTGTCAATTGTAGTATCTAAATGGAATATTCATTCACCAGCCAGTCTACAATCATTAGGTAAAAAAGGATCACATGTGTTCAGGGGAGGCGGAATCTTGTGCAGATATGAGTGAATTGGGTCATCCTGTCTGCAAGTCACCGATTCTGCATCCAGTCCCCACTAAATAATACATAGAATACATAGGAAAGCAAACACAAATAAATGCATAGAAACAAGCTGGTTGCTTGAGACTGGAGATTTTGGCATTAGATAAATAGAGCTGGTCAAATGAAATGGGCAAACTTTAGAGATCTAGCCATTCACAATGGCTTTCACCAGTAGTTCCCTCTGACAACCAGTAAAGGTAGGCAGGAGGTGTTCAATACTACAAAATAAGGGATTGTGTTGAGCCGTGTTTGGGCATTAACCTGAAACTGGGCTGAAACTATGGATGGAGGTATGGGAGTGCATGGGCATTCTCACCCTCAACCTCTAGATGCGTGGACTCCTCTTCAGATCTTTAAGTATTTGGCATGAATGGCTGAAGGGGGTTTCTAAGTACATTCTGTTGAATCCCCTTAGAAGCATTCATGCAAACACTTGAGCATAGTTTTGTTGTGCTGCCTATCCAGTTACTTAACAGCTCGTGAAAATTATTCTTAGCATGTTGTTGGATAGCCACAGACTTCTGTGCTGGGATATTCGCTTGTGGAAGATTATTCCTTATGTGACTCCTTTCCTCCATCAATGTTACATAACGTGAGCGGAAGTGCCATATCAATTGCATACCACTTATTCCACTTCAAAACAAAATGAGAAAAGCCTCAGGAATGAACAAAGGAAATGATAAATACATAAATAAATATTTTGTTCGAAAGAACATAATACCTTCATGAGGATGCTAGTTAATGAATGGTAACCTACTCCACCATCTCCTAACTGGACACATTTCAAAGGATTGACCTTAAAAGGATTTCCTAATAAGAATTGGTTTTTTAAAAAACCTTATAAGATAAAGAGTTACAACATGTTTGGCTTGTATGTTAACTTGTGGTTACCTAATTTCTTTTTCAGACATGAACGACTGTTCTACGTGTACGGACAAAACCTATCCAAGCAACAGACAAGATTTCTGTATTCCTAAGGTCATTACATTTTTGTCTTACACAGAACCTTTGGGAATCAGTTTTACCTTTTTGGTCCTTTCTTTTTCTTTGATCACAGCTGTGGTGCTAGGAATGTTTATGAAGCACAACGACACTCCCATTGTCAAGGCCAACAATCGCAATCTCACCTACACTCTCCTTTGCTCTCTCCTGCTCTGCTTCCTCTGTGCATTACTATTCATTGGCCAGCCTGGGGAGATGACATGTCTCCTCCGACAAACTGCTTTTGGCATCATCTTTTCAGGGGCTGTTTCTTGTGTGCTGGCTAAAACCATCACAGTGCTTCTGGCTTTTATGGCCACTAAACCTGGATCTAGGATGAGGAAGTGGGTGGGGAAAAGACTTGCCTCCTTCTTTGTTCTTTTCTGCACCCTTCTTCAAGCAGGCATTTGTACTGTGTGGATAGTAACCTCTCCCCCATTTCCAGATGTTGACATGTGGTCAGTAACGGAGGAAATTGTCCTGGAATGTAACGAGGGTTCAGTTACTATGTTTTATTGTGTTTTGGGCTATATGGGCTTCCTGGCAATTATCAGTTTCATTGTGGCTTTCCTTGCCAGGAAGTTACCTGATAGTTTCAATGAAGCCAAATTCATCACTTTCAGCATGTTGGTCTTTTGCAGTGTTTGGCTATCCTTTGTTCCAGCCTACCTGAGCTCCAAGGGTAAATACCTAGTTGCTGTGGAGATCTTTTCTATCTTGGCCTCCAGTGCTGGACTGTTGAGTTGCATCTTTGCCCCAAAAGTTTACATTATTGTGTTGAGGCCTGAGCTGAACAACAGGGAACAGCTAATAAGAAAGAAAGCATGAAGATATATTTAACCCTATTCAGGCATTAGAACAAGTGCCGTAGCTCCCCCCCCCCCAACACCTATTTTCATTGCCCTCGTTTCATGCAGGGTAAGTGTATGAATTAGAGAGCCTCCTATATCCATTGAGGTTACTAATACAGTGGTACCTTGGGTTAAGAACTTAATTCATTCTGGAGGTCCTTTCTTAACCTGAAACTGTTCTTAACCTGAGGTACCACTTTAGCTAATGGGGCCTCTTGCTGCTGCCGTGCCGCTGACGCACGATTTCTGTTCTCATCCTGAAGCAAAGTTCTTAACCCGATGTACTATTTCTGGGTTAGCAGAGTCTATAACCTGAAGCGTCTGTAACCTGAAGCGTCTGTAACCAGAGGTACCACTGTATGTTTATGATGATATGTCGTCGCTTGTCAGTTTCACTGCCTCCAGATTTCCCTATAGAGCTGTAATTTAACTGCACAGGGAGTCCAAATGGAGAGGTCCAGCACACTGTCTGTTCCATCTGTACAGTATCAGTTTCAATTATTGAAACCTGAGTACAAGATGTTTGCAGTTGTACATACATAAAACATTCAGAATAATTCCTAAAAATCATTAATAGTTCTCCTCACCATAACCATGTAAAGAGTACGCCACTAAACAGGCCCCTGTGCCATGTGGTTGTCTGTACAGTCATACCTTGGATCCTGAACGCCTTGGTACTCGGACGTTTTGGCTCCTGAACCCCGCAAACCCAGAAGTGAGTGTTCTGGTTTGCAAACGTTCTTTGGAACCCGAATGCCCAGCAGGGCTTCCGCAGCTTCCTGTAGTCAATCAGAAGCCGCACTTTGTTTTCTGAACATTTTGGAAGTCAAACGGACTTCCGAAATGGATTCCAATTGACTTCCAAGATACGACTGTATAGTTCTTTGTCCTAGGGTTTCTCAAAGTTCACAGTTCCAGTAGATTAACTGGCCAAAATTGCAGGTTCCTTCTTCCTGGAGCTGTTCAAATTCTCTTTGGCTTTCCCTCACATTCTTGCCCCAAAGAAATCTCCCTAGCTGCCTGCAGAGCATCATGAAGAAACAATGTTGGAAAAATTGTGATCATTTCTTCTTTCTTACTAAGACTGTAGGGTACCTCTCCAATTTTCTCCCCTTTGCTACCCCAGGGCAAATCTATTTCATCTCCTGCCCCACACCACAAATCAAAATCCTGCCACCAGGCTTTGTCTGGAGGCACCTAATTTAGAAACCCATGGCAGAGCTCACTCAGATTGGTGGCTAGAAATCCCTCCATGCTTACTCCAATCATCTCTGAAGAGCTTCAATGGGCTAAACAAAGGCATATGACTTTCCCAGTTTGCCATCCAAACCCATGGGTGATCTGGGCTGCTTTCCCTAGCATTGGGAAGCATCCCCCACCCCACAAAGCCATCTGGAAGTACCCAAAGGGCAACATCACTGGCACTTTTTACTTCACCAAAATCAGCAGGAGCCTCCTGCTCTCCTAGCGCATGCAGGCACATCTCTTGGAGGTTTGCCTATGTGTTTCCCCCCAGTGAGGGAAAACTGTAGCATCAACTTGAACTACTCAAGAAGTGTTGCTGGCACTGTCATCCAATAAAACTGAATGTTGGAAAATCCATGCCAGTCAAAAGGAAGTACATTTTGGGGGCCTTGAAGTTATGAACTGTTATGGAGGCTCCTTTGTTCAGATGCCTCAAACTTCTTCTTCTCCAACTCCATTTGTGAAAAACAATATTAAGTTGATGATTACCTACTCCTGTAATTGTGAAAAGGACTGTAATTAATTCAACTACTTGGCAATGCTTCTTCCCGAGGAGTTTCAGTGGACAGAAGCAAAAGTAATAGCACAATGTATGAAGGATAATATAAATATTCAATTTAATAGTTGTAGGAGCAGGAACTTTGGGGGGGAAACAAGGAACCACCTGTTTGAGTCTAAACACAATCTCTGTTTAGAGAGGAAATTTGTACTGAGGATGGTGACATTAGTAGTCTCGATATTGGTACTACTTCCTCACATGGCATGCAAGCCTCACATTAACTGCATGGTAAGAGCTCCACACAATCCAATTCACGAGTATCATCAGTTGGGAGGCAACATAATTGGTGGCATCACTTCTCAGACCTTCATAATCTCCAACTCGCTAACCTTCACTGGAGCACCTCCACCCGTGTTGTTTGAAGAGCTCGCGTAAGACCTTGATGTTGCTATTGTTGGTTGTTACAGTTTCTGTTTCCATTAAGGATGTGAATTACAGTCTTTCTCCAAGTTTGTCAAATAATTTTCATGTGAACTTAAATACTAATTTAATTATATTCAGAATGGGAGACAGATCAAGTTCATCTGGTTTTGACAGTACTAGTGATGGCTTCCTTCACTTAAACATTTTAGAAACTACCATCAATGAAGCCAGAAATATTAATGGTCAGTGATAAGCGATCTTAATTTGTATTTCTTACCACTTGCTCTGATTGATGTCATTTACTTATAGAATTTGAAAATGTCTTTGTAAGAGAGCTGGGGTGTTTATATATTTGTATATAATAAGGAAGGACATGTCAAGGGAGATGCAACAGTTTTACAAAACATGGAAGTTTCTCCAAACACAGAATACAACTTCAATTCTAGTGCAGTTATCACCACACTCTGAGCATGTTCTTAAAATATGGATTTCACCTTCAACTGTTGGGGGTACTTCACCAAGAACTTATAAAGTGTTCTGTATTCTGAGGCATTCTTAAGAAAAGATCCAGTAATGTCATAGAATACGATATATATCAAGAATGGGAGTAGGTGTTCACATGCATCGAAAACAACCTTCTGAAAATGTCAAATCGTATGGTTCATGATAACACATGGAACTTTATACTGGTAACTTATCAATAAACTATATTGAGTGCATTGTTGTAAAGGAGAATACAGTTGTCTAATATTTGTGAGGCCTTCTTAGGGCTAAGAATTGCCTAAAGAAAGTTTGTACATAAATACTGTAAGGAAGTATAGGCAGTACAACATAGTCCACATTTTACAATGTGTGGGATACCCTAATATGCTGTACTTTTTTTTTAGGGTTGTGCCTAAGAATTACCAGCACATCCTGGCTTTGGCATTTGCTGTAAAGGAGATAAATGAAAACTCTCAGATTTTACCCAATACTTCCTTGGGCTTCCACATTTACGACAGTTACTTCAATGCAAAGAGTACCTATCATGCCACAATGCAGCTTATGTCTTCAAAAGAAAAAATAGTTCCCAACTACATATGTGACATTCAGAATAAATTAATAGCAATTGTTGGGGGACTGGAGCCTCTAATTTCTCATTATATTGCAACTGTATTGGATATCTACAAGATTCCACAGGTAGATTGTGTAGATGTCTCTATATTTATGTGGAATGTGGGAGTTCATCCATTTAAATGCTTTTTTTCACCGCACAGGCAAGATTGTGGGTCTGGAAACTGAAGTGGGTGAAGGCATGTAGGAAATATTTCCTTGTTTAGGAATGTCAAATGGAAGCTGAGATACAGATCATTATAAATGAGAGTGTTGGAAATATAACAGCACCTACAGAAGAAAGTAAATTGTCTAGTGATGGTGGGTAGGTGGAAGAAAGGAATATCAGCAATAATTACAGCCACAGCATATGACAGGCAGACCAATCCCCTGACTTGTTGTAAGTAAGATGGCAGCCAGATGTAGACTTTCTGAGAAAAGACAGACGTTGATAAAGCATTGCCCCATTTGCCATACTGAACCAGCCTCCATTAAAACAATTCCTGTGCTTGTAATAAAAACTTATATACCAACAGTTTGAAGAAAGGGGTTCTGTGGGCCAAAGTTGGGCTTCTAGTTAGTTACTTAGTTAGTTATTCATTCTTATTTCCTTTTTTTAGCTCATATATGGCCCTGCTCCAGTGATGAATGATAAAACCACAGGCCTTTCCTTCTACCAAATGTCTCCTAAAGATGCTCTTCAGCATGCAGGCATTCTGACTTCGCTTCTCCATTTCAATTGGACATGGATTGGGATCCTTACATCCAATGATGAATATGGAGAAAGATTTGTGCAGACAGTGTTTCCAGTATTCTCCAGAAAGGGTATTTGTTTTGCCTTCATAGAAAGAAGCAACAAATTTACCATTGTCACAGAAATGTATGATAAGCTACATGAGGGAGCCAAAATAAATGATAGAATCACTGACAGCAAAGCCAATGTAGTGGTTGCTAATGGAGAATCCTATCTCATTGTGTATTTGAGGTGGCTACCATATGCCTCAGAAAGAGAATGTACAATAAATAAAGTGTGGATATTAACAGCTCAGATAGAGCTCACTTCAATGGTGTATCAAAGAACCTGGGATACAGACATAGTCCATGGTGTTCTGTCCTTCTCTATTCACTCCAGTGATCTGCCAGGATTCAAGACATTTATTGAAAGCAAAAGCCCTTCATTCACAACAGGAGATGGCTTTATCAGGGATTTCTGGCAGCAGGCCTTTGGTTGTGTATTCCAAAGTATAGATGGGGATAAGGTGGATGGAGACATTTGCACAGGAAAAGAGAAGTTGGAAAGCCTTCCTGGGACATTTTTTGAAATGAGCTTGACTGGCCACAGCTACAGCATCTACAATGCTGTTTATGCTGTGGCACATGCTTTACACTCCATGTCTTCATCTCGACTGAATCATCCATCAGTGGTTGAAGGAAGGTGGAGGAACCTTCAGAATCAGCAGGTGTTGCAGGTAATGGAATGAAATTCCTCCTGTTGGAAGGCAACATATCTCTCAGAATATATAACAATATGCTCCAATCAGATCCTTCTTGTGGGCTTCCCATTGACATCTGGTTGGGCATTGTAAGAACCATACGCTGCACTTGATAGGCTATGGACTGATCTAGTAGGTATCTATTCTGTTTGGTAAAAGGTCTCCACAAACTCTTCCCATCCTCTCATTGGCATCTTCTTTCTCATGTTACTGTGAGCAGGCTCTGAGACTATAGACTTGTAGAGTTGGAAGGGACTACTAGGGTTATCTAGTCCAATCCTGTAATCTACTATAAGAACTGTATGCTGGACCAGGGAGGATTTTTGACTTATCTAGCAGGTCTTTTTTTTATTCTGTCTAATAAAAGGTCTCCCCTAACTAGGGTTGCCATATTTCAAAAGCTGAAAATCTGGACACAAAAATTGTTCTGCTTTTTTTGGCAAAGTTATTGAGCATTGGCAAAGTTGTTGAACATTTTAGCCACTTTCAGAATATTCCACCTGGACACAATTCTGAACCTAAGGCAGACCTACCCCAAACTCTGCTCATTCTCTTCTTTCCATCTTCTTTCTCTATATTAGTGTTGATATGTTCTGAGATTATAGAATTGTAGAGTTGGAAGGGGCCACTAGGGTAATCTATTTTCCCAACGTGGGGCTAGAACTCCCAGCCCTGAGACTAGGAGTCTCATGCTCAACCGACTGAGATGCTTCCCTCTTTTTCTACTGGTGAACTTAAAATATACACATTATAGTTTTGCTGCTATACATTTACTAATTCATGCTACCTCTGATTCATGCTGCCTCTTGGCTCTCAGAAACTGCCACAACTACACTGTGAGTCCATTAAGAAGTGTGTGTATTTGCTGGTAAGAGGCTTTCAGATCCAGTAATGTTGTGTTTAGAAGAGGCAGGTTTCATTTAGAAGATGTTGTCCAGTAGAAGTAAGATAGAACCTTTGAAACTCTGCAACTACAGCCAGAATCCAATTTACTAAGGGCAGCTCTACTATGTTTTTTGACCAGTAATGTTGAATAAGTTTATGAAGTGCTAAATTAATTGTATATGGTGAAAAAGGCGATGGATTTAGAAAATGCATTTGATACCTAATTTAAAGTGCACTCTTTAACCTTTAAAACACTAAATGACTTTTAATCAAGAGTGACTGGCCCAAAGTGCAAAGTGAGGCAACTGCCTTAGGTGGCAGGATCCATTGGGGCAGCAGAGCCTGATGTTGGTATTACTTTCCCATTTGCTCCTAATATCTTCTCTCACCCATTCTTTCCTGGAGCCATTTCGGGGTCCTGCGATTCAGAATGGGATGTAAATGGGTTGCTTCCACCCAGGGAAGATGTTTGTATGATTTGCTGTAAAAGATTCCACAGAAATACAGCTTCTCCTAAGCTTCTTTTCTTTTTCAACTCAGCTCCATCACTTTCTGAAAATTGTCTCCTTTAACAACAGTGCTGGAGACAAGATCTCCTTTGACCAGAATGGGGAGTTAGTGACTGGATTTGATATTATAAACTGGATTATTCCCGCAAACCAATCCTTTCATAGAGTGAAAGTTGGGAGAATGGATCCCCAGGGTTCTCCGGACCAAGTGTTCACCATCAACAAGGATGCCATCACATGGCACAATTGGTTTAATCAGGTAGGATTCAGTTGGGAACTGCTTGGGAAACTATTCAGTTTCATCGAATGAACAATGTTCAGCCCATGACAAATACCGAGTTTTGATTAGAAATGATACAACTTATGTAGAAAGTAAGACTCAAAAAATTTCTGCACTGTTTGCTTTGCTGTTGAATATATTAAATGTGTTGAAAAGAATAAACATATGTTTGTGCTAGTTGGATTATACACACAATGCCACAACAGGCAACAAGATGTCTATGAGAAGACTGAAAGCAGGACTTGAGAGCAGCAGTGTTCTGTCCATTTGCAATTTGTAGCGATTGGTATAATAATAATAATAATAATAATAATAATAATAATTTATTTATACCCCACCCATCTGGCTGGGTTTCCCCAGCCATTTTGGGCGGCTCCCAACAGAATATTGAAAACATGATAAAAGATCAAGCTGTAAAAACTTCCCTAAACAGAGCTGCTTTCAGATTTCTTCTAAAAGTCATGTAGTTTTTTGTTTCCTTGTCATCTGATGATAGGGCATTCCACAAGGTGGGCACCACTACTGAGAAGGCCCTCTGCCTGGGTCAGACAATTGTTGCTTCCAACAGTTGTGGTAAAAATTAGCTAGTGGCACTTGGTAGACTTCTTCTCCATGAATTTGTCTAATCCTCTTTTCTAAGCTAAAAATCCCCAAATATTGTAATCTTTGTAATATTGTAAACCCTGTAGGTTTTCTTTGCTTTCAATTTGTTTCTAAATGTTTTAAATTTTTTATTTTAATAGTGTATTAAGATAAAGGGCTTGTTAAGAATGATGATGACAATGATGTAGTTGCTCCAGCACTTTGATGACTTTGCTTATTCTTCTCTCAGCCCTTTTCAGTTCATCAGTATTCTTTTTGAGGTGCAGTATCTAAAACTCTTCTGAACATTCCAGCTGTGGTCTCACATTAAATTTGTGACTGAGACATTCACATCAACGTGTGTACTTCATGAAGATATTGATCAAGTGTGCAACAGCTGTGAAAAAGCCAAATTCTAAATTAGGGAACATTAGGAAGGGGGGTGGAAAAAAAACTTGGCAATATCTTGTTGACAGAATTAAAACCTATGGTGTGACCACACTTGGATTACTTCACACAGCCCTGGATATTTCACATCTCAGAAGGATGCCAGATAAAGTTATGGATGAGTGGTCCCAGTTTGGTTTAAGTTATACATGAATATCATCTTAAGAACTTGAGACTTCTTTTCAAGATAATCATTCTACTTTTTCACTTACAAATTAGGTCCAGCCTCTTTCTGTATGTTCTGAAAGTTGCTATCCCGGTTCCAGCAAGAAAGTGAAGGAGGGAAAACCGTTTTGCTGCTATGATTGCATCCCATGTCCAGAAGGAAAGTTTTCAGACCAAAAGGGTGTTGGGTTGAAATCACGACAGACGAATGGTGGGTGTCAAAGGAGAGACGTCTGCCCGGGACAAGCCCCGGGAACTCTCTTTTATTGAATATTACAAACATTGCCACAGGTGTGCTTGTGGCTGATTGGTTGATACAAACACAAAGCATCTTGTTGCTGATTGGTTAACATAGGTACAAGGCGGGCATTACATATTACATTAATCAGTGATAGTTCAAAAGACTGGGAACGGAGCTGGAACTAGACAGGCATGAAACCTCCTAATTAAATTATAACTAAAGATTGATATTGAGAGAACATAACATGAAGGAATACAACAATCACGTTCCGTAAATGTGGTCAGCAATGCATTAAGAACAGGTCAGGATACACTGTTTCATGAACTCAATGGGAACTGTTCAGAACATTCTCAGACTCTTGTGCAGAAGCAGAGAAAAGATTATGAGCGAGACTTCCCAGAATGCAAGAGTTATGTGCAGTAAGAGAACTGCAGAAAGAGAACTTCACAGTGAGAGAACTGCAGAAAGAAAAACTTCCCTTCATCTCCCCCTTTCTTTTCTTGTTTGCGAGGCATTCCAGGTGGATAAGGCAAAAATACTTCGGGATTAGTGGTGTGCCAGCGAATGCCCGAAATAAGCCTGCCAGGGTCGATGGGACAAAAGTACTTCAGGATACGTGGTTTGCCAGCGCATGCCCAAAATAAATCCGCCCACATCTCCCCTATAGGTTTACTGTTGGTGTTGCCATGTCGCAATGTAAGCAGCACGGAGTTTACTGGGTGGTGGTGGGGGGGGAGAGAAGCCGAGAGAAAAGACTCATGAGGCTAGGAACGCATTGAAGGAAACAGCATAGTAAAATAAAAATACAAATTATGAAAATAGCATATTGAAAGAGACTACGAAGCCAAGTAAGGTTTGGCAACCAAGCGGTAAGCCACTGGGTGAAAGAATCCCAGAGGCCAGGAAAACCAATGTCCTGTTTAATGTGATGTGTAAGATTTTGCAAATGAGAGATTTGACTTTGAATGGCTCTTGAATTGTCAGTAATATTGAAACAACACATGTCATTCACTTGTTCACAGCCATAATGATGAAGCATCAGCAAATAGTGATAGCAGCACGATTTCGTAAAAGTCCATTATATAAAAGTCCATTATAAAAGTCCACTCTGTTCTTTATTCAAAAGGTGAAGGGCTTGAGGAGTATAATTCAGAGTTTTTGCTGCATAACAAGCTAAAGAAGTAATGTTCATACGATTCCGTACAGCCAATCCAGGGACTCCTAAGAGAGAAACAGCTAAAGAGATATATTCAGACCTACTGAGAAGAGAGACAAAAGCATCACAATCATTAGTCAATTCAATATTGCAGTGATATCGAGAGCGGGATAAATGATGCTTCTTGGGTAAAATGATGGACAAACGGCTTAAACAGCAAGGTGTGCCATGGCTGATGTATTGCTGGAATGTAATTAAACGTATAGCCAGGACACGACCAGAAGATTTCCAGTTGAGGGGAAGTGCAAGCTTACTCATTAAATTGAATGGTAGCTTGTAATTGTTGTAGTAAGTCTCTTCCCCACAGATTGAGGTGGATTTTCAGCACACAGGGCTGGATGTAAGCAATGGTTTCAGAGCTATCAGGCAGAGAAACAGGCAGCCACTGTACGCTTTTGGAAGAGGTTTGGGGGCCACCCACACCCCAGACTGCAGAGGCAGACTCAAGGGGCCACGTGGGGTCCCAGCAACTACTAGAAATTACAGAAACGTCTGCGCCTGTGTCAATCAAGCCTTCCAGCACAATACCATTGATTTTATACTTACGAAGAAGTTTCTTCTCACCAATCCTCTGGACTACAGCTAACAGCTGTGGAGGGAAAGAAGAGAGCTCGTGCAAATTAGTATCCATAATAGAAGCAGTAGGATGAGAAGGGAGCACCACCAAATGCGCCCAAGACTCACCCTTTTTAATTGCATGGGCATATGGCTCCAGAGTTGAACCATTATTGTGCCTACATAGTCAGGATCCAGAACTCCAGGAATAACCTGGATGCCTTCCTTTGCCGCAGAAAATTTGGGTAAAATTAAACCTGCGACTTTAGGAGGCAGGGGACCTGCCAATTGAGTGGGCATAAGCACAATTTCACCAGGTAGAACAGAATCTTTGGTCTCTTGATTGATCAAATCAATTGCAAATTCAGAGGGTGTGTTCTTTGAAAAGTTTGCAGCAGCAGAAATTAAAGGCGGAAAGCTCTCTAATTTTCCTGGGCTCTCTAATTTTCCTGGCCCGAGAGCGAGGCCGCAATGCAGTTTTCCGAACTCCTGCATTGATTAGCCCAATGATAGCCTTTGCCACATTTCGGGCATTTTTTAGAAGGTTTAGCCTTAGAGGCAGAACCATCCTTGTGTGCCCCCCCGCCTGGGGCTCTGCATTGCTTGGCAAAATGGCCTGGGCGCTTGCAATTAAAGCAGTTACCAGTAGGCTTAGTGGTTGCTTGGATTGCGCCGGCAAGCAAGGACATCGCATGGCTCTGGCTACCGACATCCGCACAAGCTTGAATCATATCGGCCAGTTCATATTTAGGGCGATGTATGATTGACTGCAAAGCTTTCTTGCAATCAGTGTTTGCGTTTTCAAAGGCCAATTTTTTCATCAATTCATTTTGAGCAGTGGTGTTATCAATCTGCCTAGTGACTGATTCTTTCAATCTATCTATAAACTGATGGTATGGCTCCGAATGCTGTTGCTTAATATTCACAAAGGAGCTCAGCGGTTGCCCAGAAACAGGGACTTTCCGAAAGGCGCGTTGTACACAGGTCGCGGTGCGAACAAAATGTACAGGTGTCAGTGTTGCTTGGGCAGTTATATCAGCAAACTGACCAGCACCATAAAGTTCATTGGCAGTATGTTGAGGATCAGACAGGGCTGAAGCGCTATGTTTAAATTCACTCTCAAACACCACATACTGAGCAGGGGACAAAAGCATGCGCATCAGGTCTTTCCAGTCCTGAGGTAGCATAATGTAGCCAGTTGCTATGCCTTCTAGCATCCCTGTCACATAAGAGGATTTCAGACCAGAATCAGCAATGGCTTTCCTTAATTCCCTCATTACAGAATAAGGAAGCGATTCATAATAAATCTGCTGTTGAGCAGTTCCAGGGTTTGAATAAGAGATAGGGAAAGCAGACGGCATTTCACCTGGCCACTCAGACTCCTCCTCTAAGGACAGGAGCCCTTTTGCCTTGCCAGAGAGAGCGCATCACGAACAGATCCTATAGAGCAAACAGGGGCTGTGGCAGGAGGAGGAGGGATGGGGGGGGAGGAATCAGGCTGAGGCGGAGGGATGGGGGGGGGATGCAGGCTGATGAGGGTGAGAAGCAGGGAGGGATTGGCTTGGAGAAGGAGGTAAAAGTTTAGGGTAGGGTGGGGATTGTCTGCAATGGCCAGAAGAGGAGACGCCTGGGGTCCCAATTGGGGCCCTAATTTAGCAACGGCATCAGCACATTTCTGCCAAGTGAGCAGACAATGAATCGGAGCCCTAGGTTCTGCAAAAAAGGGTCTTTCCGATCTTTTGCCAAGTCTCTACGTCCAAAGATCCAGCCTCTGGATAAAAGACGCATTGGCAATTTATCTCACATAGCAATTGTTCAATTTCTTTTAAGGAGATATTAACACCCACCTCCCGCTGTCTAACTAAATAAAGCAATTCTTTAGCATGCTCTTTCTGGAGCTTAGTCAAGTCCCCTCCCATACTCACGAAGGTAGCGCGCTGAGACTTTTCCAGTCGGGTGAAGTATGAGGTTTGGCTGCGTAAGGGATCTGGCACGTCAGGGGTCACCAGATGTTGGGTTGAAATCACGACAGACGAATGGTGGGTGTCAAAGGAGAGACGTCTGCCCGGGGCAAGTCCCGGGAACTCTCTTTATTGAATATTACAAACATTGCCACAGGTGTGCTTGTGGCTGATTGGCTGATACAAACACAAAGCATCTTGTTGCTGATTGGTTAACATAGGTACAAGGCGGGCATTACATATTACATTAATCACTGATAGTTCAAAAGACTGGGAACGGAGCTGGAACTAGACAGGCATGAAACCTCCTAATTAAATTATAACTAAAGATTGATATTGAGAGAACATAACATGAAGGAATACAACAATCACGTTCCGTAAATGTGGTCAGCAATGCATTAAGAACAGGTCAGGATACACTGTTTCATGAACTCAATGGGAACTGTTCAGAACATTCTCAGACTCTTGTGCAGAAGCAGAGAAAAGATTATGAGCGAGACTTCCCAGAATGCAAGAGTTATGTGCAGTAAGAGAACTGCAGAAAGAGAACTTCACAGTGAGAGAACTGCAGAAAGAAAAACTTCCCTTCAAAAGGGTAAGAAATAGAGTGTAGAAAGCTGGGGAAACTTTGGTCATGATCAAGGAAACACATCAAAATTGTAGCAAAATTGTAGCACAAAGCAGAAGCAAAAGTGAATGTCATAGATGCAGAAGACTTGGTCCAAATGATATACATGCTAACTTCAATGTGTTTCAAACACTGCTTGTTCATCAGGGGATTATTTTAAAAGGTGTAAAAATTCATATGAGTTGCATCCAATTGGTGTTCATCTGCACACATACATTCAATTCTTTTGGTGTCCAAAAACAAGTAAAGATGATAATAGATTATGAGATGGGATAAAAACCCTTTTCTTGCATACTACTCTGTTATCTGAGATATACAAAAAATCTTTTGTATACCACTATGGAAATAGAAATGGAAAAATAGTATCTAAACTTCACAAATGAGCAAAGAAATTGCCCAGGCAAGCACATTATGTGACTCATGAGAGCAGCAAAATAACCAGACTGAACAATGGTGATGGGATAAAATCAGGCCAAATCTTTATTGAAAGAAGCACGTATGTCAAGGGTTGGCATGGCATTTTGTACCAGGATCAGTTCATCATTCCACAAGTCCCATGTTGATGGAATATATCCACTGGGTTTAGATGGCTCCAAATCTTTACAAAAGGAGTCGGCTAGTGTTGAACCAAGCCGAGTTGCAATGCAAGGAAGCAAGGTCTCACTGGGGAACCAGGATGCAGATTCCAACCAGGCAGTACTGAACCCACGCTTGGGTTTGCCATGGTCAATCCTATCCTCAGGCACCTTATGGGGGCATCCTATACTATGTTGATCCTGCCCAATGCCATTTCCTCCCTCATACAAACAATATTATTCTGCCTAACCAGGGAAATCCATGATTTCACTGAGGCAAAGGTGAAGAAAAAACCCAACCATGTGCCAATCGGGTTGAGAGAAAAGAAATCCTTTCCAGCCCTCTCAAAGCAAAATGGCTGTGACCTCCAAGGGAAGAAGCCTTATATAGGCTTTCCCCTCCTATCTGCAGCAAGGGCTCATGGGCCAGATTTTTCCCAGCAGTCCACCACCCAGAGACGATACTGAACAAAACCTTGTCCAGTATTTTGCTGCAATCTGTGGGCCACAGCGCTCCTGGGCAAAGGTGTCCCATGCTTAATAGGCATGGAATGGGGCTTATAAACATAAAATGTCTCTACTCTTAGCTCACTACCTTGCAGATTCAACTAATGGTGCAGATGTTCATCCACAGAGCTCTAAAATACATGAGATCATAACATTTCCAGGAAGGTGAATGGGAATTCACATAACCTCACTTTCCATAGTTTGAGAAGACTGACACTAAAGGAATACCCTAAAATGAATGGATTATTTTAGATGTAGAAGAGAAAACATGCTTGTGAAATGTCTGGAATCAATTTGAAATGAAGCCCATGCCTTTTCTTTTTCAGACATGAATGCCTGTTCTACATGCACTGCAAAAACCTATCCAAGCAAAACCAGGGATTTCTGTATTCCCAAGTTCATTTCCTTTTTATCATATAAAGAACCACTGGGCATCAGTTTGGCCTTCTTTGCTCTTTTCTTTTGTCTGATAACAGTCTTGGTGCTAGGAATATTTCTGAAGCACCACAACACTCCCATTGTCAAGGCCAACAACCGGAACCTTGCCTATACTCTCCTTATCTCAATCCTGCTCTGCTTCCTTTCTGCATTGCTATTCATTGGACATCCTAAGCAGGTGTTGTGTCTCCTCCGACAAACCACTTTTGGCATGATCTTCTCTGTGGCTGTTTCTTGTGTGTTGGCAAAAACCACTACTGTGGTTCTTGCTTTTATGGCCACCAAACCAGGTTCCAGGATGAGGAAGTGGGTGGGGAAAACACTTGCCAATGCCATTGTTCTTTCCTGCTCCCTTGTTCAAGCAGGCATTTGTACCGTATGGTTGGTCACCTCTCCCCCATTCCCAGATGTTGACATGCACTCAGTTGCTGAAGAAATTATATTAGAATGCAATGAGGGGTCCATGACTATGTTTTACAGTGTTTTGGGTTATATCAGTTTCCTGGCCATAATCAGCTTTGTTGTGGCCTTCTTTGCCAGGAAATTGCCCAATTGTTTCAATGAAGCCAAATTCATTACTTTCAGCATGTTGGTATTTTGCAGTGTTTGGCTCTCCTTTATTCCATCCTACCTGAGTTCAAAGGGGAAATATATGGTAGCTGTGGAAATCTTTTCTATCTTAGCCTCCAGTGCTGGGCTCCTAGGTTGCATCTTTCTCCCCAAATGTTATATCATTGTGCTGAGGCCTGCACTGAACAACAGGGAACAATTAATAAGAAGGAAAGTCTGAATAATCTCAATGTCTTTGTGTTTTGCTATTATCTGCAACCCAGGGTATCTTGTGTATGAATTATCATTCAGAGTGTTACTGTATTGCTAGAGAAAGGCTCCTCTGAGTTAACATATGCCTTTATGTTTCATACATCCCTGGTGGGGAGGATGGGTTCAATAATGGAATTTAAAACATAACCCCCCTTCCTCTGAAAAAATCCCCCATAATCTATCCTATTCATAGATTCAAGCAAAAGCACATTTTGGCAGTGAGGGACATATTGATTTTAGGGAGGTATGCATTGCTTAATCAAATATCTTTCAGTGCATATGTTGGCAAGTGCTCCTTCAGCTCTCAATCGTACTCCCTGGTTTTTATAAAGAATATCAAGCTAGACCAGGTTTCCCAAACATCCAGCTGTTTTTGGACTACAATTCCCATCATCCCTGACCAATGTGATGTTCTCTGCTGTTGGGTTGAAATCACGACAGACGAATGGTGGGTGTCAAAGGAGAGACGTCTGCCCGGGGCAAGTCCCGGGAACTCTCTTTTATTGAATATTACAAACATTGCCACAGGTGTGCTTGTGGCTGATTGGCTGATACAAACACAAAGCATCTTGTTGCTGATTGGTTAACATAGGTACAAGGCGGGAATAACATATTACATTAATCACTGATAGTTCAAAAGACTGGGAACGGAGCTGGAACTAGACAGGCATGAAACCTCCTAATTAAATTATAACTAAAGATTGATATTGAGAGAACATAACATGAAGGAATACAACAATCACGTTCTGTAAATGTGGTCAGCAATGCATTAAGAACAGGTCAGGATACACTGTTTCATGAACTCAATGGGAACTGTTCAGAACATTCTCAGACTCTTGTGCAGAGGCAAAACTTCCCAGAATGTAAGAGAGAAAAGAAGGAAAAGTTCTAAAAGCAAGACTTTCCCACAATGCGACAGTTATGTGCAGTAAGAGAACTGCAGAAAGAAAAACTTCCCTTCATCTCCCCCTTTCTTTTCTTGTTTGCGAGGCATTCCAGGTGGATAAGGCAAAAATACTTCGGGATTAGTGGTGTGCCAGCGAATGCCCGAAATAAGCTTGCCAGGGTCGATGGGACAAAAGTACTTCAGGATACGTGGTTTGCCAGCGCATGCCCAAAATAAATCCGCCCACATCTCCCCTAAGGTTTACTGTTGGTGTTGCCATTTCGCAATGTAAGCAGCAAGGAGTTTGCTGGGTGGTGGAGGGGGGGAGAGAAGCCGGGAGAAAAGACTCATGAGGCTAGGAACGCATTGAAGGAAACAGCATAGTAAAATAAAAATACAAATTAAATAAGAATACAAATTATGACAATAGCATATTGAAAAAGATTACGAAGCCAATTCAGGTTTGGCAACCAAGCGGTAAGCCACTGGGTGAAAGAATCCCAGAGGCCAGAAAATCCAACGTCCTGTTTAATGTGATGTGTAAGATTTTGCAAATGAGAGATTTGGCTTTGAATGGCTCTAGAATTGTCAGTAATATTGAAACAACACATGTCATTCACTTGTTCACAGCCATAATGATGAAGCATCAGCAAATAATCGATAGCACGATTTTGTAAAAGTCCATTATATAAAAGTCCATTATAAAAGTCCACTCTGTTCTTTATTCAAAAGGTGAAGAGCTTGTGAAATAAAATTCAAGGTTTTTGCTTCAGAACAGGCTAGAGATTTAATGTTCATACGATTCCGTACAGCCAATCCAGGGACTCCTAAGAGAGAAACAACTAAAGAGATATATTCAGACCTACTGAGAAGAGAGACAAAAGCATCACAATCATTAGTCAATTCAGTATTGCAGCGATAAAATGATGGACAAACGGCTTAAACAGCAAGGTGTGCCATGGCTGATGTATGCAGGAATGTAATTAAACGTATAGCCAGGACATGACCAGAAGATTTCCAGTTGAGGGGAAGTGCAAGCTTACTCATTAAATTGAATGGTAGCTTGTAATTGTTGTAGTAAGTCTCTTCCCCACAGATTGAGGTGGATTTTCAGCACACAGGGCTGGATGTAAGCAATGGTTTCAGAGCTATCAGGCAGAGAAACAGGCAGCCACTGTACGCTTTTGGAAGAGGTTTGGGGCCACCCACACCCCAGACAGCAGAGGCAGACTCAAGGGGCCACGTGGGGTCCCAGCAACTACTAGAAATTACAGAAACGTCTGCGCCTGTGTCAATCAAGCCTTCCAGCACAATACCATTGATTTTATACTTACGAAGAAGTTTCTTCTCACCAATCCTCTGGACTACAGCTAACAGCTGTGGAGGGAAAGAAGAGAGCTCGTGCAAATTAGTATCCATAATAGAAGCAGTAGGATGAGAAGGGAGCACCACCAAATGCGCCCAAGACTCACCCTTTTTAATTGCATGGGCATATGGCTCCAGAGTTGAACCATTATTGTGCCTACATAGTCAGGATCCAGAACTCCAGGAATAACCTGGATTCCTTCCTTTGCCGCAGAAAATTTGGGTAAAATTAAACCTGCGACTTTAGGAGGCAGGGGACCTGCCAATTGAGTGGGCATAAGCACAATTTCACCAGGTAGAACAGAGTCTTTGGTCTCTTGATTGATCAAATCAATTGCAAATGCAGAGGGTGTGTTCTTTGAAAAGTTTGCAGCAGCAGAAATTAAAGGTGGGAATCTCTCTAATTTTCCTGGCCCGAGAGAGAGGCCGGGATGGAGTTTCCCGAGCTCCTGCATTGATTAGCCCAATGATAGCCTTTGCCACATTTCGGGCACTTTTTAGAAGGTTTAGCCTTAGAGGCAGAACCATCCTTGTGTGCCCCCCCGCCAGGGGCTCTGCATTGCTTGGCAAAATGGCCTGGGCGCTTGCAATTAAAGCAGTTACCAGTAGGCTTAGAGGTTGCTTGGATTGCGCCGGCAAGCAAGGACATCGCATGGCTCTGGCTACCGACATCCGCACAAGCTTGAATCATATCGGCCAGTTCATATTTAGGGCGATGTATGATTGACTGCAAAGCTTTCTTGCAATCAGTGTTTGCATTCTCAAAGGCCAATTTTTTCATCAATTCATTTTGAGCAGTGGTGTTATCAATCTGCCTAGTGACTGATTCTTTCAATCTATCTATAAACTGATGGTATGGCTCCGAATGCTGTTGCTTAATATTTACAAAGGAGCTCAGCGGTTGCCCAGAAACAGGGACTTTCCGAAAGGCGCGTTGTACACAGGTCGCGGTGCGAACAAAATGTACAGGTGTCAGTGTTGCTTGGGCAGTTATATCAGCAAACTGACCAGCACCATAAAGTTCATTGGCAGTATGTTGAGGATCAGACAGGGCTGAAGCGCTATGTTTAAATTCACTCTCAAACACCACATACTGAGCAGGGGACAAAGCATGTGCATCAGGTCTTTCCAGTCCTGAGGTAGCATAATGTAACCAGTTGCTATGCCTTCTAGCATCCCTGTCACATAAGAGGATTTCAGACCAGAATCAGCAATGGCTTTCCTTAATTCCCTCATTACAGAATAAGGAAGCGATTCATAATAAATCTGCTGTTGAGCAGTTCCAGGGTTTGAATAAGAGATAGGGAAAGCAGACGGCATTTCACCTGGCCACTCAGACTCCTCCTCTAAGGACAGGAGCCCTTTTTGCCTTGCCAGAGAGAGCGCAGCACGCACAGCTCCTATAGAGCAAACAGGGGCTGTGGCAGGAGGAGGAGGGATGGGGGGGGAGGAATCAGGCTGAGGCGGAGGGATGGGGGGGGAGGATGCAGGCTGAGGAGGGTGAGAAGCAGGGAGGGATTGGCTGGGAGAAGGAGGTAAAAGTTTCGGGTAGGGTGGGGATTGTCTGCAATGGCCAGAAGAGGAGACGCCTGGGGTCCCAATTGGGGCCCTAATTTAGCAACGGCATCAGCACATTTCTGCCAAGTGAGCAGACAATGAATCGGAGCCCTAGGTTCTGAAAAAGGATCTTTCCGATCTTTTGCCAAGTCTCTACGTCCAAAGATCCAGCCTCTGGATAAAAGATGCATTGGCAATTAATCTCACATAGCAATTGTTCAATTTCTTTTAAGGAAATATTAACACCCACCTCCCGCTGCCTAACTAAATAAAGCAATTCTTTAGCATGCTCTTTCTGGAGTTTAGTCAAGTCCCCTCCCATACTCACGAAGGTAGCGCGCTGAGACTTTTCCAGTCGGGTGAAGTATGAGGTTTGGCTGCGTAAGGGATCTGGCACGTCAGGGGTCACCAGATGTTGGGTTGAAATCACGACAGACGAATGGTGGGTGTCAAAGGAGAGACGTCTGCCCGGGGCAAGTCCCGGGAACTCTCTTTTATTGAATATTACAAACATTGCCACAGGTGTGCTTGTGGCTGATTGGCTGATACAAACACAAAGCATCTTGTTGCTGATTGGTTAACATAGGTACAAGGCGGGAATAACATATTACATTAATCACTGATAGTTCAAAGACTGGGAACGGAGCTGGAACTAGACAGGCATGAAACCTCCTAATTAAATTATAACTAAAGATTGATATTGAGAGAACATAACATGAAGGAATACAACAATCACGTTCTGTAAATGTGGTCAGCAATGCATTAAGAACAGGTCAGGATACACTGTTTCATGAACTCAATGGGAACTGTTCAGAACATTCTCAGACTCTTGTGCAGAGGCAAAACTTCCCAGAATGTAAGAGAGAAAAGAAGGAAAAGTTCTAAAAGCAAGACTTTCCCACAATGCGACAGTTATGTGCAGTAAGAGAACTGCAGAAAGAAAAACTTCCCTTCACTCTGCAATGTCAGCCCCCACCCCAATCTCCTTCTCAAGTCAGCATGTCTGATACCTATTCATTTGTTCCAAATATTTACTAGGCTTCATAAAGCATTCTGTTTTTCATACTAGGTTCAAGTCTTAAAATGTGGGATAATACCGTTGAGCATCTACAGCTGGGATGGGCAACCTTTTTGAAGATATCTTTCCATGTTTTCACAATGCACCACTGTGGTAATATTTGAAAGACTGAAACTAGGTAGAGGGTGACTACCACACACACCTCATTATAACAGATAATTGGATGGAAATTCCCTAGACAATACACACTAACACACTTCTACAATTTCCAGCATTAGCATAGTGGCATAAATTAAATACATGCAACATAATATCCATGTCTTCATCCCATAGCACCCTGACAGCATTTGAATGTCCATGGTAGCATACAAAATATTGCAAATAGGTGGAGGATCTTTCAAACCTAGTTATAGGCCTCCTTTCCCAGTCTAGTGAAAATTGGATGGATGCACATAGGTCACTGAATGCACCATTATGCTCCTATGATATTCAACATTAACGCGGTGGTATATGGTTAAGTTATTCAACAATGGTTCAAGATTCATTTTCAGTTACAATACAGTGGTGCCCCGCAAGACGAATGCCTCGCAAGACGGAAAACCCGCTAGACGAAAGGGTTTTCCGTTTTGGAGGTGCTTCGCAAAATGAATTTCCTATGGGCTTGCTTCGCAAGACGAAAATGTCTTGCGAGTTCCTGCGGGTTTTTTTCCTCCCCCCCCTTTTTCCCAAGCCGCTAAGCCGCTTATCAGCTGATCCGCTAAGCCGCTAAGCTGCTTATCAGCTGATCCGCTAAGCCGCTTAACAGCTGATCCGTTAAGCCACTAAGCCACTTATCAGCTGATCCGCTAAGCCGCTAAGCCGCTTATCAGCTGATCCGCTAAGCCCGCTAAGCCGCTAATAGCGCTAATCCGCTAAACCGCTAATGGGCTTGCTTCGCAAGATGAAAAAACCGCAAGACGAAGAGACTCGCGGAACGGATTCTTTTCGTCTTGCGAGGCACCACTGTATATATGTACATATAGATGTATATAGGTGGATATATATACATATAGATATATATATAGATTTACATCTATCTATACGGATCTAAATTGATTTTTCTCAAGATTAACATTCTGCTATTTCATCTCTGGATTAGGTTAAGCCTCTTTCTGTATGTAGTGAGAGTTGCCATCACGGTTCTAGCAAGAAAATGAAAGAGGGGGAGCCATTTTGCTGCTATGATTGCACCCCATGTCCAGAAGGGAGGTTTTCAGAGCAGGAGGGAAAGAAATATGTGTGTAAAGTTATTGTGCAATTGGATCAGAATGTAGAGGACACATCAAAGTTCAGCATCACAAAGCGAAAACAAATGAGAATGAGGAGGATGCAGCAGACTAATTTATTCCTCCAAATCGCATATATATAAATCCCAACAAAATTCAAACACCAGACCTTCCTTAGGATACCGTAAAAAAAAAGTATATTAAAATATTTCAATAAATGTTGTGAAAATTGTTTTGCATGCCCAGGCGCCGACTGCCCCAGCTCCCAGGGACCACCAGAAAGGAAAAAAGACTTGTGATAACGTTTTATGGAATTAAAATTTGGCCACAATTTTATTAAACTTTTAAATGTAGGAAGACCTCGGCTTAGGCATTGGGCGTGTATCCCTCCCAGCCCCACAGCCAGGGAGGAACTGGGGCTCATCAGGGTAAATGGGATATGGGGGTGCCCTGCAGGCAGCCCACCCCATATCCCCACAAGGAAGGTAGTTCAATGACAACCTTTCAGTGTATGGCCAGTGACACCCATAATAAAACCCCTTTAAGAGTTGCTGGAATTGCTGCTGGGGGGGGGGGGCGGTGAGTCACCACTTCACCCCCACCACCATTTAGGGAAGAAAAGACTAAAGGATTCTGCCCAAGGCTTTAAACTGCTAAAGTTGTGACGAATTGCTACAGGGAAGACAAAACCTGCCAATGCAGGAAAATTTCTTCCTGGTTCTTCAACAGCAACCAGTCAAAAGACCGTAGCAGTGCCCGCTAAACAGGAAGAAAAAGGTTAACCTGCAAACCAGAAACATTAAACAAAGGGAGGGGTTGGGTGGGTGAAGCTCCTGAGCTGACTGCCTGGCTGCTGCCGGCTCCACCCCCTATTTATGCAACTGGCCCCACCTCCCAGCAGTGTAAATTGACTAACTGAGGCTGGCAGTGAACCTCCAAAGAATAACACTGAGAAGCAAGCCAGCCTATACAACTGGTAATTTCCCTGGGGTCCAAAGCGCCATGCGTGATCCCGCAAAGGGCACCCACAGTGTAAAGTGTGAGTGCTCATTCTAGCAAATCCCATTTGACATGTATTGGACTTGCTATGTGGTTCTATCAGTTATCCTCTCACACTTGTTATATGTTCAGGTGTTTCTTTAAGTCAAAATAAATTGCATATAAAATAACTGTTAATAGTAGTATCTAAATGGAATATTCATTCACCTGCTAGTCAACAATCAGTAGGTAAAAAAGGATAGCCTATGTGTTCAGGGGAGGCGGAATCACGTGCAGATATGAGTGAATTGGGTCATCCTTTCTGCAAGTCACTCGTTCTGCATCCAGTCCCCCCTGAATAATACATAGAATACATGGGAACCTGAATACAAATAAATGCACAGAAACAAGTTGGTTTCTTGAGACTGGAAATTTTGGCATTAGATAAATAGAGCTGAAATGAAATGGGCAAACTTTAGAGATCTAGCCATTCACAATGGTTTTCACTAGTAGTTTCCTCTGACAACCAATAAAGGTAGGCATGAGGTTTAAATACTACAAGTGTTTCAGTTAAAAGTGTTGTAAACGTCATATGAGAAACTGGGTTGGCAAAATTGGACTCCACATGCCATCTGGTGTCACAGGGTTATAATGAATATACAATGCTTATAAAGCGCTTTTTCTTTCTCAATGTAGCTGAGTCCCTAATTGCTTCCAGACTACAGCCAACTTGTCCTTCTCTGAGACATTCTCCTTGCCTTCAGCTACAGGTTGCATAGTCCAAGCCCTTTAACTTCCCATCCACATTGTGGATCTCTCTGGCCACCCCTTCCTTTTGGTTACCTGGCAGCTGGGCTCCAGGGACACTTGCAGGCTCCAATAGCATTTCACCAGGCAAGGTTCCCACCTCACAGAGAGCCATACTTTTCTCTACAAGGAGACTTCTCGTGCACTCTGCTTGCAGCTGCTTCAGTTCACTGAAGCACTGGTTCTGCCACTGCCCCATTAGGTCAAGCTGCAGGCTTTGTCATTGCTCCATTCCCTCATGCTGCCTTTGCTGCTTTAGCATCGACTTGAATTGCTCAAGAAGTGTTGCTGGCACTGTCATCCAATAAAACTGAATGTTGGAAAAACCATGCCAGTCAAAAGCAAGTACATTGGGGGGGGGGCATGAAGTTATGGGCGCCCTCCATTACCTCATGCTGCCTTTGCTGCGGTAGCATCAACATGAACTGCTCAAGAAGTTGGCAGATCCATGCCAGTCAAAATAAAGTACATTTTGGGGCCCTGAAGTTTGAATGGGGGGGGGGGCATCCTAACCACCTCCATGGAAAAAGAAAAAACCTCTGTTCAGATGCCATACACTTTTTTTTTTTTTTGCAACTCCATTTGTGAACACCAATATTAAGTTGATGATTACCTACTCCTGTAATTATGAAAAGGGCTGTAATTAATTCAACTACTTGGCGAAGCTCCTCCTCAAGGATTTTCAGTGGAGAAAAGCAAAAGTAATAACACAGTGGATGAAGGATAATATAAATAATCACTTTATAAGTTAGTTGTAGAAGCAGGAACTCAGAAAAATCAAGGAATTACCTGTTTGAGTCTCCTAAGATGGAATAGAACAATCTGTGTTTGGAGAGATAATTGGTACTGAGGATGGTGATATTAGTAGTCTTGATACTTGTACTACTTTCTCACATGGCATGCAAGTTTCACAATAACTGCATGGTAAGAGATCCACACAATCCACTTCACGAGTATCATCAGTTGAGAGGCAACATAATTGGTGGCATCACTTCTCAGACCTTCATAATCTCCAACTCGCTAACCTTCACTAGAGCACCTCCACCCGTGTTGTTTGAAGAGCTCGCGTAAGACCTTGTTGTTATTGTTTGTTGTTTCTATTTCTGTTTCCACTAAGAATGTGAATTACAGTCTTTGCCCAAGTTTGTCAAACAATTTTCAAGTGGTGAACTTGAAATATTAATTTAATTATATTCAGAATGGAGACTGATCAAGTTCATCTGGTTTTGACAATCGTAGTGATGGCTTCCTCCATTTAAACATTTTAGAAACTACTATCAATGAAGGCAGAAATATTAATGAATCCGTGATAAGCTTTCTTAATTTCTATTTCTTACCACTTGCTCTGATTGATGTCATTTGCAATTTCAAAATGTCTTTGTAAGAGAGCTAGGATTGTGTGTATGTTTGTTGAATTCAAAGCTAAGTCTTTATATATTTGTAAATAATAAGGAAGGAGATGCCAAGGGAGAACAACAGTTTTACAAGACACGGTAGTTTCTCCAAATACAGAATACAACTCTGATTCTAGTGCAGTTATCACCAAACTCTGAACATGTTCTTAAATTGTAGATTTCACCTTAAACTGGTGCTGGTACCAAGAACTTATAAAGTGTTCTGTATTCTGAGGCTTTCAAAAGAAAGAAAGAAAGAAAGAAAGAAAGTAAGAAAGAAAGAAAGAAAGGGAGTAGGTGTTCACATGACCTATGGAAAATGTAACTTGAAAAAAGAGACATTGCGCATACCTTTGTAAACCAAGAAAACTTTAATAAAAAAAATACAGCCTTCTGAAAATGTCAAATCGTATGGTTCTTGATAACACATGGAACCTTGTATTGGTAATTTATAAATAAAGTATATTAAGTGCATTGTTGTAAAGGAGAATACAGTTGTCTAAGATATGAGCAACCCACCAAAGGCTAAGCATTGCCTAAAGACAGTTTGTACATAAATACTGCAAAGAATATAAGGAAGGAGAGCCAGTACAACATAGTACATATTTTACAATGTGGGGGATGTTCTAATAAGCTGTACTGTCTTTAGTGTAGTGCCTAAGTATTACCAGCACATCCTGGCTTTGGCATTTGCTGTAAAGGAGATAAATGAAAACTCTCAGATTTTACCCAATACTTCCTTGGGCTTCCACATTTACGACAGTTACTTCAATGCAAAGAGTACCTATCATGCCACAATGCAGCTTATGTCTTCAAAAGAAAAAATAGTTCCCAACTACATATGTGACATTCGGAATAAATTAATAGCGGTTGTTGGGGGACTGGAGCCTCTAATTTCTCGTTATATTGCAACTGTCTTGGATATCTACAAGATTCCACAGGTAGGTTGTGTAGATGTCTCTATTTCTTTGTGGAATATGGGTTTCATCCATTTAAATGCTTATTTTCACCACACAGAAAAGATTGTGGGTGTGGAAACAAGTGGTTGAAAGCATGTGGGAAATATTTCTTTGTGTAGGAATGTAAAATGGAAGCTGAGATACAGGTATTCATAAATGAGAGGCACCTACAGAAGAAAGTACATTCTCTAGTGATAGAAGGTAGGTGGAAGGCAGGCATATCAGCAATAATTACAGCCAGAGCCAATGACAGGCAGAGAAATCACCTGACTTGTAAGTAAGAGGCAAGCAGGTGTAGACTTTCTGAGAAAAGGCAGCACCCCATTTTACCTACTGAACCAGCCTCCATTGAAAATGTTCTTGTGCATGTAATTAAAAATTTATGCATCAACTTTTTGAAGAAAGGGATTACGTGGGCCAAAGTTGGGCTCCTATTCATTCATTCATTCATTCATTAATATTTCCTTCACTTAGCTCATATATGGCCCTGCTCCAGTGATGAATGATAAAACCACAGGCCTTTCCTTCTACCAAATGTCTCCTAAAGATGCTCTTCAGCATGCAGGCATTCTGACTTTGCTTCTCCATTTCAATTGGACATGGATTGGGATCCTTACATCCAATGATGAATATGGAGAAAGATTTGTGCAGACAGTGTTTCCAGTATTCTCCAGAAAGGGTATTTGCTTTGCCTTCATAGAAAGAAGCAGCAAATTTACCATTGTCACAGAAATTAATGACATGCTACATGAGCGAGCCAAAATATATGATAAAATCATTGACAGCAAAGCCAATGTAGTGGTTGCTAATGCAGAATCTTATCTCATTGTTTTTTTGAGGTGGCTACCATATATCTCAGAAAGAGAATGCACAATAAATAAAGGAAAAGTGTGGATAGTAACAGCTCAGATAGAGCTCACGTCAATGGTGTATCAAAGAACATGGGATACAGATATAGTCCATGGTGTTCTGTCCTTCTCTATTCACTCCAGTGATCTGCCAGGATTCAAGACATTTATTGAAAGCAAAAGCCCTTCATTCAAAACAGGAGATGGCTTTATCAGGGATTTCTGGCAGCAGGCCTTTGGTTGTGTATTCCAAAGTATAGATGGGGACAAGGTGGATGGAGACATATGCACAGGAAAAGAGAAGTTGGAAAGTCTTCCTGGGACATTTTTTGAAATGAGCTTGACTGGCCACAGCTACAGCATCTACAATGCTGTTTATGCTGTGGCACATGCTTTACACTCCATGTCTTCATCTCGACTGAATTACCACTCATTGGTTGATGGAAGGTGGATGAACTTTCAGAATCAGCAGGTGTTGCAGGTAATGGGATGACGTTCCTCCTGTTGGAAGGCAAAATACTTCTCAGAATATATAACAATATGCTCCAATCAGATCCTTCTTGTGGGCTTCCCGTTCACATATGGTTGGGCACTGTAAGAACCATATTATGGACTAGATAGGCTTTTGGGCTGATCTAGCAGGTCTCTTATGATTCTGTCTGGCAAAAGGTCTCAACAAACTCTTCTCTTCCTCTAAGGTGCATGTTTTTCCTCCATGTTACTGCCAGCAGGTTCTGAGACTATAGAATTGTAGAGTTGGAAGGACCACTGGGGCAATCTAGTCCAACTGTGCAATCTACTGCAAGAACTATATGCTGGACCAGGGAGGCTTTGGACTGATCTAGCAGGTCTATTTTTATTCTGTCTAATAGAGGTCTCCCCAAACTATGGTTGCTATATGTCAAAAAGTGAAAACCCAAACACAAAGTTTTTGAGGTTTTTTGGCAAAGTTGTTGAGACTTTAGCCGTTTCAGAAAATACTGCCCAGACACAATACTGGACCTATGGCAGCCCTAACCCAAACTCTGCCCATCCTCTCCATCTTCTTTCTCTATATTAATTTGAGCATGTTCTGAGGTTATACAATTGTGGAGTTGGAAGGGGTCACTAGGCTTTAAATGAAGTGTCACTAGGCTTTAAATTAAGGATCCACCGGAGCAGCAAATCCTGATGTTGGTATTTCTTTCCCCTTTGTTCCTATTGTATATCTTCTCTCACCCGTTTTTCCCTGGTGCCGTCTTTGCGTCCTGTGATTCACACGGGGAGTTCAATGTGTAGTTGGTTACAAAAAAAAAAGGCCCAGACTCACCCCACATGAGATACTTCTAAAAAACAACAATATTGTAATGAAGTGTTGTTTGGCAAATGTGACATCAACGTTCACATGTCTGAGTATGAAAACAAAGAACTGTGTTGCTTCCATCCAGGGAAGATGTTTGTATGACTTACTGTGAAAGAGTCCACAGAAATGCAGCCTCTACTAAGCTTCTTTTCCTTTTCAATTCAGCTCCACCACTTTCTGAAAATTGTCTCCTTTAACAACAGTGCTGGAGACAAGATCTCCTTTGACAAGAATGGGGAGTTAGTGACTGGATTTGATATTATAAACTGGATTATTTCCTCAAACCAATCCTTTCATAGAGTGAAAGTTGGGAGAATGGATCCCCAGGGTTCTCCGGACCAAGTGTTCACCATCAACAAGGATGCCATCACATGGCACAATTGGTTTAACCAGGTAGGATAAAGTTGTGAAGTGCTTGGCAAACCATTCAGTTTCATTGAATGGACAATGTTCAGCCCATAACAAATACCGAGTTTTGATTAGAAATGATACAACCTATGTAGAAAGTAAGACTCAAAAAACATATGCACTGTTTCCTTTGCTGTTGAATATATTAAATGTGTTGAAAAGAATAAACATATGTTTCTGCTAGTTTGATTACATATTCAATGCCACAATAGGCAACTAGATGTCTTTGAGAAGACTGAATGCAGGATGTAATTGCAGAAGTGTTCTCCCCACTTGCAATTTCTTTTTTTAGACTAATAATAATATTTATTAAGTTTTCCAATTTGACAATCCAATAAAGGCCACATTAAAGACATTCCAAATTATAAAATAATCAAATAGTCCAAATATTAAGCAAATCATAAATCTTTGTTTGTCTTCCCATGTTCTGAGGTTGGACAATTGCCATCATCTTACATTTGCGCTGCTTTCTTAATTAGTCCAGGTGCTTCCCAAAAATCAATCTGATGTTAATCTGTTCATTTCCACAGCCTCTGAGTTAGTCCAGCAAGCAAGTTATATCAAAACAGTATGTTTCTGTGTGGGTGTTACTTTTCTTCCATGTCTTTCACTTTTGCTTCTTCATGCCAGTAGTTATCCAATATGACACGTCCCAAAATGAAGGAAATCTGGCTTTCTGCCAATTGTTCCAGGCATATGTCCAAACATTTCCATTTCATCTTATACCAGAACAGATAAGCCTGTACTTTGGCTAGAAGCCTCCTCCGCTTTTAACAACCCATCAGAATTAATTGCAAGTTTGTAAATCTTTTCCACACAGTTAATAATTGCGTATCTGAGGCTCCAATACTTTGGCCACGTCATGAGAAGAGAAGACTCCCTGGAAAAGACCCTGATGTTGGGAAAGATGGAGGGCACAAGGAGAAGGGGACGACAGAGGACGAGATGGTTGGGTAGTGTTCTCGAAGCTACCAGCATGAGTTTGACCAAACTGTGGGAGGCAGTGGAAGACAGGAGTGCCTGGTGTGCTCTGGTCCATGGGGTCATGAAGAGTTGGACACGACTCAATGACTAAACAACAACAACAATAATTGCGTACCTAATCAATTTGTATTCAGAGTTTCCGGGGGGGGGGGGTTGTCAAGTAAAATAGCAAATACGCAATATTTCCCCCCCCCCCTTTTTCGTTCCGACATAAAAGTTCCATAGTAAAGATAATCTCTCTTCCACTCGAATCCTTTGGCTCCTCAGTGGCTGAATCAGTTAGCAGAGTAGTTTATCTCCCCTCACTCAGAGTATGCCCATTAATTAAGTCCAATTTTTCATATTAAAAAACTGGAGTTTGTTCACTCATGGCGGTGACTTTGGAGAGTGTTTTCCACCCAGAGCCCCCTGCCACCTCATTCCTACTACATTGGGGCAGGTGTTGGGTGATCTGCGTGTGAAGCTGCCCCCACTAGCCCCACAGTTGGGGGGTTGGGAGGATGATTACTCCCATCTCATCCTCAAAATATCCCATGTAAAACGGCACAGATGTAATCAACAGCCTCAGCCATGGCAAGCCAAACCGGAAGTTCCCCACTTGCAATTTCTAGAGACTGGTATTCAGAGGCCTGTTGCTTACAATGGTTGAGGTAGAAATTAGCTAGTAGCCCTTGATAGAATTATCCTCTATGAATTTGTCCAATCCTTTCTAAGGGAATCAAGGTTTGTAGCCTGTGCTCATTTTGGTGAATTTTAGAGTTTAACTGTGTTTTATGAAGAAGTACATCCTTTTGTTATGAATATTACAACATTCAGCTTCAGTGTAAGATATTTTGTTATTGCTGTTGTTTAGTCGTTTAGTCGTGTCTGACTCTTCATGACCCCATGGACCAGAGCACGCCAGGCACTCCTGTCTTCCACTGCCTCCCGTAGTTTGGTCAAACTCATGCTGGTAGCTTCAAGAACACTGTCTAACCATCTCGTCCTCTCTCGTCCCCTTCTCCTTGTGCCCTCAATCTTTCCCAACATCAGGGTCTTTTCCAGAGAGTCTTCTCTTCTCATGAGGTGGCCAAAGTATTGGAGCCTCAGCTTCAGGATCTGTCCTTCCAGTGAGCACTCAGGGCTGATTTCCTTAAGAATGGAGAGGTTTGATCTTCTTGCAGTCCATGGGACTCTCAAGAGTCTCCTCCAGCACCATGATTCAAAAGCATCATGTGCTGGTCCCGGGGGGAAGGTTACCGTTGGCGTAGTCAAAGTCCGGTCCTGGGTCACTGGTCTGGAAACAGTTCACAAGGAGCGAGACGAGGTCCGAAGCAGGAAGCCGGGCGGGGACAGGAACACTGGAAGGTCAGGTCTGGGTCCAGGTAGGAGCAGGTACTCAGCGACGACGTTGCTCCCGCAACCTGGGACCGGGCTGACTGGCCTTTATCTTCTCTGAGGCCAGGGGTGGTCCCGGCCCCCAGGAGATCCGCCTCTCCTGGCTTTAAGGCGAGCACTCCTCATGGGAGAAACCAGTTCCCTTTGCCTCTCTGCCCTGAGCCTCTGCAGTTCAGGAGAGGCTGAAGGGTTACTGGGCCCAGGGGGAGACTCACCTGTAGTCACTGAGTCCTCAACCACCTCTGGAGCCAGAATGGATTCACCTGGTGCCGGCTCCTGAGGATCCAGCACAGGTGCAGGCACTTCAGAATCAAGGCCCTGCCCCAGTTCAGCCGGCCCTGGAGGCGGGGGCTCCTGCGCAGGCTGGGATTCCTCCGGTTCAGCCTCTGAATCGGATTCCCAGGCCATCACACATCAGTTCTTCGGCGATCAGCCTTCTTTATGGTCCAGCTCTCACTTCCATACATATTTAGGCATTATAAATGCATGATTTCATGTATCCTTACTCTTTCCTGTCATCTGCCTTATTTCTAAGCTTAAAAGCTCCAAATGTGTTAATCTTTCCCCATAGGCTTCCTTCCCTTTCAATTTGTTTTAAAATGTTTTTAATATTTTATTTTAATGGTTGTAACCACACTTGAAATACCTTGCACAGCCCAGGATATTTCACATCTCCGATGGATGTCAGATGAAGTTACGGAAGAGTGGTTCCAATTTGGT